ACGGGGGGGAGTGGACAGGCGAAATGCCCGTGGGGCAAAGCGCATACATAGGAATTGAGTGGATCGAGGTGGCCTACAACACATCAACAGAGGTTAACGGCGCACCGAGCGATACTGTACCCTTTCCAAGCCACAAACATAGACCTTTTGCGCGATCCCCAGAGGTAGGACCTGAATCAGACCATGAGACATCGGCAGGGGAAGTTGAGTTCATTCAAAGGAAGGACGCGGCCAGGCAATGCTTGAGGCCATGCTTCTTAGATGATGTTCGCGGTCATTGATGACTCTGTCAATTACGATAGTCTTATTTCTTATGTAACATTCATAATGCCTCCTCAGCCTTAAGACTAGAGGCGCTCTATATAAATCCACGCACGTAGTGACTGCATCTCTGAACACCCAACGATTCTTGCCTCTCTATCCGAAACTGAAGAATGCTTGACAATCGGTAGATTCATTTTCATACAGGACTATCCTGTACAATAAACACAAACAAGCGGAGGCAGAGACGCTCAAGAACGAGCTCTCAGAAACCATAATGCATGCTCAAGTCAGGAGCCGAAGCTTCGACTGACGGGGTATCAGAAGCGGAAAATGCACACACGCGCCAAACCCCAAGAACCCTAAACGCCATGCTGGTATCTCCAAATCATACAACGCAGGCCATTTCATCGTTCCACCATCCTGCCCCAAGCACCCCGAAACATGCAACGAACGTTGGAGGGAGGCGGCCAGGCCGGTCTATGCCGGTCCGTAATCATACATCATGCACCAAAGTGCTTCTTCTCCTGTCTTCTTTCTCCCCCTTGAAACGACAACGCCGAAACCCAAAACAAAACGCAGATACTCATACAGTAAGAAAAAGAAAAAGAAACGAGGAAAAAGTTTGGCTGCTTAAAGCAGCGGTTCTCCACCCCCACTGGTGGGATCGAAATCCCCCTCCAGGCCTCCGTTCATTAGCTCAGCCACTATCTTACGGCGCAGGACGACAATGTCCTTAGCTCCGTAAGATAGTGGCTCGAGACCGATGGCCACTGCCTTCGCGGTCGACAAGAGGAAGACGCCGCAATCGCTCCCGTTATCCTGCTGAGGGGAGATGGACGGGAGTACTGTCCACTCCTCCTCAACATAACGGGAGGCGAGCTCGGCCCGGAGCCAGCCCTGCACCAGCCCCACGTGGCGCCGGGAGAGAGAACCAAGGGAATCGAAGTGCTCAATGGTTCTCTCTCCTGGCCTGACGATGATTAATGTCCAATGGGCACTGTTGTGCACAGGGATGAAAACAGTATCGACGTTCAGTAAAGCCTCTCCCCCGATTTTGGCACGTGTTGCCCAGCGGCGTACCGACTGGTAGCCTTTGTCGCGCAGGTTTGAGAAGAAGAACGTGTTAAACGCGTGGAATCGGGGCTTGTCATGGCGCCCGGCATTTCCGTGAGAACGACGCAAGTAATCGACGATCAGAGCAAGATACGAGTTGATGATTTCGTCATTCAGCCATGCCATTGGAGTGTAGCAGGTGGCAAGATCTCTCTTGGTCAGAGGATCACCGGACAGGGTAGTGGCGATCTGGCGATTGTTTGGCATGGACTTGATCTCCGAAATCTTCGCTTCCCATTTTGGAGGGAGAGGTCGTACAGCAGGGCCCTCTGGTTTGACTCGGGCAGGCTTTTGCTTCGCTTTTTGTTCTTCTTCGATCTTTCTCCATTCAGCCGCGTAAATAGACTCTGTGCGACCTGGTGGAAGTGGCTTCTGAACTGGGTAGAAAAGCCTAACTGCGGAAACGGGTCGCCCAAATGGAAACTCGGTACGAAGCCAGTCATCATGTCTGGTTCGAAGTTCGTCGTCACGCGCAGCAAGTTCCACTGCCTTGGCAGCTTCGGTAGCTGGGGGCACATTCTCTTTCTCTTCAACAATTTGTTGTTCTGTCCTTTGGGCAACACGGTCAATTTCAGGGGAGGGTGGGGTGAGGTGAGGGGCAAGCTCCGTTAGGAGGGCTGGAGCTGTGAGGGTAGGAGTTTCTGTCAAAGGCTCTTGGAACCGGACGCGCTTCGGTTTTGACTTTGGCTCAATAGTAGCTCGAGGCTGAATCAGTGTAGAGCGTCTCGATTCAATGTGACTGGTGCTCAACGCCTGGGCAGATGGTTGCAGGGGCCGAACTACATCATGTTCGGTTGTTTGAAGTGCATGGGCCAGAGCGCGCTCACGACGAGCGTTTCTCCAACGACTGAGTCGGGTGCCCGCGAGCAGGCGTCGTTTGAGCCGCGGGCTGAGCGACTCAACACGCGCTAGCTTCTCCTTTCCATGTTTCTCTCGTCCCTGGAGTGAAACGGTACGAGGTCCCGATGTTCCAATACGCTTTCGAGGCTGTCGCGGGGTTCCACTGGGCTTCTTTGGTACGGAAGGACCGCGAACTTCCGCCATTGATTCGGTCTGAGAAGCAGCGCCAGCTGGGTAGTGTGGAATATCGAGGGACAGTTCTGGAAATGGATAGTGTTCGACAGTAGGATATCCTCTTTCCTTCCGCCATTGATGACTCTTGAGTTGCTGTCTTTGCTGCTCTGGAAAGTTACGGAGGTTCGCCCGAGTGGGGGAAGTTGACACAGCAGCAGCGGTTCGACGAGATGAAACGCCGCTTGGTTTGAAGAGCCGTGTGACAGTTGACCAAGCATAACTGAAAACCTTTCTGACTACACGGCCCACAGTACTATTACGTGCATTGTAGAATGTCTCCTGCCACGACCCGGTGGTCTGCTGGCCATATGGGTGCTCCGGAGAGGCTGAACCGATAAAAGCGGGTGGGATAGGAAGAGGTGTGACTCGAAGAGGGTCGTTACAACCTTTGCGGACATCAGTAATCGAATCGAAGTGAGACTCCTCAGGCCAACTGCCCGGAATACGCATGGGACCATGGGGGAAGCTATCATGCCACTGGGGAATGACACCGCGGACTTCAAAAGGACGGATGGGACCTTCAAAGGGCTTGGGGCCTTCAACTGGCTTGGGACCACGGGTGAACGAAGGGGGAAAAAAGCGAGAATGAGCGGGGAAATTACCTCCGGCACGTTGCGTGGTAGTCTGTGCTATATCCGCCTGGTTTTCAGAGGTGATGTTTTGAACTCTGGATTCGGAAATGAGAGTATGTATCGCTTTATGCTTGGGAGACGAGGTAACGGATGGCTTGGCGTTTCCAGTATGAACAGACAGATTGCCATCGCTATTATCGGTAGGTGTAGGTTCAGAATCGGCTTTGCCGCAGACATCTCCATTTTGAGGGCCAGCAGCCATATCCGGGGCGGTCCCGTCAGGCAGGACAGGAGACAAGCGGGAACCCTTTTGGTCCACACGACGGTATTTGGCGGAAGGGGAAACAGGGATGTTGTTGGAGTAGTCAAGGACTTTCTGAGGGGGGTCACTCGTAGCGCCTTCGTCAATAGATCTCTTACGAGGAAGAGACGAGAATCCAGACAGTACAGACGCAGAGCGGTCGGACTTAAGGGATTGACCTTGAGAGGGCATGTTAACTTTTTGAAAGTTGGTCCATGCAAGACCACGATTAGCGACGGAAGGGACCCCACCGGTCAAAAGACTGGTACCATTCACAACTCGGTTATTCCAAAAGGGACGCGTAGTGTGATTGAGGCCGACGAAGGTAGAACCATTTCGCGCCGCAAAGGATGTTTGTTTGGTTCTGTTGGCGGATGGCTTTGCGATTGCGACTGGACTGGACTTGATGCGACTTGCAGCTCTAGACTTCGGGGAGAATGCAAAGCGAGGTCTGACGAAGGGGGAGTTGAGCAGAGGACCCCAGGGATACGGGTCATCAATTGTAGCAACATAGCGGGGTACGGCATTGGAAACAGAGGGTCCGAGATGAGAGTAGGACTGAACATGATTCTGCGGAGGAATGGAGCCAACAGGCTTAGCGTTGGTCTCTGGCTGCTGAGCAGGAGAGGATTTGATAGAACTCGTGTCCATAGGATCAAGTAACATGTTATCGATTTCTGATTGCGCGTGATCAGTAGGGAGCATACGCGCGTCTCTCTCGGCCTCGTCGACCTTCTCTAGGTGTTGAGTCGCGAAGACACCAGCCATTTCGGTGTCGGAAGTGAGATCTGATTGCGAGTTGATATGGCTGTCCGGAGGTAAAGCTGTGGATAAAGAAGCTGGTGAGGAACGCATAAAAAGAAGATACGCTGCAATGAAGATGATAGAGAGGATGAAGAGAGAGAGAAGGAAGGGAAGGTGGGTGAAGAGGTGGGTTGAGTCAAAACATAGAGGTGGACATTCATTGACCATGCTCACCTCCCAGTGTTTTGTTAACAGCTCAAATTGTTGCCATGGCAAAGAACGCATCAGTGTGCGACTTTACAGAAAGCATCAATAGAAGCTAATCTGCAGCAAGCACTGAGTACGATCTCTCATTAGGAACCAGGCAGTACCACAAGGAAGGGATTGATAAGAAACTCAGATTTATCGCCGATGCGGAAGCTCTCACGAAGCTTTGTCGCGGCGCGACAAATCACGTGATGCGCTGTACGTCAGAAGCAGCGCTAAACCAAAGGTGGAATGGTCCGATCCTGTAGATCATCCACAAGCAATCAATCTACCTCTCGTAGAAAGTCCTGCGAGTAGATAGTCGATCATGGCTTGATGCTGAGTATATATAGACCGGATTTCAACCACTAACTGGGAATCGGGCGCAGTTTAGTTATGACTTTGGCCATGTATGGCATGTACATGGGGGGTTAATCTACAAATCACTTACACTTCGCTCCTAGCAACCGAGGAGATCGCAGCGAAAGCGAACGAAGATTGAAGGTAGGAAAAAGAAGAGAAGTGACGTGAAATTGAGGAACAAAATATTTATGTAGATGGAAATACTCTCGGGATTTCTACAAACCAAGGCCTACTTTGTCGAAGACTATAGGCGCACCTTCTATCGTTACCCAAGCGATACCTAACATAGGGCAAATCGTAAGCAAAACCATCGTCGCAGCTACTTAACGGCATGACTCACCCGAATATACAACCAGTTTGGTCACCACTTCAACATCATATCGGACACGAGGTTTCTTCACTTGCGAGAAAACCTCCGTAAGATCCGGTTCCTTTTCCTCTTCGTAAGCAGGGAAGGGTTCGGTTGAAGGCTCTCGGTCTATGGCTGCTATGGCGCCAGGGCTGTGGCGCGAGATGCCAGTACCCATCATATGTTCATACTCGTCCAATTTGGATTGCTTTCGTGCCGATTTGGACGGCTGCGTCCCAGACATGGAGACATTTGCAGTGTCGCCGTCGTCTTCGGCGACTGAGTAATTATGAGCGTTATTTGACAAACTTTCGCGCCTGCGCTTCTCGCGATATGCCAGAGTCTCGTAGACATCGGCCTCGGATTGAGGGCCAATGGATACGGCTCGGCGGCGCGGATGGCGGATATTGGTGAAAATCGACGGAATCTCCGCAAACGACGGAAGGACTTCATGGTCCTTTAGATGAGCTGGAACAGTTTTGTACTGCCTGTCTAATTGTCAATCAATCTATCCTTCATTCTTCGAAGTGGTGGCTGAAGACTTACGAAGCCCTGGTAAAGAATCGCCGAGGAAGCAGGAGACCCAACTTCTCCAACGCTCGAAAGATTGGAGGCAGGGTACGGAGGAGAAGAGGTTTCATGACCTCTCTCCAAGTGAAAATCAAGAGGACACCCAGGACAAAGCGCAGTACTGTCTTTATCAGACCCAAATCTTTGTACCGGAACGGTATCGTAGCGGGGGAAGGCTCGGACCAAGCGATGCTAGACTTCGCGAAATGCCAGCAGCCCAGTTGCACTCCAATTATTACCCCTGCAAAGGCGACACTGTCATCGAAACACGGACAATCGTCTGCTGGTTCCGGGTGAATGCGCACGAGGATGATTATCACCAGGACCACCAGCGCGATTTGTTTCCCTGATGCTGAAAACACGTAGTCATCGAGAAGAGGCCCGTATAAATTTTGCACGAACGTTATCGAAGCTCCGAGCAAGCAACCGATGATGACATCGAGAAACCCATGCATTCCGCAGTAAAGGCGACCTAGTACAATGGAGCTGACGTAGAGATATGTCATGCATTGGAAGATCAAATTAATGTGGCTGCTCAAGGTCGAATCGGGCGAATTGAGCAGAGTGAGCACGTAGACAGCGACAGAGACGGCGTTTGTCGAATGCGTTGAGGGGAACCCATACTCGAGCGCGGCTGAACCAGACATAGTAATGCGCTGGAGCGGAGGTGATAGCGGGCGGGGAAGACATAGCAAGTCCTTGATAAATCCGCTGAAGAAGACTCCAGAGGCCAATACCTGGACAAATCTGAGCGGCGCAAGTTGTTAGCCGACATGGATCCATTCCCAGCGATGAGTTGTCCTCGTTCTCGACGGCTCTAAGAGCTTCACCCCTCCCACGAGCACCTACCCACGGCCCAAATTCGTATAACCGCTCCAAAACAACATCGGCAAAAAGATCATGAAAAAGGTATGCGTTCCCAGGTTGGCGGTGAATGCAAAATAGGAATCGAGGGTCGGAGTACGAATCTTCTCTTGAAACCAAGCCAGGTAGGGTGTCTCATATCGCACCAGAGGCAGGAGTTTCTGTCGAGGCACATAACGCCATTGCGGGAGTCGATTCCGGTCTATTCAGCGATAGAGGAAAGGAGACCAGGTAAGCGAAGACTCGAAACAAGTAGTGTACTTCATTCCGAAAGGGAAATGTCACACACGTACAGTGATCTAGGCTCCGGAGCCCGGCATCTGGATTGCCATTTGCGCCCTTAACCATACTGAAGGCGGCTGATTCGAACAAGTGGTGTAATTGCAGTTTTCCCCATAGAGTACCGGCCAGTTAAGACGTCTCAACACAGGCGCGAAATTGATGACATTGACATCGCAATGGCGGATGAAGAAAAAGTCAACTGAGCGATATGTCCGCTTGCACCTGAATTTTATGCTTTTTCCAGGGGACTCGGCCACTCGGGGCTGACAGAACAGCAGATCAACGCGGGCGGGCCCACGACAATTTGTCCCGCGGCATAAAGAGAGACTGGCGCTTGGCAGTCCAAGCGTCTCGATAACGATTGTGCGCAGGCCCCTTAGCCAGAAGCACGTGACGAGAGGTACGAATACGATTCAATAGCCACAAGATAATCTATCTGCGCATTGGTACAATAATGTCTTTTCTGCACTAGGAACAAATATTAGAAACGAGTTTGGTCGTCATCTAGACAGTTTAGTGATGGCTACATGGAGAAAGGTGACAAATATCAACATCAAACGCAGATATATATTTTGGAGTAAGGGCCCTTGGACCATCAGTCTTGAGGCCTGTCTAGTCGATCCAACCTGGACAGTCAAAATCTTCCGAGTTAAATTATCTGCACACATGGGCAGACTAGCACAAATCATCCATTGGTCTGACTCTCCATGCTTTGTCTGAGATTTGAGGTTCTCAACGCCTGAATCACATGCAAGGAATGTTGCGTGCGCGCAACTCTAAATTCCTTATTAGCTTCGGACAAGTCTAGATCCCTCAACGTAGATAGCATGAAGGTCGTTCATTCAGAGCCTTGATATGGAGGCTGGGGGTGTTCATATCCGACGTAGCAAAGCCTGTTGTGGCATCCGTCTGTTTGGACGATTAAACCACACACGTATTCATGACGAAAGTGAGCGAGAAAGCCTGGCAATTGCTGAGATAAAGGAACATTAGCCGAGGGCATAGAGAGGTCCCTCATCTAGGAATACTAGGGAGCAAGTGGTTACGTGCTGGGGTCCAATTCCAGTAAGGTACTGACAAACCACAAGCCAGTGTCAGCTTTCCGATCGGGCTCAATGATCCGAACCTCCAGCTCAGCCTGGCCAACGACAAGACAACGAAATATGGACCAGATCAACCGGCGGATCTTGTTTGTATCGCTGGTACTCTAAAAATAAGACGAGAATTAAGAGCGTGCACGAATGGGGATTGTGGAACCAAAGAGTATGGTGCGAGGGTCGAGTGGCAGCGGATCTTCATGCGTCATCCCAGCCACGGGCGTTGCCATGGCAGCCCTCCAGCCTGTAAACACCGCATTTTGAAGGCTGCAGTTTCATGTCACCTGCACTCGTTGTTGGAGCAGCAGCCATGCTCTACTCAATTGGGAGAAAACGAGCTTACGAAGTGGCATCCCTTTCATCCTTCAATTGTTCCATTTTTCAACCGCACCTTATCCTCTAAACATCCATCGAGCGCATCAGTTTACCATCTGTTTGTCCGAACCGCACCGCACCATCAGTTACCTGAGAGTCACCTGCAATTGGAAAGACGATAACTCCGTTCTGCTTTTGATACGTCAGCTGGATCGTTACAGCAGCAGCCCGTACATTGGACAGATTTCCCCCTTTCTGGATCCGCCGGGTACCTCGTGGCAAATTTATTCTCCTAGATCCATGGACATGTCAGGACACATGTATGAAGATAGTGGCTACGCAGCCTCTCGACGCCGTTCGCTTGCAACTCCACCACCCTCCATGACTCCAAGACACAATCGGACGCGTAGTCAAAGTGTGAGGGTGAGTAACGGAACTGTCAGCACAAATACCAGTGTCTCAAGTGGAAGGATGTCGGAAGCCACAAACATCACTCAACCGCCAGCGTATTCAAAAAAGTTTGTGGTGGTGGGAGATGGTGGTTGTGGTAAGACATGTCTTCTTATCAGTTATTCGCAAGGGTATTTCCCCGAGGTAAGTGTTTTATCCTTGAACGTCGGATTTGATGAGACTCATCCCTCACTCCTCAAATTTCCGCCTTTCAGAAATATGTTCCTACCGTGTTTGAGAATTATATCACGCAAACCACCCATCGAGCTTCTGGAAAGACAGTCGAACTGGCTCTCTGGGATACTGCTGGACAGGAAGAGTACGACAGACTGCGGCCACTCTCATATCCCGAAACAGATCTTTTGTTCGTCTGCTTTGCCATCGACTGTCCTGCATCGCTAGAGAATGTCATGGACAAGGTATTTTACTCACCTCTTGTCTTCCCGCAACATCTGACCAACATGAACAGTGGTATCCCGAAGTACTGCATTTCTGTCCCACCACGCCTATAATTCTTGTCGGTTTGAAGTCGGATCTGCGCACGAAGAGGACTTGCATTGAACTCCTGAAAACGCAAGGATTGACTCCCGTCACACCGGAACAAGGCGAGGCAGTTGCCAGAAGAATGAATGCTTCCTATATCGAATGCAGTAGCAAGGAAATGCGCGGTGTTGATGAAGTTTTTGCAATGGCAGTCGATACCGTCGTGTCTGCCGAAGAACAAGACTGGATGGGCACCAGCCAGGGTAACGGCCCCAGCAGCAAATTTGGAGGAGGTGGCGGTGGCCTCAGGAGCGGCAGCAAAAAGGTTAAGAAGCGTACTTGCAAGATTTTGTAAATCTTGTGCTTCTTCTCTCCGCTGGCTTGATTTTTCCTTGTTTTTCGGGTCTTCTTACAGCCGATTTCGGGGCCTGGCTGCCTCGACGCCGCGATGGACCAGATAACTCTCTTTTTGTACGTGGCATGCTACCCGAGCCGGATAATAGTTGGAAAGAAATATTCGGCTTCTGGCAGGTGTTGCGGATTGTCATTCCTTACTTCAGACATGCTGGTCAAGGTGGCTTTCTGATTTATGTTTCCTTCATGTTGCTATACCAGTTTGGACTTGATGATTGTTACCATGAACCCAACGATTACCCTTTTTGTCCTCATTTCCATTTGCGCGATTGACTCTATTTAACATTTGATGTCTGTCATGAACTAGCCTGAGGCAACTCTTCTGCATGCATGGCATGGGTGTTTACCGGCGCAAGCAACTGTCCCATGTGCCTGAAAGGATAAACTATCAAAACTGATGATTCTAAACACGTGCTTGGTATTTTTCTAGCAAAATCCGACGTAGTAGTGGTATCAAATAGCGGAATATGCAAACCAGTAAAATAAGTACATAGCTCGTAAAAGAAGTAGAACGATCATCATATGCAAGACACCGTGTGCTTACATCGCTAGTGACTTCTCGATTCTCCTTCGCTGAAACTTTGATCATGGCCTTCCCTTCCTTCCTCTCCATCATGTTGCCCTTCACCCTGTCTCGTCCCTTTCTGCTCATTATCTTCAGAGCGGCCCATGAAGTTCTCAAACTGTGACCAGAGAGCTTCGACGGAACTGAACTCATTGCCGACCTGCGTATCACGTTATTGACAGATTTCTAGGATCCATTGGTTTCGATGCTACTTACTGCAATGATACTTTCCAGGTTGCGGTTTAGGCGGTTGATGTTTTGGAGTACTTGCTCCATACCCTGTCGGTTCCGTCAGTATTGTAGTAAATAGTGTGACTCCAATCCATCAATGAAATTAATAAAGAAAAGGATTTGCACAGTTTGCATGATGCAGTCACTTCTGTGTCTTGTCCAACGCCGGATTGCTTACCACTGCGATTTCCCGAACCAGTTCCGCTCGCTGCTGCTCGAAGACTGTCGGGGTTGATCTCCTCGGTGTTGTTGACATTTTCGGCGCTGTACAACTGTTCTGGCTCGACAAGGGAAGATTCTTCAGTTGGATCAATCTGCTTAGTATCCGCCGTAAGGAATTGATCACGAAATATTATTTCTTGTGTATATTGTGGGATTGTCTGATTTGTTGTTGGACGCGTTGATGTGTTGCCATTTTGCGCTTTGTGGCTGATGCGGGGCGGAAGTGGCAGTATCTGATTGGACTTTGACCGCCTACCTTACCGCTTGTTTAGATGTCATGGACTCATGGTTCGCGATGGTGGTGGTTAGCTCGTTCTTTAAGTGCCCTTAAAGAGATCGAATAGAGAAAAGATGTCCAAACTTTCTACATCTTTAAGGAAAGTTGCTACAGTACGCAGAGAGAATGACGTTCATGGTCTGGATCGGAAGGCCCAAGCAGATTCTCTCAAGAGCGAACAAACACATCATCCATGACTGAAACGTTTGAAGCAATGGCTGCATTTCGAGAAACAGCATTGCAACAGACGTCGGCTGTTGCATAGTGGTATGGCACATGCTCTCGTTACGAAGTAATATTGACGCTCAGTGGGAGATTCAAAGGACTCTTAAGAATTCTGACACAAAGGTAGAATAGCAATGACAAAATGTCAATGTTTTCTTAAAGCCGGTCTGAATGGATACACAGCTGCTCAAAGAAGATTGTAATAAGCTATTCCTATCCAGTTTGCCCTCAACATTAAAGGCCATATAAGTAGCGCCCATTTATGGCTAGAAAGCAATGACAAGCGAAAGAAGACAGGCCAAATTGAACCTCATTTCTCCGCCATGTTAAGAAAGAGGCAATGGGGGCAGACACTAGCAGCACTGTTTGCCATCAGATTGTTGAAGAGGACACAACCAGGTAGCAAACACAAATTTCCAGGTATCCTCTAAACCCTGCACAATCAGCCTCCCTCCTCACCATATAAGAACCTGGCACGAGCTTCTCCATCTTGCTGAAGACATTCCTCCCCTTGCACTCAAGCCAGTCTTTTCCTTCTCATCTCCCAGCCGACAGCGTGTGCTTGGACCGACAAGAACGCGACAAATTTGCACAGTCGATGGCCCGTGACGGTCATACGATGACTTTTCAGAATCTTGACGGTGGATTAGACAAGGAGTACGAACGTCCCGGTCGCGCGGAAGACGACGACATATATGACTGGATTCGGAAATTATATCGCGATTCACGGGGTGCAGAGCTGCCGGGTATGGTGAATCCCAGTGTTCTTGAATGTATGTTCTGCCAGCAAACCGTGGCATGGGAGCCGGTTGCTACCAAATATATCGACAAGGTAGCTAGAGCCGTTGATAATTTCAATCAGACAATCTTCGACAAACTGATGGGCGACGGATAGGTCAAAGATCATCTCAGAGCACGTCCTTCACGAGCCAAACCGGGAAGCTGTCAACCGTGCAGCTTATGAATTGACCAGTCTCCTACAAAGGTGAGAGGGGCGGTATCTTACAGACAGTCAATAACTATTTTGCTGAGACGCTGTCCAACATTCGTCAGGAGCGCACTTTCCGACGCCTCAAAGCGAAGGGATTTCGCGACGGCGGTTACTTGTCTCTCAAACACGTCGTGGATGCGGTCCACCTTAGCAATGAGGACCAAGTGTCGAGAATATCCACGATATTCTTAAGGCGTACTACAAGGTTGCTCGGAGAAGATTCGATTGAGCTGTCGTGTGTGACTCTTCTGGTATCTGGCAAAGTCCGAAAATCTAGACGGTCTGAAAAAGCTGTTCGGCGAAGGGACATGCATAATCGATGCAATAAATATAGTCTCAGACCTGCATCTGCGGCGGCGTGCCCATATAGAAACTCTTCGCTCTTCAGCTAAGAGTCTATGAGTGTTCCAGTGGTCTCTTCTACATACGGAGGCGGTGGGTCGACAACATTCCTGAAAATCTGCTCTCGAGTCCTCTGTAGTTCCCTTTGAGAATTTTCGAGGTCAGCTGCGGCTGATTTCACTCGAGTGCGCATATTTGCTTCACGAGACTTGGCTTGTGTCAGCTGCATCCTAAGAAACACCTCCACATTCTTCATCTCATTGAAGGACTGCTGAATCATCGCGAGGCAGTTCAGGTCGACAAATATGTTATCGAAGAGAATTCCGCTTATCATGCTTCCGCGTGCTATAGTCATACGAGGGAGAGGCTGCACATCTGGATCCAGCCTCATTGCCTGAGATACTAGCACTTGCGTCTGGCTAGCTCTCGACTGGGCTCGGGACAAGCAGTTCTGTTTTCCAAAATCGGCAAGAATGCTTCCAAACCCCCACATATCTCTCTGACAGTGCTGCAGCGCTTCATACATGTCCAGCAAAGCTTGTTTGACAGTTAACTGTGCCTTTGCGAGGCACTGCGCTGCTTGGTAGATGTTATTCAACCGTCCGCTGAGCTCACCATACCAGGCTTGAGCAGCTTTTGTGGCTTCCTCCAGCGCATCTTCTTCAGGAAATTCAGCGGTCGGACCACCAAACAGATTCTCATAAAGCCTTTCAAGTTCTTCATGTAGCCTTAAGCGTTCAGTGCATGCCGCTTGGAGCTCTTTCCGCGCTGCGGTTGCCTCCTCAATCTGAGTCTCTAGCATCTCCTTCTCCGCCTTGATCGCACGCTCTCTCTCGAGGGCACTGTAGTACTCTCGCATCTCTTTGTCAGCTTTCTTTTCGAATTCGTCCCGCCTGCCAGACGCCCTGTACATGAGTCGACGGATTGTACTATCGCGGTATTTCCCATGTTCCTCACGTTCGATCTGTGTAAGCTCTGCAACCTTCTCAAGGCGGTCGCTGGTCTGCGCGAGTTGCTTACGTAGGTCAGACAGATAGGCTTCGTGGGATTTTAGCGTGTCAGGTGTATGTTCAACGGTTTTGAGATCAGCAAGAATCCGACTGTGGTGATCCCTCATAGTGGTAATGCGATCATAAAGAGCCATTGTGCCAGCACAGCCTTGTAAATTATCTTAGGCGGCTAACGTGTTCATACATTTATGTCACTGTTATAGAGCGAAGTGTGCGAAGCAACACGCAGTCTGACGCAGAATGAATGGAGAGGATGCTGTCTACCTGTCTAGTGCTAGCTGTGACGAAATACATAGGTAACCATGCAGGATTCCTAAAGTTAGACCTCGCCAAAGCCCGCCTAAGCCCGTGTGTACCCGCCAAGCACCCAGCCCATGGGTGGGTTTGGGTCTTACTTAGCAAACCTGTGGGTGGGTTATGATTCTCAGACCTAACCTAGAAACCTAATGGTTTGCTAAGTAACCTATAAAGTAAAAAGGGTCATGTGACTAGTTGTATTAAATTATGCTTATATTCATCCTATTTAGCTCTAGGCATAGATTTAAGATTAGATAAGTAACTAATTTTAATTCAGAGCTTTGCTTAAATAAGAATGAATTTTCTATGTTAGTTGACTGAATGGATTGTGTGGCAGCTGGAAAGTCAGCCCGCGATAAGGTATCTCAGTAGGTCAACAGAATATGAAGCACATATACGAGCGTGGTTTTTTATGGGGTACAGGAGACCTTAAGTAACTTCTGTTGACGTATCCCGTCATACACTTACTTTCTGAAATTAGGCCTGCTTAGTCTAGACGTGGATTGATTGTTATATTTTTTGAATTGCCTGAGGTTTTATTTATAAGATGAGAATCTGGTTTATTTCAAAACAGCTTGATTCTTTACAGATTTTCTTTATTTATGAAGCATCTTCCAAATCTCTATTCACGACAAGATCAGTACAGTCTCATGCCTAGGAACCACGGCGCAACACTATATAGACCTGTTGCTGTCCGTCTCCGCCAGTCCTGAGCTCAGGTCTATGTTTCATCTGGGACAAGAAGGACTGCAGGGTTGCTGCCAGGACATTATAGCTCAAGATGAACATGATCAATCTATTGAGCAGAAGGCTTGCACAGATGATGTCGATAAGTGTGCGCTCAGATCAGCGCCGGCCTTTAGAAAGGTCTAGGGGTCTATGTTCTGGATCATGCGGTGGTGTCGTTGAAGAATGTGTTGGCGTCGCCTACGTCTACGAAAAAGGTGTCTGACAGTGACGGGCAGTGTTTGTGGATTCAAGCAGTAGCAGTGACGACTAGCTTATAGTGATAGATGAGTTATGCCGGTGCGTAGATCTCCGCCTCGATAATTCCCAGATCGCCGTCCTCTGAAGCCACCGTCACACTCTGGCCAACAGTAGCATTGAGATCCAACGTCACATAACCCAGAGAAGTCGGGGTGCTCCCTTCATAGACTACGTTGTCGTCCACACTGATCTGAACTGGATACTTTGTCGTTCGGAAGCTGTGCAGCTTCATAACCATCTGCGACACATTGACTGGGCCGTCCCAAGAGTACTTGATCCAGGTGCTGTTTTTGTTCCCGTCACAGGACCACTCTGTTTCCTCGTCATCGTCGTAGGAACTGATCATGTCCTCCGTGTCACATCCAGCAGTGACGTTCAGAACCTCCACAGCTTTGCGAGAGATGGTGTATGATTCACTCGACGGTGTCGGACCACGAGAGAGAACAAAAGGAAGATCTGACCCGGGAATAACGGTGCTCAACCCGCCCTTACTGGCAAATGGCTTGGTGTTGAGGATGATCGTGGCTGGTTTGAGCCCGTCGGATGTAGCAGTCAGAGTCACCTTGCCGGCTCTTGTTGTAGACCGCAGCATGACCCGGTTGATTCCGTTTTCGACTGGGAGGGTAGTTGACAGGATGCAGTTGTCGGCACACTGCGCAATTCCGCCACGCCAGGAAGCCTCGCCAGAAAGAGCAAAGTCAATGATGCTCAGAGCAATGGGGTTCCTTTGGCCCTCTGCATCGACCACCTCAACATCCACCAAGGCAATATCCGCACCGTCAGCCACAAATCCAGATGGCCCGGTATGAGGCGTCAACCGGATACTGGCGGGCTCGCCAGCAGTCGTCTTCGTGTCCAGCACGGATCCACGAGCGCCCAACTGTCCTACGGCCCTGATCGTGCCAGACTGCCAAGTTACATTGGCGAAAGTGAAGAGGAATCGGCTGCTCTGCTCGCCCTTGCCCACAGACTTGCCATTCAGAAACAGCTCCACCTCTTCCGCCGTGGAAACAACATAGACATCCTTGACCGTACTATCGTTGTAGTTCCAATGCCCGATGATATGTCCTGCCAAACGCTCGACATCAACCCAGCTATCCCACATCACCTTGTGCGCGTACCACCCATCCTTCGGCAGCCGGACAGCATCCACCTCGCCGGACCGTCGGTAACTCTCCGCTCCTCGATGGTGTGTATTCGAGTCAGAAAATATAATATTCACCCCACCGGCATTAACCCTCGTCCCCGTCCCGGGCCGCTGTTCGAAATAATCAAACCATCGCCGCACATTCTCCACCGCATGCGAGTCCTGGTTGCGGTTGTACTCGCTCGCATCCTCCCCCTTGTACGGCGGCCCCGCCCCGTCCACATGATACGGCGGCGACCAGTCATCCCAGTACTTCCTCAACCCCTCGTCACGACTATACTCCATCTGCCAGAGGGGGATGCGCGCCCCCTTATTGATATACAGCATTTCGCCCCCGTACTCCGCCACGGAGCTATTCAGCATCTCGCGCGATCCCGCCGCGCGGCCCCCATGCGGATCGTACGTATCCCGCAGAGCCTTCATCTCGCTCATGTGCGCCTCCGAGACCCCGTGGTTGCCGGCTTCGTAGAAGATGACGCTGGGGTTGTTCCGGTTGTAGATGATTGCGTCGCGCATGAGCTCCGTGCGCTGCGCCCAGCGCCGGCCTGTTGCGTCGCCTTCGGAGTCGCCCGCCGGCAGGGCCTGGAGCAGGCCCAGGCGGTCGAGGGACTCGACGTCTTGTTTCCATGGGGTGACGTGCATCCAGCGGATAAGGGCGGCGTTACTGGCGAGGACGAGGCTGTTCGAGAAATCGGAGAGCCAGGGTGGGACGGCGCAGCCGAGGGCGGGCCATTCGTTTGTTGTGCGTTGGGCGTAGCCTTTTAGGTGGAGGGTGCGGTCGTTGAGCTTGAACGCGCCGTGAGTGAACTCGGTCTTGCGGAAGCCGGTACGGGTTTTGACGGAGTCGATGGCGTGGTTGTTGAGGAGTAGCGAGGTCCGGACGTCGTAGAGGTAGCCGTATCCCCAGCTCCAGAAGTTTATGTCGGAGAGGTGTGTTGCGGTGCGGATGGTCCGGGTCTCGTTTGCTTGGAGGGTGTACCGGCCGCCGGTGATTGTTTTGAGTTTCTTACCCTGCACGGCATCGTGGATTTCAACTTGGTACTGGAATGTCCTGGCTTGTGGATACTCGTTGCGAACTTGCGATTCTATGTTGATCGTAGCGCTCTTGCGGGGTATATCCAGGTCGGTGGCATAGATGTAAACCCCGGTGGTCTGCAGATTGGAGTACAACGGTAGAGTCTGGTACAGTCGATCCGTAACATGCAGGAAAACGTTCTTGTTGATCCCGCCGTAGTTGGCATAGAAATTCTTGTCGCTCCACTGGTATGGCGTACTGGTTGCCTTCTCCCTGTACGTCCAGCTATTGTCAATTTGAGCCGCGAGGACGTTGGTTTGATTGTAGAGCGTGACATCGCTGACATCAAAGCCAAAGGCCATGACCCCGTTCTCGCTGCGACCGATCCACTTGCCATTAAGGTAAAACTCCCCGGCGTGGCGGATGCCTTCGAACTCGAGAAAGACTTTCTTATTCCGGCTCGTGGCGGGCAGGTCAAAGTGTTTCCGGTACCAGGCAATTCCGGTGGACAGGTTGGCAATGTCCACGCGGAAAGCATCATCTTCATTCCACGAGTGGGGGAGTGTTGCGTCCTTCCAACCGTTGTCGTTGAAGGAAGGCGACTGTGCAGACGCAGGATTGCCCACGAGTACTTTCCACCCAGAGTTGAAGTTGTATTTCATACGGCCATCATCTCTTGCTTGGGCAATGAGCAGGAGAGAGAAGAAAATAAGGACTGAAAGAATGGACTCTCTCATTGTGAATATATCGACAGATACCAATTAGAGCTCTAGTCTGTGTATCGTCCTCGACTCACAACCCATTTATACCCTGGCATGATCAGATACTTCGCAGCCATCTTGCCACAATGGACAATCTGATGTCAGTTACCGATCCCAGCAACGGCAACTGCATAAGACGAGGGTGTCATTAATCCACCACTGGTAAGCATCCCCGAGATGGGCTGGGAGAGATCTCATCGCAGTAATCCGCTGTTCAATGGGTTGAGCAAAGGCCGAGCAACCTATGATGTCGAATTGAATCCAGGCGATCTGCATCGAATTAATATAATCTCCCTTAGCAATCGGCAAACGAGGCCAGAAACTCGCAGTGACGATGCTAGTCCCCCGCATTTCGGGTGAAGCTATCCCGACACTGGAAGAACCCTGCATGTGCTGGACGTCTGGTGAGCCACTTAGCCAACCTTTTAACATCGATCATTATATGCTGCACATGATGTAGAACTAGCACATATGACCATAGGGTGTGAAAAATAGGGCTTCTCGTCCACATGTAGAATGTGGTTAATTCCTGGAAAGCCCTTTTGCCTCTAAAGGAGCAGTGTGATGCTTTTAATGTGAGTGCTAGTAAATGTGGGTGAGGACTCTAGGGGCCCCTGTTACCCCTAGTAATGATAGCTTATTATTGGTGATAAGGGCTCTATAGGAGTAATGAAGGCTAACTTAGCAGCTAGCTATAGAAGAAATAGTGATTTGGCAGTAGCATCTCACAGCGTAGTCGATAGCCTCATGCCTCCAATGGAACACCCTTAAGCAGTATACCTCCAGACTGCTTCCAGATGGTCTCTTGGTTGGGGTATAGTAGTGCAGCTTACCCACGCTAACAGTGGAGTACCATCACTCTTCTTCCCTCACCAGCAAACTAGCCTCCGGCGGCACAAAAGTCGTGTTTATCGAATTTGTGACTCGGAAGCTGTCCTGTGATCGATGCATATTCTGTCTAGCGACATTGCTCCCAAGTTGTCTATCATTTCTTCCATACATCGTCTGGCACCAAGTAACGTTCATCTCTTGTTGAACAGCGTTAATCGTTCTATGTATCTGTATTTGCTTATACTGTTGTCACCCTGCACCGGAACAGGTAATGGATAGTCGGGCCAACTATGAAAGCCGACACCGTCGAGATCAGCGATCGGCAAGTGCTTTGCTTTTGCTGAATTGATTTATGTATTTTTGATAAACTGCCAAACGCCTCATAAGGCAATAAAAAAATGCGCAATATTGCCGCCTACTCCTACCAACTAGCAAGCCAACGGCAGAGACGTAAGACATAATAGTGAGACAGCACGGGGGAGTGTAATCGTCGAGATACTCCGTAGATAGGTTTTGGTTTAATTTTTCTTGCGAGTCTCCTTTTGATTAAAATTATCAGATTTTACCGTGTGACTACTCTTTTTATGGGCATATCTTTCATTTACTATCTGTTTCTCCGGCGGATGTCAGATTTGCGATTTGCGATATCAAGCATTGTCCAATTGATTCGGCTGGATGGGACGGAACTTGAGCGTACTACGGGAATTATCTGATCCTAGTGAGACCCTGGCCCAAACAGACCATATCTCATTCGTTGGTCTTTTCTCACTGCATTTCCGGTGGATTGTCTAAAATGAAGGGCTTCACAAATGCCACCGACTAACTGTTTCGGGGCATGCCTCAGTCCGGTCTGTTTGGTCCATGGCCCTCAAGCTTCAATATGGTTACCATGTAGACATACCTCACTGGAAAGTGGATGGACTCTTCATCAACATATAAGAGTCCTGAGATCTCTTTCAACATTGATTCAAATCTCTTTCAACATTGATTCGAATCTCCCAGACCAACTTCCTTCTCTCGTTGAAACCACTTCAAGATGGCCCATCGTCCTCAGCAAAGCCCCACTTCTCTCCATTTTCCAGGCCCCTACATGTCCATCGGCGATGGCACCACCACGCCGTTGGAGTTTGTCTACGCACTGGTAAGGACGCTAAGAAATCATTGGCCATCCAAATGCTTACGATAATGCGGACAAAGGACGAATATGGCGTCCACCAAGCCATCGATGAAACTTGTATGCCACGAGGACTGACTGTTCCAACTACACCGCCGGACTCCAGCACTCAGCGGAGTGAGCACGAAGGGCATAGTCTAGATCCACATATGTTCGAGGTCCTGCAGCACGATTGCATAAATAAAAATGTATTTTTGCAGTCCCAGCCCCACGTCGTGCACTATCACTAGCGCTAACCTGACTGAAACCTAGGTCCGACGGCGTATGCAGAACCGAGAGGCCCAGCGTCGCTTCCGCGAGCGCAAGGACCAGCAGCAGAAAACCCTCCAGCAAAAAGCTGAGGATCTTCAAATCAAATGCCAGACTTTGCTGGATCAGTACACAAGGCGGACGGACGAGGTCTGCCGCTTGCTCAAAGAGAATGACGCCCTACGAGCTGAGGCCAAGACCCTCCGCCAGCAATGGGAGCTTTTCTCCACTATTTTGCACAGGTCGAAAGGTTCCCGCTCCTCGTCTGTTGTTGTGAATGAGACTTCGCCGTCCCCGTCGCTTTGTTCTTCGGCTGAAAGGTCCAGGAAATTGGATGACTTCTGGCGGCGTCTGGATGATTTCACCGATGATAGGGAGAATTCCTCCAGTCTTAGTTAGTTATCCATCCCGTCTATGGTCTGACTTATTTCACTTTTTCACCTATATATGATGATATCCCTATCTCTTTTTCTTGGCTACATAATCGGAAAGGGCTTATTGAAGGGAATTGGATGGGATATATGTCCGCCTCAAACGGTGCTGCTGCCACATCGCGACCTCTGTCATTACTAACTGTGTATCTAATGCTGACAACTGAATTTACATCGTCTGGTTGGCTGCTTTTATCAGCGGCCCATCCTTTCCGACCCGAGAGGGAGTGCTGATTGGGTTACTACGGTGATTGTGGCTTGAGCAGTACTATGTACATCAACATGCTTCGTCTGCTAACCCGAACGGGAAATTGGTCCCTGCTTTGATTGGGATGAGACGCACTCGCTCATGTAGTCATACAAAAGATAAGTGATGGGAGCGTTGGCTCTCAATTCATCGGCGAGCTCTCTGAACTCAGTCATAACACGATCACCATGCCGTCCGCAGTTCCATCAAAACCATCATCGTCGTCCAGCTCATCGCCAGGAATCGAGGCCTCACCCAGGCTCCGTGGCAACTCCAAGCCCACCTTTTTGTTCATCGACTCGCAGGCCGACAACCCGCAGAATCCCTCAATAAACAAGCAAAAGCAGGCATTTCTCCTGCGAAACTACCACTGGAAGAAAAAGCAAGCCTCGATTGCGAGGCTAAAACCTTCAAAGCCGTCGAAACCATCCCCATGTCTTGTCCACGGCGGAACCTCGAATTTCTCGCCCGCATATCCTTGGGATGCCATTGCAGAAGAGAATGAAGAGTTCCAGTCAGACTGTCCGCAAGGAACGTTCAATCGGGTTGCAAAAATGTCGGAGATGTGGTCTCTGAAAGCGTATCTGAGCCAGGGTTTTGTGGATCCCTTTTCCGCTCGGCCGTGCAAATGTCCGACTCGATGAATCTGTATTTTCATCACTGTATGAGCTTCTCACGGTTCAATGAGTAGACACGCTGACGAGCCTAGTCCGGATCCACACCATCGCCTCCTGTTATCCCCTTGACTCCACCCGCATGAGCATTTGGTGGTGGCAGAGAGCAATCTCCCAGCCGGCTCTGCTCCAAGCACTCCTCTTCCTCACGGCGGGACACCACGCAACCCTCAAATCCAACAACGGAGTCGTCTCCACAGCCAGCGAGAAATCAATCAAAGACTCCCTCCGTCTCCGCGGGAACACCCTCAAAACGCTGAACGATATCCTGCAAGATCCCATAAAAGCCGTCGCAGAGTCCACCACCCTCATCGTAGCGTCGCTGGTTGCTATTGAGGCGGTGGATGCCAACTTTGAGGCTGTGCACGCACACATGAAAGGTCTAAAGAGACTCATCCATCTCCTTGGCGGCCTCGACGCCCTGGACCACATGACCATCTCCAAAATCTACCAGTACGTCCAGTTCCAATTCCCCATGAAGACGAAGAGACGGAAGTGACAAAACTTGTGCAGGAGCGATGTCAAAAGCGCAGCCCTCCAAAACTCCCGTCCCACATTTCCCATGTCCGCCCGCTGGCGCAGCGAGATTCTCCAGGAATTTACTCTCTCCCGCTCAACAGAACACCTTCACGTCTCTAAATCTCTCGAGGCACTGGGGAACCGCTTCTTCGCTGCACCGTGGTATCCGACCTTAGACAACACCTTGAAGACTTTCGTCCAGGTTCTACGGCGCCTGATAATCTACTTCGAGGCTGCGCAGCAGCAGCCCTCAATCGTCCTGCCGACGGACAACGACCTCTTCTTGGTGTTCGAGCACCAGCTCCTATCGACCGTGTATGAGACCGGCACGACTCTGTTGCAGGAGCCACTGCGCTTGTCACTACTGATCTACCTGAACCTGCGGATCTGGCATTTCCAGGCCTTTCCGTTCATGCAGTTCATGGTCGAGGCCTTGAGGAGGAGTCTGGTACCGGCATACGGACATGCCCAATCCACCGCGCCGGATCTCCTTTTCTGGATCCTGTTCGTCGGAGCGATGGCGTCGCAAGGCTATAAATGTCACCCCTGGTTCGTCAGCCGGTTAACGGAGATGACGCGTCGTCTGGATTTGGTCGAATGGGAGAAAGCGAGGGAAACGCTAGGTGGGTTTTTCTATACCGATCAGCCGGGCGAGAGAGGTGCAGAGAATCTGTGGAACGAGGTGCTTCTAATGGAGAGTTGTAAGTGCTTCTAGGTTCTTGATCCGAGCATGCGGCTAACGTTATGCCAGACCCGTACATCGCCCCAAAACCGACGTCCCAGGTCCTCGTGTTATGATGCTCTAAGAGCCACTCGTTCGCTGGAAGAGTTGCAGAACAACCGCATGGACAACATCACCGGTCTCGTGGTGCGTAGCTTTGGGTTCATACTGAAAACTACGTCAGAGGAAAGTGATCATGAGACAAAGCATGCAACTCAGGCTACGATGAGGACCGGGACGATCCAAAAGCGAGTGTCTTAGAAAATGTTAGGATAACAGTTAGAAAACAAAAGAGAAGAAGAGAACATCTCGACAGCGACACGAAGCTACATATTCTGTTCAACGCAAGCTTAAGCCAGGTAAAGGAAGGCACCCCCCCATAACCTCAAAACATACCCTCAAAAGGCGCGGGTGGGGAGGTCGACGCCGACCACTCCTCGGTACAATGTCCGTAGACGCCGTGGACTCGATCCCGAGTGCCCAAACCTGTTCTCCCACCAGAAGCATTCGTCGAACAGTCGACATCCACATACTGAACAACAGAGCATGGAGTAAGCTCAACAACATGACTCTGGAACATTCGTGAAACCATGCTGCCCAGTGAACCCGAAGGCCCAGAAGACAACAAAGCACCGTACGACAACTTACTAATTGGGAACAATTGTCACCTTACTTGAAAGGCTGACGGCTTTTTACTCCCTTGCGACCACTGAAAAAATAGGACGATTCTAAAATAGAGCTGGTAATAGTAGATAGTACTAAAGGAAATAAGGAGATAGAAAGCTAAGGTATAGCTACTATAGTATTATATAGTAGCTATATAGAGAGCAGGTTAATAGGTTATTATAGAGATAGGTTAGATGTTATAAATACAGATTATATTAAAGTCCTATACTAGTAAAGACTACTCCTATAGATTTCTTATATAGTAAACTATAGCTACCTATACTCCTTCTAATCCATGTACTACTACTGTGTTAAGACTCATGCTATTTACTTATACACCCTAAGAGTAGCTACATACGTAGTGTTCTGCCCGATAGTATTTGACGGTCTCTGCTGGTGACCCTCCGCACCGAATCAGGACTCAGTCAGTCTCACTATGGCAGTGGCCAAGGTAACCTTGTCATAGACTCATAGTAGTTCTGGCGAGTGGCGATGGGGGATTGGCATGCTTCCCTAGATATAACACAATTATAATAACAATTACAATGATATAGTGACATACAGTTGACAGAGGCTGGGGGTGATGTCCCACACATTTTCGAGACAAATCATTAAAAACGGACGCCCCTAGCGGCTTGAAGATAAGAAGCTTAGCATAGCACCTATACACAGCAGCTAACTACGCCTTGCAGTGGCTCACTCCCGCCTCAACCAATAATTTGCAGTATTGGAAATGCAACCACACGATCGGTGGTGGAAAGAGGTCTTTCGATGTCCGCTCTTTGCCGTTGTAGAAGATGTTCTTCAGCCTGAACTCGGCCATGCCCTCGTCTATGTAGATATCAGTCGTGATTTCGGCGAGGTTTTCCATGTCCCGAGGGACTCCTGGATTTTCCGACGGGGAATGGGCTCCCCACAGGACGACGGATCTGGGAGTCTTCCCAACGACGACGAAGTGATTAGTTATATTTGTCCCTAGAACAGAACGTCAGCAATGCGCATTCCCGCCACTAATCTCTATCGAGCCTCGAGTCTTGGTCGGTGTTCTACCTTCTTCGTAGGTACTGTTCAGTAGCTGCTTTTTATCCCACAGCATCGAGTCCTTGTTAGAGTCATTTCGTCCCAGTCGAGCTAATATGTTGCGCTGGATGGCGTATCCTGTACATAAAAAAAAGGAAGCAGTCAGTCAGTAACAGTAACACCGTTGTGATAGTTCCTGTCGGCTTCCCAGCAGCTCCCAGGCCTTTTGCGTTCTCGACGCTACGCTCGAGAGCACTCACCATAACCACCCCATACGCCCGCACAGAACCTCTCGAGGAGCTTTGAACCCCCATTAAGGGCATCATCGACCAATTCCGGTGGGATCTGGGATAGCGGCACCTTTCGCACGCATGAGTCGTTCAGGGAAGGATGAGTTCCCGGGTTGTGCTGCTTGAAGTATTTGCTCTGAAACAGAGGATCATTTTCGGGTCCAAATGGCTCAAAATAGCAATGCATGGTCCATAACTGCCAGCCCCCAGCACCAGCTACAGACGCTGCAGCTGAAAACTTGCAGAGGGTTGCTACCCCTGAGCTCGTAACCCGGAAAAACGACATGCTCCTGTCAGGAAGTATCCAAGTTCAGGTACAGACAAGGAGATTATGACGAGAATCGCGATCAAAAATTTCAAGCCTATATACCGCCTCCGGTACTTTCCAAACCAGTAGGACATCCTGCCCATTTTTTTTTTTTTTTTTTTTTTTTTTTTTTTTTATATTCTCCCTCGCGAGATTTCAACATCAAAACAACCCCCCGCCGATTACTCAGCGGCGAGTGACCTCGTCTCTAGTATAGCGATTTTGGTTTCATAAGGTGCCGAACGACCGAAACCGCCGAACCATTAAATAACCGCGTTGCGGACTCCAGAGAGGGCGGGCTTCGGGAGACCGACATTTCTGGCGGATCTTGGACAAGGCCAGGCGAAGAAAGTGGGACTGATTGCTCTGACAGTGGTAGGACGCAATTGACAGAGTCAAACCCTGAAAAGTCAAGATGGATATGTCTCATTCACCCGCTTTACAAGCCAGCCCGGAGGACATGTCGCATCTGCTTCAGCTGTCGACGGCCACGGAAGAGGTGTCTCAATACCCTCACTGGCAAATATATCTGCAGGCTCCCTCGTACATCTGGGATAAGGAAGGGACCTTGTCGATCTCTGAGATCACGGCTGCACGGATATGATTGGTGCATCCTCAATGCGCATATACTGTTTTTTTTTTTTTTTTTTTTTTTTCGATATTTGGATATTTGCATATCATTTACCCTGATCCCTCGCAAAAGAGGGATATGCAGGCTACCACAACTATATATATTTTTAAGTACGTACAAGTAAAGTATTCCACTTCCTGAGTGAACTTAGAGCCTCGTCAAGGCCTGCTGTGGCCCAGCGTTAGGCTTCCCTCATAGCCCGCGACTCCAAAACTGCCGTGACGCCTTAGCGAAGTCCAGCACAGCAATAACTATCCTAGCCGATGAGATAGTGTCTAGTTTACCTTTCTTGCCTTGCTTGAGCCTCCCAGCAGGCTTACGACGCTGCTAAATGCATGTCCTACTTCACTCCATGGTTTTATTTAAATTTCCCTTAAATCTGGACAGTCCACCAGCACATAGGTGACTGTTCTTGTGCGCCGCACACGCACTGGTCGTTGTCGCGGAAGCCAGAGGCCTTGACATATGTAGATAGAGTTGATGGGCGACCTTGAACACCACGCTGATAGAGTAGAAGATGCCAATGAGCTCCACTACTTGAATCGGCCACCGGTTTTTCTTGGACTTGTTTCAATTCGACAACCTGCAGGTTGTTGTCGAGTGCCATGACAGCTGCACTGAGGTGCCCCTCGCGTCCAGAGGCATCTGAATAGACAATGATGCCTGATGTGGATCGTGCGGCTTCGGCTCGCTCTATGGCCGTTTCTCGGTCTGATCCAATTTCAATCTCCGCGATGGGTTCGTGTCGCCACGGTGGCAGTGGGCTTGGATGGGTCGTCTCTAGCTCGGTCCAATCTTTTGCCATTTTCCAGAGCACCGTGTGGAGTTCGAAGTCGGTGTATGGATTCCATGAGAATATGCAAGTTCTACGTGAAGCGTAGGTTTGTTATCAAAACCGTCTCTTAAGGGCGGTGCATCATGGATGGGTTGTCTTAACATTAGACAAACAGACTACTCCCTTCTTGTCTGAAGGATATGCCTGCTTTCTGGACTCCATAGCCTTTCACACGTATTCAGTAGCGATTGCTGTCACTATTTTAGATTACTTCAGTTCGCGTGGAATATGAATGATATGTAGATTCTCCACTGGCTCATGGGTTTAGGGTCTTGTAATCTAAAACCTCAGGGATCTGATCAAGGATTATTGAAGAACAGGAATCATGCTAGGTGCTATGTAGCAAGAATAGTCATATTAACAAGTCCTAGACCAAGTGAGAAGGTATTTGATACTTTCGAGCCTCATCTACCAGGGCACCCTGTCCCCATTATAATTAACAAATTGGCCAGATGTAGTTGACTTGCTCGCTGCATCGATCTGCAAAGGTGTTAGTAATCCTCGGATAGTCATAATCAATATTCCTTCATACCTGACGTGTAATTCCCCGGACAGTATCCTCAACGGTCACCGGAGCCTTCTCTAATCCATTGAACTTCGCAGCGCGGCTGCCCATATCGGTTTGGACAAGTCTTATTCATGAAGAAATGAGACATCCAGCATCAGTCTTACTAAATCCTTTACAGAATGGGCTTTGGACTTGAGCCTACCCCGGATCAATCGACAAAGCTATCAAGTGCTTATTCTCGGCATCAATCTTCTTAATCAGATAATTTCCAGCCACCTTCGACATCCCATAAGCTGCAGTTAACGAAGGCATTTGTTCAATTGCAGAAATGCTCGCCAGAAGCGTAGAGATATAAACAAACTTGGGAGTACTGGCTTTCTGTAGCAACGGTGCCATGGCTCTGAACAGCCTAAGCGGTCCCAGCGTGTTCACCTCAAAGTGAGAAAGCACGTCCAAGTCAGCCATTTCCTGAATCAGGCCCCAGTGGTTGCATATTCCTGCATTGGCAATGACAACATCGATGTGCTCGATATGATGCTGCGTCTGGATTTCGGACGCGGCCTCCGCAACGCTTGATGGGTTGTCGACGCTAAGCGGCACGATAATCAGACCACAGCCACGACCCTTTGGCAGCGTACTGAGATCTTTCGCTTTCCCAGACGAGATGTCCCGAACAGTTCCAATGACAGTAGTGCCCGGCTGGGCAAGATAATGTGCTGCGAGGCCTCTCCCAATGCCTACAGACCGAATTAAACCCTGAGACATATATATTGGGAGGTTGTTATTGGCTCACCCCGATTGGCTCCAGTGATAAGAATAACACGGCTCATCTTAAGGTGTGCTGCACTTAATAGCGTTGTTCGGCAATTTGGAAGATCGGATGTGCAGGTAACTGGTTTCTCACCAGGGTAGTGCCTTTTTCTGGACGAAATCTGCGAAGTTATATAGTTACTATCTTCGAGGCTCTGCCTGAGGCCAGCAGTCCCGATGTTGATCCGTCGGGCTTTGCGATTGGGTAAGTCGCTCACCTCTTTGCATTTCCCTAGGAACTAAGTAGCAATAGTCAAAATCTCCATTCTTTAGGCTCTTCGCGATATTATACCAACTCCGGATGGTCTATTATCGGGTTTCGCATAGTGTTCGTGTGGGTTCCCTCAGTTCTGGGTCCACTGCGCACATTCTTCACCGATGATTAAGCGGAGCGGAGCGTACTGTGTACATAGGCAGCTACAGAGATGCATTGCAGGTTGACAGAACACCCAGAAAGTTGGTTGCTCCGTGTCACCCTGTATTCAAGCCCGTAGGATAACGGAGGACTAGTCAGAGAGAGTATCCTAAACCGCTTTTCGAGGCAATGCCGATCACTTGCACGCCTACCGCTGAGTCAGCGGTAGCAGCGTGATATTGTAGTTCTGCATGCCATGGATATATAAACACATATACAGGTCTTCCAGTGTTGTTATCGCGAAAGAGTCTCATATGAAATTGAGGTACCCGGCAAGTTTACACTCGGCTGCAAAAACAGTCACGATGGCTAAGCGAACTGTCGTAGTGATCGGTTCTACTGGCTCTCAGGCACGTCTTCCCACATTGCATAGAGATATGAAGACCGCTTACCTTGGTGCCTATAGGGTGGATCCGTGGTTGCAGAATTTCTGAAGCACCCTGATCTCTATCATATTCGGGCAATCACCCGTGACCCTGCCAAACCCGCTGCGCAAGAACTCGCTGCCCGCGGCGTCGAAATCCAGCGTGCAGACTTGGAGGGGGGCAGAGAAGTTCTTACTGCTGCCTTCGATGGTGCACACATTATCTATGCACTGACAGATTTTTGGCAGAAGCAGTCTGCCACGGCCGAGGTCGAGCAGGGAAAAGCTATTGCTGATGCTGCCGCCGCGACAACAACCCTCCAACACTTTGTCTGGAGCGCTTTGCCCGACCCAGTCGCTCTGTCGGGTGGCCAGTTTCTTAATGTACATCACTGGAAGGGCAAGAGCTTGGTCACCGAGTACATCCAGACGGAGAAACCCGAATTGTGGGCGAAGACCACCACCATCCTTTTCCCCAATTACTTTGAAAACTGTCTGACCAGCCCCGACCGGTATCTGCCCGTCAAAGTAAGACAGCCTTCCAGCCTGGCATAAACTGATATGGAATGGCTGAGTACTCACGTTGGAATCTCGACTCAGGACGAAGCAGGTACCTATAGTCTCAAATTCCCTCACAGTCCGAACACGGTGATGCCCAACGTTGCTATCGCTGATACGGGCAAGCTGGTCCACCTGGTCGTCGAAGCCGGTTCGGCCTACTTCACAAAGGTTATTGCGTTCTGGGCCCAAGCCCTGTCGGAGGCGGGGAAGCTGGCTGAATTGGGGAATTGTATGGTTACTCCGAATTATACTGTCTACATTGTTAATTCTGATGTTAGACCACAATGTCCCAACTCGCTACCACCAGTCCAGCGCCAGCGACTTCCAGAAGCTCCTCATGTTCCGTGACGGCATGTCTGAGAACATTGCATTGGACTTCACGGAGCAGTTAATGATTTTTGAAAAGTGCGGCAATGTTTATGCACGAGATGAATTCGTGCAAGCCAAGGAGGTGGGTCAACGATTCTCTTCTCCGTCCAACATCAACTGTTTATTTGGCATCACATGCGCTGACCTATATTAGATCCCTGGGCTGCGACTTCAAACCTGGTCTGAGTTCATTCGACGGCATAAATTGCTGGAGGAGCATTAAGCAGGCTACCCTAGCGCACAAGTCTCCTTCCGTGTATCTGGACAAGTCATCATATCCAGTAAGATAGACAATAGGATGAAAAACGGTCTCCTTCGATTCTGACCCACGTCGACGGAAGGTGGGCTCGTCATCATCGTGGCTATCAATTTGGGTGGAGCTTTACCAAGTGTCTAAAGGGACCCAACCTGATACTTGCCGATTACTCAGCGGAACCGGCGGCTTTTTGGGGTGGCTGACGATGCCTTCAGAGAATATTCTTTTCAACAATGTCGCATGAAGCTTGCAATGCACTCAGGTCCTCAACTAGTACTTGATTTTCCAGAAACTAGTAGTGTCTCTTTTGCGTTATATGAGCAATGCCCAGGAAACGCCCACAGAGTATGCGTTCGCGGCTAGCACAGAGGGGTCCTCGGACACCGAGACGGAGAGCATGCGACTCCTGTTACAAGAAGAAGGTGCGTCTAACGCGTTGCTGGACTCAGCATGGATCTAGTCTTACCCGTCCGTCTCCGGCCTCAACAGATCCAATGTGATGCAGAGTTTCCCCAGTGCAATTGGTGCAAGCACCATAATCTCGCCTGTACCTATAATAGAATTTGGGGCCAGACAGGCGTAGGGTATGGCTATGACTCGATATACTACACGCACTGGATATTCTGATTTGCTTTGCATGCCTTTATTCGCATTTGCCATGCTTTCCGTTCTTCAGGCCTCCAAGTGCCGCCTGCCGTAATGCATAATGTCAAGAATTCTCAACTAATTCTTCTGGTTAGTAATCAGGTGACTCTAACGCCTAAAGAGGGTGCGCAATGTCTCCTTGGAGACCCATTATGTATCCCCAGTGGCGGATGTGCGCTTCCAGGTCCGCCCCGAGCGGCTGATCGGACATGGCATTTGAGACCAGGAAATACATTCCTGAACAACGTCACCTATCTTGGAGGGCACCACGTATTCTCTGATGAAGGCCGGAAATGGATTGAGTCTCAGGTCGGAGAAACTATTAACTTCGACAAGTTGTCCTCTCTCGAACTTCAGTGGTTGAAACCGCTTCGTTTGTATGCGGACACCACAGTACCTCCTGCTTTACGTCCGAATCTTCCTAGTAGACCAGAAGTCGAAAGATACATTCTGGTCTATAGCTCATCCTTTCAGTGTCTAGTTTTCCCCGTGATTAGCAGGTCATTTTTCGAGAAGACACTGGACCTCGCTTACAGTCCCGTCCAGCCCTCAGGTTCAGCCAGCGCCAAATCCTGCGTGTATTCATTTCTCTCTCTAATATCCTTGTTTGGTTTTGATGACAACATACACGGCGCCACGGACTGCCAATCGTATGCATCGGCGGCGCAGAGCCTTTTGACACCGGTGGTTGAGGAGATGACAGTCGATGGACTCCAGTCATTGATCATGCTGGTATGTACAGGTCCTGCCTTACCATGGCCTTCTTTTAGCGCCTAATCGAACTGCCAGGTGCAACTCCATTATTTTCTAGGTGACCTCCAGTCGGCAGCTGTGACTTTGTCAATGGCCACTCGTCTTCTGTATGCACTGGGGGCTCACATATTACCTACCAATAGGAGTTCAGCTGCGTCCTTACTCGCATACGACAAAAGCGAGCTGGGATGCCATCTGCGAGACCTCTTCTGGCTGTGTTATTCATTCGACAAAGATATATGTCTACGGACGGGCCAACCACCGTGTATGAATGATGCACATTGCGATCTTACTCTGCCTTCAGATTATGTGTGGCTACAGGATATCAATCTACAGCAAACCATTCCACAGATAAACAATCATACTAATCCCCTTTTTCCTTGGGATCTCCGTCTCTCGATGCTGAAGTCAAGGATATACAATGAGCTCTACTCCGCTAGTTCCCTTCATCAGTCCGTATCCGAGTTGCTGTCGAGCATTCGAGGCCTCGACGAGGCATTAGAGCAATGGAGGCTATCGCTACCCGGGGAGTTTCGACCGACGCTATACTTTTCCGGGGAGACGCCTGTTAGCGCCAACGTGAATACGCAGGCGGTAATGTTGCGACTCGCATACTATTATTGCATAACCACCATCCATCAAGCAACCAGCAGACGCCAAGTCTCCGAAACTGATCTTGCAGGGCCGAGACTCAAGGAGATCGGTTCAAGTACAAGTCTCTCTATCGCCGCGAGTCGTTCAACACTGTCTTATCTTCATAGAGTGTTGCCTGTGGTGAAAGGGGAATGCTTTTGGTATGGGTGCTGATGTTGAATGCTGAGACTCAATTATAGCTGACGGTCGCCTCACGAATCAGGATCATTCTCTTTTACGCCATAACTGCGGTGTTGACTCTCTTCTGCAATATCATCTCTAATCCCCACGATACTGAAGCCAATCATAATGTGAACTTGCTGCAAATGGTTCCCGGCTTAATCCGCAGGATCCCTATCCGGAAGTTAACCCTCGGCGAAGTCATCCACCTACAATATCTCGACGGCTTTACTGCCGAACTGGCGGCCATTTGTGTGCGTGCTGTATCCAAGTCACAGCAGAGCGCAACCGACCCGGACCCGTAGACTTTGGCGTGAGGGACCAAAGTACCCTGCTTCTGTAGGGTGATGAGGGGTGGTGATGAGGACTCTCGAGTGGTGATGAACGACAACTTTACCAAGCAAAACCCACGCTAGGCTACTGATCTGGCTGCTGTTAAATAGGCGAGAGCCCTGTAGTTCAAGATGAGTTTTTCAGTGCCCATCTCATTTGATCTTTACTAAATTGTCTACTGCCCCAGGTAGACCTCGCCAAACCGCGGGTTAGGTTGGGTTCTTTTTGGGCCCGCCCACGGGTAACCCAAGCTGGGGTTGGTGCGTCCTAAACGTGTTGAGTATGTATGGTGAAATAGTGCTATTCAATACCTTCTTTCCGTCGTATTGTGGGGGAATGTCATATGGAATGTCGCCTGTCCTACGCAACGGCCCGGGCACAACGCATCTAGAATATTGGCTTCTATTCCAAATTTAACGCCAAAGACATTGGACTTGTCCCAATATCTGAGAGCAATTCCTGGAAGGATTGACAAATACCAAGGGGTCCCACCACCCATTCTCAGGGTTCCCAATGGTTGTCAATGGTAGGCCAACATTCCTAGCGAGCAACTTGTGTACCCATTCATCTGCCGCAAATTCTTCTGTCGTCCAGAGAGATATCTTCGAGTTGTGGCAGAGATAAGACCAGCACTTTAATAAAGCATAATTACTTGGACCAATTTTATGCACCGCACCTGATTTGTCATGATAATGACGAAACCATTTAGTCTCCACCTGTCGCTTGCTTGTTGATTCTTCTATTTAACTTTTTTGGTGATTATGTACAGCGGAGCCCAACTGGATGCAGAGATAACCTTGAAGCTGAGTATAAAGACATAAAGTTACCACCCGGAACGATGTCCAGTGTCCATAGAATGTGGTACCTTGTGTGGGTTTGGAATGCTTGCATCCCTTGGTCGAGCGCCTGACAAGATAAACACTCACCTCCTATAGATTGCCACCCAATTGGAGTTCTGACATACAGATATCTGACGCGATGCTGCTTTACATCCGGCTCTTTGCACACCTCCCATTGTATATGGAGGCAGTCTATTTCCAAGGATGATCATCAATGACGAGGAGTCGGATCCTGTACTGTGGGGAGAGCTGGTTCGATAGCTGACTATGCACCAGGGTTTTACTGGAGACCTACTGTGTTGGAGAATGTAACCCTCACAACCAGTTTCAGCTATGGGGTCCCGACGCGTGCATAGAGCATTCCTCTCCTCCATAAAATAAATAAGGGTATGTCCCCAACACCGGTTCTTGAAAGAAAAGCTACTCCCGACACGTTTGAACTTGGACACTATGAGGAGATTGATATCGTTTTTTTCCAATCCTGATGCTTGGGCCTCTTGCCTATGCATCAGAAGATGTTCCCAAACTCCCATCGCGAGATCCATTCTACACACCAAAAGCCTCTAACTGGACCGACGAGAAAGCAGGCACGGTTCTCGATTCTCGCAAGGTGACCATCGATCTGCCCGTCTTACCAGGTGGTGATATCGAGTTCGAGGCCTTCCAACTGCTCTACGTAACGCAGGATCTCCACGAAGAGAAGGCCACATCTGTCACGACAATCATCGTCCCGCAGGGAGCAAACACCAGCCGGATCCTGTCCTACCAGATTGCCTACGATGCGCCCGACATCAACTGCTCGCCCTCCTACGGGCTGCAGAAAGATGCTAATAAGGCTGCGGCGGGGTGGTCTCTTAACCAAATGATCTTTGTAGCCGAGGCTCTGGCTGACGCCGGATCGCCGGTTCTGAATATCCCCGACTATGAAGGATCGAACGCCGCATTTACTGTGGGGCCCCAAAGCGCCTACCAGACCCTGGATTCAATTCGCGCTGCGACGCAGTCCGGAGAGATTACGGGGATCGACAAAGACGCGGAGACCGTCTTGTTTGGCTACTCTGGCGGCGGGTACGCGTCGGAATGGGCTGTTGAGTTCCATCATGACTACGCGTCGGACGTTAATATAATCGGAGCTGCGATCGGTGGGCCTCCACCGAATATTATGAAAACGTACAAACATGTCAACGGGAAACTTTCGACATTGAATGTCTGGGCCATGCTCGGTGTGATGAATGCAATTCGTGATATCGACATATGGATGCGTGGGGATCTGAAAGATGAACACCGAGAGAAATTCCTCGGTGCCCTTCAGCGTTGCAGTGAGCCTGAAGATAAGCCCCCGAAGATCCCTACTTGGGCCAATATCAACAATTGGTTCAAAAACGGGGACGAATTCTTGACGAAGTTCGAGTCGAATCTTACAGAGATTGGCGTTATGGGAAACCGTATCACGGAAACAACAGCGCCCAAGTTCCCTCTTTATATCTATCAGGGCGCATTGGACATCATTACAGCTCCGTATAAAGATACAAAAGACCTGAAGGAAAAGTTTTGTGAACATGGAACGCCTGTCTTCCTCGTCAAGTGGGCGGGAATGGGCCATGGTGGTACTCTTTTTGCTGGCACTACTTGGGCCATGAAATGGATCAAAAAGGTTTTCAATCGCGATGAGATCCAAAACGGTTGTCACGAAGAAGAGCGCGAAGTGGTTTTCGGTGCCGGAGATCTAGCTGGATTATTCGGAGGCCAATATGATGACGGCGAGATTTCTACCAGCAGACGGCTTGGTTGGGGAGACAACGAGGGTCTGCTTTCTATCCAGAGTGGAGCACGCCCAGTGGATGTATTCCAGAGGGCAGAGCTGTGACATACATCTCTAAAGTATGCCGACTGATTAGCCGTGAGTATAGCGATGTAATAGTCTGTTGATGGGGTCTTGTTGAAAGTTAGGGAAGAGAATGTGTTTGGTTATCTATCAGCGTGAAGTGAGTTGGCCGAATGCTTGCTCCAGCTGCTGTCATGGAGAAGACCAGGGTTGTATTTCACTATTCAACACAATATAGCCAATTTAATTTCAAAGGTCAGGTTGCTATATCTTAAGTATATCTAAAATGAATCCATTGTACCCTGGATCGTAGCCACGCATGTAGAGTTCTGCCCAGTCACCGACATTCATAGACCATCTGGGAGGCCAAGTATTTGGTCTCAGTCGTGCCAACGTTTGCTAGCATCTGACAGTCTTTCTGGCAACACTCTGTTCTTCGCTCGATCCAGATCGGACGTCTACTGGGAAGGCCAACTTTGCAAATGTATTGACGGGATCCATTGGTTAAATTCGGACCTCACGGTAGATCAGGGATTGATGACCAATGTAGACGAGATGCCTGTTAACGAATCAGTGACATTCATGAGGTCAGTGCTAAATGTACTTTGTCACCGGAGGAATAAACCATCAGACTGTGGAGCTCTTTCGGTCAGCTTATTGGAAAAGCAGGTCGAAGCGTACCTGTGCTGCTCACCCGATTTCACCAGATACTGTAGACGGAGGTTCCTGAAGAGTGGGCAGGCGAGGAGGACATGCCGCACGGTCTTGGTGGCCCTTCTGCAGCAACAGTCTCCGTTCTAGATATCTGGTACTCCCCGTTAGTAGAGATAATGTCAAAGCCCTATCTTCCTGTGCGCATCTGTATTATCACTGTACTAAGGGCCTGAGGAAGGCCTTAGTGTAGTCTTAGAACCTTCTTCATTCGGGTGGGCATCAACTCATATACTGCCCGCCCATGCGGGCTTACTTGCCAATCTTATTCCCACTGATATTTTATTGCCTCTGGGTTTGAGACTCTACTGCTGAACGGAGGAGATTATTAAACTAGCTGTGGTGCTGTCTCTGCAGTCATTTACTTCTTTCACCCTGCTGCGGTGTCCATGGATCTACTGCCATCCTATAACTACATAATGGGTAAGCGAACCGCCACAGCGCCACCATCCAAGATTGGCCGGAGCCGAAATCGAAGCTGTTTTCAACCCTTAAAAGATAATTATATTACCAAATCTAGTTATTCTTGCGCTGTGGACATTGTAATCACTTATAGCGCTAGAATATGGCAGTTACTGCAGCACAGGGGGCTATTAAGGGTATTATTCTACATCTACTACCTGCTCTATAGGGATAGACGGATAGCTTTATTAGCCTAACTCCTGCGCTAAATAAACTCCTGCCCTTCCTAGATAGAGAATCCCTCTATAGCTTCCATCTACCTCCTAGATTACTTCCTCTTTCAAAGCTGCTCTTATATACAGTATATAGATCCTAGACTTCTGATTTAGAATTTGGACTCGAAATCGCAGCGGTTCGGTTCCAACTGGGGTTGGACTCGCCTGAACTCGGACCGAATGCAACTGTAGTTAAGATATGGAGAAGAAGGAAGTCTCAGTGTCTCGGTCTGGAGAAAATAGATGCGTCGAGACTCTCTTGAGTCTCTGATGCGGTCATTATCGTTTTCGACTCTTAGCGCCGGGAATGACTCCCAGATCCGTGATGGGCGGGTTTACAGATGAAACAGGAATGTTTCGACTTGGAAAGTTGTCGCATGGCGGTAAGGCTTCTCTTTGACTTTCTGGGATGGGACCAAGGATCCAGAAAGGATAGCTGATATTCGGTCTCAAAGTGGGGATTGCCAATCAGCTCGGAAAGACCCGCTGATCAACCACAGGACGTCATGGCTTTGAGGAGTTCGTGTTGTTGAGGAGTTTTATGGAGTGAGAGTGGGGGACAGAAGTTGGAACACAGACATTATTTACTTCTAACAAAGTTAGAGAGGTAGTGTCTGAGGAATGTCTGATTGATTGATTGATTGATTGATTGATAATGACAAAACCTTTCCGAAACAGACGAACCATCAGGCTCATTCATCCTCCATCTTCCCACACGATCATCGATCCTTATTTGCTCGAGCGCAGCCACATCAGCAGCGTGTACGCCATTTTCCTCCGCAAGCGCCCACTTAGGATTCTGCTGCGGTCAGCCACAATGTAAACTGTTGCCAGTACGAGACACAGACCCCCACCTGTGCATGGTAGGAGACCATCATTCGCACTCCTAGTGATGCTGCTGAGCAATAGTATCCCGGCGCCCTCGGTGCGATGGGAGATCTGTGTGTCGGATAAGGTCATTCGCAACAGAAGGAAAAATTCTAAACCCCGCAAATTTAGGATTATCGGCTGCATGTTCATCCTCTTCAGTCACGGGAGCTGGTGGCTGATCAATCTTATAAAAATGTTTATTCCTCACGCGGGTCTTTATAATCCTGGAATACCCTCCGTTTCCTTTTTGATCTTTCTTTGCTTTTGCGGAAATAGTATCCCAAAGCGACAATCGTCTGTCATCATCGCTTATTCTCAGCGAACAAATGCCTTTACCTCGTCTGACAGCATCTCTGAGCATACTTCCATCACTGTCAGTCCGCTTCTGTTGACTCAGCGCTGCACTGGGCACCACATAAGCTATCCATTACAAGCAACTACACCAACACTCGAACATGCGAGACATGCCATCCAAGTTCATTGAGATCCTCGATCCCTCAGATAACCTGCGCTTCTCCGACTCGGATGTCCGCCTGGAAGATGTCCTGGCCGATCACGAGGCCATCGTCACTCGACCTCGGTCCGCCACGAAGACCAGTGACCGGTCAGACCGTGATAACTCCTCCTCGCCGGCGCAGCGTTGGAAAAGACTGAGCACTATCCTAATCATGCCGCGACGACCTTCCACATCATGATCGCTATACTACGGTCCCAGAACCAAGTTCTGGTATATTTCAGTTATCTTGCGACGATTAGACAGATACAAGAGACTGCCACCTTAGACACGGATATCTAATACCACTACGATACGTTATTTTGGATTACCGGGATAGTTGGCTGGCTCGACACAAGGGCTCCTCTTGTTGGCTGGGACTTGGTTGGAAATCCTCTGTTACGATAATGACGTTACGAAAATGAGCCCTCCTATACCCCGTGCATTATGCTATACACTTTTCTTTCTCCTTGTTCAATAAGAGTCGGCTGGCCTTAGACACGCAATCCTTCTCCATCATGTACTACTACATTATGTCTTCTTGGACCTTCCTGCGCCACTGCATCCGACAGAATTCGGAGAGACATCCAATATCGCCACTGCTGGCGTGGCCTGTACAGCATGACTGCAAATCATCCCAAGTGCATTGACATACCTGTGGATAGATAGATTGACGGATATTATGGGACACATTGCGTACTCGGTGGAGTTCAAGGGTGTATGTCGATCCTGATCGTCTGTGTTGATCAGACATGCCGTTGATCCGGACATACAAGCGAACTATATTTAGACTTACAAAATAGAGCAAATAATCGCTGAATAACAAGATTAAAATACCTAGTATCTAGTCAACCTCTTCTCCAAAGGTAATATTATCTGATATGCATTCCAACGCCTGTGACGTCATGGGCGCATGCTCAGCCCCGGTGTGGCTTGGCGTCTAACATGTCCCTTTCTCTATGTATGATTATGACGATGAACATATCAAAGAATGGTATACTTTGATGAAGATTGGTACACTAGTCAGCATTTGGAAGGCTAAGGATCTCTGCAAAATCCTAGCTCAGCAATGCCTCAATCCATGAATTGCCACACCCAGCGCATGCAGACGCGAAGCTGTTCCTCCGCCAGGATGATATCAGCCTCCCTGCCCTGCCGGGGTCGGTCGAGTAGCTCCTCAAGAGGAAGAACGAGAGGAGCCCCAAAAACAGACTCGGGACTGATCTCAACAGTCTGAGCAGCGTACGCCTGCAGAGAAGCTTCAGGCTGATGGGATAGCTGATGTTGATGTTGCTGTTGCTGTCTCGGCGAGCCGTCTTGCTCTCATTTCTCGATAATCAGCGTTCGTATCTGGCGATGTATTCCCAGAACGAGGACGACCCGGACTTCTTTTTGCGAGTTGCGCAGCCACCATCTTGCCTCTTCGCGGAGCCGGGGAAGTGATGCCGTGGCGCCTGCTTCGATGACCAGGGTGGGCCAAGCCTCGCTCTCTCGTTGCATCCGGGGCTTGGGAAGAGACATCCATCCGGCTGTTTGCCTTTGCGTCCTGCGCAGAGAAGCCGGGTGGTGGTTCTGCCCCAGGCGAATTCTGTGGTAGGGTCCATTCCCCTGCGGCTGCAGAAAAGGCCGATGGCGCGCGTGATGTTGATCGTCATGACATCGTGCCCGTGAATAAGGATCTTGAGGATGCCGGTGGTATCGTCCCACATGAATCGGTATGGGATGCCGTGCAGGGGACGTTCTTCGCTGTCCAGCTGCATGCGGGCGTTTTGGTCAGCCCGAGGACGAGGATGAATTGGTTTCCGTTGCCTGTCTGGTTCAGGGGGAGTGAGACTTGCTCTGCTCTTTGCTGGAGGTTTTCTAAGGTGTTGAAATGGACAACGATGTGATCTTCTGGCAGATTTGCCGTCAGTTCTTGTCTACCCACCTCCTGGATAGGCCTGGGCTATTAGATAAGGTGCATTTGCATCCTGACGTGTCTTGTGCTTGTGGCTGTGGCTGTGGTTCTCTATCGAGTCTACCTCGACACTGGAGAAGAATGCAGGGAGTATTGAACTTCTCAGAGGAACAGATAAGCTTGATGGTTGCAACTGGATGAGGGAAAGGCGTGTGCACAGTGAGAGTGCGACTTAAATTGAGTGAGATTCAGATATGGCTATTGCCTTGCCCTTTAGGGTATACCTTTGACGAGCCCATTGCTCTCATATATCCCCCGTGTAATGTTAGAAGCCTCAGGCAGTCAACACATATATGATGGCCACCAGACGACGGTACTTCGAAGGTGGATCTGGACCAGCTCGTATATAGCCATTACAGTCGCAACTTATCCAGATAGTGCTCCCATAATGTAACATCAAAGAGAAATCAGCGATCAATCTGCATCATTCAAACAGGTGTAGTGTTTGTTGATGTTGTCTAGATGATGCGTTATCAGTGACGTCACGCTATCCTGCGACATATCAACCATCACCACCCGAGTTCCTCTCTATACTTCGTTCTGTTTATACAAACTATCAATCGCAAAAATGCCCCCAAAGCGCGCGAAAAAAGCCACCTCAGCAGCAAAAAACCCTCCATCTCCCCCGCTGTCTGAGAAGAATGCCACGACAACCCACGAACCAGAATCCAAGCCCGAGCTCGAGTCCACTGACCATGCCAGCCCACCCAGCTCCCAACAAAGCGAGGAGATAACAGACACCGTCCTCTTCGACTCCGACGAAGAGATGCCAGAGGAAACAGAACACACCATTATTGAAGAAACAGACAAACAGAAAAAACCCAGCTACGCAGGCGGATACAACGCCCTCAAGTCATTCAAGGGACAGGTATACTCGGGTATGGCAGTAGGGGGATCCCACACCTGGACCTACGACGCAGGAACCTGGAAAGAAACCAAGGAAGAGCCGGATCTCTGGCGGATCGACTACAGGACCAACAAGCGACGAGCGCGCAAAGCGCCCGAGGGGAGCGGCGCCCCCGTCGGGACAGAGTACCACTGGCTGATCGTGGCGCATCAGCATGTGAAGAAGGTGGATGCGAACACGTACGAGACGCATCTGACGGGGTCCAAGTATAAGCTGGCGTACAAATCTGCGTCGTCTAATTCGTGGTCGATTCCTACGGTGAAGAAGCAGCGCGAGAGGGAGGTGGAGCTGCTTGAGGATGCGAAGCAGAGGGTTCAGGGGCTGCCGCCGGTGTTGGCGACGGAGAAGGTTAGAGTGGAGAAGCATGAGAAGGGGCAGCAGAGGTTGGATAGCATGTTTACCAAAGCTGGGACTGCGGATTCGGGGTCGAAGAAGAGGAAGATTGATGCGACTTAGTCGGGTTTACTTGTGTTCTAGTGTAGTTGTTAGTGAGTGATTATACCAAGAATTGGTCTGCTGATGGGTACTTACACTATTGCAGTTCCTGTACTAGATATCCATCATCTGGGTGATAATCCAATGTTGAAGTAAATGACCCCACATACTCCGTAAGGGTACGTCCTATAGCAATTGATAGATGATTCCTGTCCCAGAAGACTCGGCATTGAGGTACTCGGTTCATCACAACACCGTCCTGACTAGACAGCCTCAAGATCGAACTCAGGTCATGAAATGAATTTCCTTGAGGATAAGGGCCATTGCAGCCAAGAACGGCTAAATTGACGGTTTAATTATACCCCCGCAACTCTCGGGGTAGTAACAACCGATGCCGTCTTGGCTACACAAAGTCCGGGGTATAAAGCTCGAGAAGGATGAATCCGGAGTCAGTAGAAGCCCAAACTATCAATTGCTCTCAATATGCGGGGAATCACGTCGTTCTGTGCTGTCTTCCTTGCTGCTACGGCGCAGGCCAGATATATTGTGCCCGGAGGCCGATGGCGAGATACCAACGGGGACCTGGTCAATGCTCATGCTGGCGGTCTTCTCTACGACGACAAGTCGGGCAAGTTCTGGTGGTTTGGCGAGTACAAGATTGAAGGCCAGACGGAGGGTGGCGGTGTCTCGGTCTATAGTTCAGAGGATTTGGCGACGTGGGAGCCTCATGGGTTGGCTTTGAGTATGACATTCAGTCACCTTGGTAGTGTCTAGCTGATAAAAATCTGCAGAGCCGGTTGAGGGCCATCCGTACATCTCTCCCAAGCACATCATCCAGCGTCCGAAGGTGGTCTACAGCGAGGAGTCGAATCAGTACCATGTATGATCATCCTCTTTATCTATGCTTCTTCTAACGAACATTAGATGTGGTGGCATGCAGATAATTCCACTTACGGCTGGCTCCTGCAAGGATTCGCAACGTCCGACAACATCACTGGGCCCTATACTTTTGTCGACGCTACGGCACCGCTAGGCAACTGGTCGCAGGATTTTGGGCTCTTCACTGACTACAAGGACGGCCGCTCGTATGCGCTCTACTCGAACGGCGACAGCAAGTACGGACGCGACGTCTACCTTACCGCGTACAACAAGAACGTCACCGCGCTGGAGAAAGTCGTCTACCGTTTCCCAAAGTTCGACCTGGAGGCGCCGACCATTATCCAAACGGAGAAGAGTTACTGGGCGTTGATGAGCCACAAAACTGGTTACCGGCCGAACAGTAAGTGAGCAGAGCCTTGACGGTAATTGCAATGGCTGACCGAGAAGACGTCGTTGCGTTCCGCGCCGACTCGCTCAGCGGTCCCTGGTCCCAGCCGTTTATGGTTGCTCCTCTGAACACACGCACGTTCAACTCGCAGTCTGGTTTTTCTCTCCGGATCAAGGGGACGAAGAAGACGACATACCTGTACATTGGTGATCAGGTAAGTCGGTCCTTGGAAGGATGAATGGAAGGTAACGAGTACAGTGGGATTCCAACTCCCTCTGGGAAAGCCGGTACATCTGGCTTCCTATGGATATTGATGAGGGCAAGAAAACGCTCGACCTTGTCTGGAACGACGTCTATGATCTCAACGTGTATGTGGTCAGCCAATTGAATAAAGAAATACTGACGGGTCCAGCAAAACCGGGGAGTGGAAAGCCATCCGCGGCAAGACATACACTGCCAAAAAGGCCAAGACGAACGGCAATGCGTATAAACAGGAAGCTGTATGTCCTTCGCCTTCAGTCACAGCTCAGTCGAAATGCTAATTGAGTAGAACTTTGCAACCGACGGTGTCATCCTGACAGGGATCTACGGCAATGACAGCACAGTGACCTTTGAAGGCATTGAAGGAACTGGCAAACCACAATGGGTGTCTTTCTACTACCAGAGTACGTCCTCTTCACCCTATCAATTTCCGTACTAACGTTATAGACACCGATGACATGGGCTTCGGCGATCAACGTAAGTTACCCTATGTGTCAGAACCAGTAGCAAAGCTAACAATATCAGCGGGAGGCTCTCCCGATCGCATCGGTGGCTCGTGGCAGCTGCGTCGCATCAGCAGCGTCGTAGTCAACGGGAATACGTCGAACGTTGAGACACTTTATCAGAGGGATACACACAAGGGCATCATTCTTTCGGCGCCGCTGCTGCTGACCCTAGAGAAGGGCTCGCATAACACGATTACAGTCGGAGGATTGTACAATGGATTTGATTACAAGGGGGCAGACCTGGATAAGATTGTGGTTTATCCGCCTGAGCATTGACAGTGGTGGTAGTAGAATTGTGTGCCTTATCTCAATTCATGTGTACTAAAAGAATGGCCGGCAACGGTGAAAAGGAAATATATAGTTACACGGAGAAAATACTGGACAATTCCTTCCCATCCCTCACAATGTCGAAGAATATGATGCTAGAAGTATATCTTCAACAGCTAGTTCAACTGTTTCACTTTAATTTCATGAAAACCCCATTAATTCTCATATTATAACCAAGTGATAAAGCTACAAACGATATTTCCGTCGAGTTATTGGTAGAACCATCAAAAGGTAGGTATGGATATAAATCTTAAGTCTAGTGGCAATATCAACAAAAAGGACTGGTACCTCAGTGGTAGAGGGTGAGATTGCAATAACATCGCAAGATGTACTGTAATATCTTGAGGTCCCGTGTTCGATCCACGGTCAGTCCTAATTTTTTGTCTTTTTTTTGGACCATCATTATTGCCAAGACGGCTTCTCCACCAAAGCGCGATAAGAATGTTTTAGCTGCGGATTATCATAAATGGTGTTTCTCATCTGGATTCAAAATGATTTTATGGTACTGCTAGTGAGCAGTTCAACTTGGGCCCCCGGCCGATTCTCTCCTCGTTGTTGGGTTAAGGGCTGCAACATAGATACAGAGCGCATGATGGACCTATGCGCATTAGGAAGAGGAGGTTGATCATGTAGTATGCTCCTCTTCAAAGACCTAATCCCCCACGGCCTAAAATAATGTCTAAATGAATAGAAGTTTAAAGATCAAGACCCTATTTTAGAAACATAATCTTGGCGACGACAGTCGTGGTGCCAGCGGGGTGTATGGACCGATCTGCATGCTTGTTTAACATGCATCAATATGGCTGCCTGATCACTGTCTATACATATTTAAGAGATACACCGATACATATATTCTGATTGTCAACTAGTCGTTGACAGTCAGACCCGCAGATCATGCATGATGAAGTAAATAATATGATGAATATGATATCATATATGTGAAATCAAACACATGCAATTAATATAAGGCCCCCCATCATCCTCGCCATTATCTTCATCAGTTCCCAGCCACTAAAATGGACGAGAGAATATACACACTAGACAGACACGGCGACATCACCTTTGTCGTCTACGATGTCCCAGACTCCCTCCCGCAAACCCTAGACCAACTACAACCCTTCCTGCTGGACGGTTCAACACCAATAATCACCTCACCTGCAGCAGCAGCAGAAGAAGAAACCACCCAAAACGAACAACCCCAAGCAGTCCTCAAAATCCGCGCCTCCTCCAAGCACCTCACCCTCGCCTGCCCCCAGTTCACCCGCACCCTACACAGCGGCTTCCAGGAATCCCACTCCCTCCATGAAAAAGGCCACCTGACCCTCGAAATCGACAACTGGGATCCCGCCGCCTTTCTCGTGCTTATGCTCATCATCCACGGGCGCACACGTCCCGTTCCCAGGAGACTAACTCTCAGCAAACTCGTTGACTTCGCCGTCCTGGTCGATTACTACGAGTGCTATGAGGCAGTCGAGGTCTTCACTGATATGTGGATTACGGCGCTGAAGAAGCCCTCTACGGCGACGTCGCTGACCTCGCTTACCCAGGCGGAGGAATGGCTGTTTATCTCCTGGGTGTTTCAGCATCGGCAGATGTTTGCGCAGGCGGGCGGGTATCTGCTGGGGAAATTGACCGGCAGATTCTGTTCCGAGTTGCCCGTTCCGAGGCGAGTGTGCGGTATGTTTTCGATCTTTATTCGAGGAGTCGTGGGCAGCGCTGATGGAGCTAGATGCGATTGATCGCGCGCGGGAGGATGCTATAACCAGGATTCTTGACAGACTGCATGGCCGGTTCGCTGTGTTGCTCTCGGACAAGGTGCAGTGCTCGTATGAGTGTGACGGTATGCTTCTAGCAGCTCTCACGAGGCACATGCATCGACTTGGGATCCTCGAGAGGCCGGCGCCGCCGTTTGAGGGGATTGCGGCCGAGCAGCTGGCGAAGGAGGCGCCGGGGGCTCTGCTGCCGCGGTGGTATGAGCGTGGCGGCGAGATGCAGCATTCCTGTCTCGCGACGCTGAATTTCAACTCCTCGCTGAGATGTTCGGGGGATGTGGTGAAGGTTGTGAAGTTGGAGGAGTTGACTGAGCTGAGGAGGAAGGACTGTTGAGTTACGCAGCCACCTGTCATTTGCGGGATATCGAGCGATTTCTGCACTTAAACATGGCTATCCCTTTGAGTTTGTGAGGTAGTATTCAGGCTGATCAGGCTGATCAGGCTGATCTATTTGACTAACAGTTGTCGAGAGGAGTCTAGGCATGGAGACTTACTCTGCTATAGGAATCGGCAATGGCGATAGGGGGTGGTAACTGGTACATAGTGTATTTCTTTTTGTGCTATGATGTTACGATTGCCTACAGCGTACGGTATGTTAAGGCACCTAATGATTTGATGCTAGACAGGTATAATAACTGTTCTTGTGTATTGATTAATATTCATTCTTGTTGGTATCACCAGTGCCCATCACTAGATACAAATCATATCAAATACATAACATGAATTCGTCAGGTGTCATTCGCATAACTAGACCAGTCAGATCAATCAATCACAGACTGTCTGGACAGAACATACCACTTTAGAAGCAGATTAGATCTGCTGCTTGTGAGCCTCGGCCTTGGCGTCATGCTTGGACTCGTGGGCCTTGTCGCTGAGGGCATCCTTGGCGGCAGAGGCGCTGGACAATATTAGAAACTGCTGCAAGATCCTGCAGAAAAGAAGAAAACTTACCGAGTGCCAATGGGAGCATCGGAATCCTTGGCGACGTCCTTGTTGGCTTCCTTGGAGGTGCCGTGCACGGCCTGCTGCACGCTCTCGCTGACGTAGTTGACACCCTGCTTGATGGACTCCATTGTATTGGTTTGTAGATTGGATTGGATTGGATTGATTGAGTAGTAGAGATTGATTGATTGACTGATTGATTGTTGCTTGTTGATGAAGATAGAACAGAGGACGAAATATGAGGTTTTATATAGGAGGTCCGGCATGATGATGTCATCTATACAGGACCCTAATGTCGTGATGTCATCGACTCGCTCCAAGTATTGGATGCGCAACATTCTGGAATTAACCTCGCAAAACAAGATTGGCTGATAAACTTTATTGGGTCATACTGAATTTAGGAATTATGGTACCTCATACACTGCTGCGTACCAGCCACATGTGCTATAGTACTAACCACATAATGCAACAGACCACGCTCCACCCCAAACCACAAACTTGGCTTCAGTCCCTTGCCCGTCTCCTCGGCTTGCACTAGCTTTCCGACCTCGGCAAGGATTACGTTCCCCGGGTAGATCAGATCTTCCCCAGTAGCGGTAGAGTAACCACTGGGTCGTGCACGGAATCACATGCAGCCCGCCATGAGCAGTAACGAGACTGTATCCGTCCCTGGCTTCCAGGACGGAGATTGCGTCGTGGATTACGCTGGACTTGGCTGATGTTGCACTGTTGGTGTTGCTGATGCTGCATGCCTGAAGGTGTAGCGATGGCCCGCGACCTGCCCCAGATCGACGGAGATGCACTTGCCGCTGTCAAGCTGGAGTTGCAATTCCAGCTGCCGAACCACATCGGCCGATAAGGTGACTGAGATGGTGCTTGGACCCTGACTTTAGGTGCCGGAGTATTCTCGGTGCCGGTGGGGATCTTCACGAGGCGCAAGATCTGGATCCGGTAGATCGAAGATGACGTCGGTTGCGTCATGGATCGGCTTGGCGGGGAGGTACTGGAGAAGATGGAACGAGTCGGTCCACCGGCCAGTGTCCGCAGTGGGCTCATGTTGGGCGCACGACCATGTCCAGCAGCAGCGCAAATGCTTCGACCAGTTGCTGGGGCGTGTAGAGCCCAGACTAAAAGCCCCAGGACTCGCGAGGGGTGTCCTTGTCGTGCGCGCTGACGTCAGGCTGGACCGCGATACTCTGCTCGATGAGGACATGGCCTGTTCATCCGTCACCGAGACCGAATAGGCGAAATGCGGTGCCTATGGTGGCTGTCATGGTTGCAACTCGCATCATGTCGGTAAAGACCATCTGAAGGACGAACCCAAGGACAGCCAGACCCGGACGCATCCTGCCATATCCTTCGTAGTCATACCAACAACCGGATGACGGAGGAAAGCCAATGTTACAGAGCTGACAAATGCGTTCCGATTGTTCTATTCGGCTGCGTGTCTCCGTCGTCTAAGTCTTCAAGTCGCCGGAGTTCGTGGTCGACAACGACCACCAGCTCCGGCGGCCACAACAAATACCTGTTAAACAGATTCCGCTGTCCAGACACTGTTTCAACTCATACAATGCAATGCACAGAAGCATGAATCCAACTGAAGGGTGCGTGTGGTAGAGTGATGGTGGTTGGACTATCTGCAGTCGTCATAACTCGTTCGAAATCATCAGGATTCCTTGTCAAGCAAATACAGCATCAATCTCCAACAGAGACAAGCACTACACCATCGCCTGCCCGCCACCAACTTCCCAGTCCTCAGAGAAAGGATGAACTGGCTACCGCGGGCCCTCTCCATCGACGAGGCGCTGGCGACTTGCGGCCCTCCGCGACACCGGCCTCGCCTACCTGAAGCAATTGATGAGAGTGACATGTCAGGATTTGCTACTGCACCAGTGGCAAAAGACTGATAACAATTTGCAACCTGTTTCAACACTACTGCTCATTCTGCTCATCGAAAAAATCTACTCGGGGCGTATCTAGCTAGACCAAGCAAACTCCGTGAATACGCCTATGGCACGTTATGCGTTACATACACTCCAGTACATCGTCAAGTTTGACCCCGACCGATTCACGCAAATTGCTCCAGCGCACAGAGAATGATAAACGACCGCAGCTCATCCGAGTCGGCAAAACCCGCATTCGTCACGCAATTCGCCCGGAGATCGTCCGTGGCGAACTTGGAGAAAAGCACTTCGAGTGAGGGTTGGTATTGGCCATTCGGGAGCTGCCCCCGGCCCGGGATGTCACCAACAGGGCCCAAAGTCGAAAAAGCGTCAGTGGTGCCTGGCGAGCCAGGAGACGCGAGTGTGGCCTTGCGCCACTCGTCTTCGGTGCGAGCGCTCCACAGCGCTTGATCGCAGGGCAGAGGCATCTTCATAATGAGCTCATCGTTGAGTGGCTCGTAGTAGGGCGATTGGCGCCTGGAGTCGAGATCGCGGTTGCTGAAGAAGTTGACAATGTTGGCGAGGAAGATGGTGCGGCGGGCGGTTTCGGCCACGGCCCATTTGACCCAGGAGCTGTTTGCGGTGCTGTCGCTGTTGGTGAATGGCAGCAGGGCCGTATCGTGCGACTCGAGGTAGGACCGCGAGAAGCACTGGGTCATCTTTGAGAGGAAGGGCGATTTCAGCCCTTTTGTGCGGCGCTTCTGTTTCCAACTCTCGGACTCGTCAACGGGCGTGATGCCCATCTCGAGGATCTCGTAGAGGAGCATTGCGTGCAGAGCGTCCCACTGTTCCATGCACTGGTAGGTGGGCTGGCCCGTCAGTACGACCCTAACACCCGAAGGAAGTGCTTACATATGACTCGATCAAGCTTTGTCGTTGCGCGTCCATGGCTCGCTTGACGTACCCGGCGGCGTCTTTGACGCCCAAGGCACTTCCGCAGCAAATGGCCATGGATGTGTGGGGCAGAATCGTCATGTCCGCCACATGATCGTTGAACAGGGTGCGGTGCACGAACGGGGAGTAGAAATCGTCCTGAAGCAACAGTCTCGGATACTGTGCCAGCAGACGGATATAGTTGGACTCCAGCACCCCCGGGACGTTGAGACCGCCGCCCAGACCGGTCAGGGTGGACGTATCGGCGATCCCTGGATTTGGCGGCACCATGGAAATCTCCACCGGCGTACTGTAGGGCTGCAACGAAGCCGATGCCACTGGAAATGCGGGGCTCGGATGGCTGGTCGGGACTGCCGGTGTCGGGTCCAAGGTGACTTCGTCGACTAAGCCTGCTGATGAGGGCAACGAGGGGAAATCGAGGGTATCCATGGTCCAGATGAAGTTCTGGGAGCTCCACGAGTCGAAGCTGTCAGCGCTGGGACCACCCAGCATGCTCCGAGGGCTCCATAGCGGCGGGAAGTCTGTCGTGCTCACGCGGGTTTCATAAGGTCTGGGATGATCTCTGGTCGACGGGGACGAGGAGGAGTCGGAAGAGTCAGAAGGAATGGTGGCTGCTGTGTTGACCGTAGACACGTATTCGCAAGGAATGCCCCGTTTGGCACATCGCGAGCAGATCGGTTGTGTGCAGCAGCATTTGGTCTTGGCCAGCACGCAGGCATTGCACGCTTTGCGGCGTACCTTAGGTTTGTTCGACCGCAGACATCGGCGTCGATGGCGCAAGAGGAGGTCACCTGGGATCCATCGGTTTAGACATCAGCTCAGTTGCAAGAAGATGGAGACTCAACAAACGGCAGAGACAAACGTCGTTGGTAGGTTTTGAAGCAGGAGTCGCACTGGTGAGCCTCGTTGGATGATTCGGATGCCGGCATGGTCGAAGGGCGGCATCAGGGAGACAGGAGACAAGGAATAACAAATAAGCCGGGGAGTGCCAGGTTTAAGTGAATAGACTCGTGTCAGAGAGTAAGCCAGAGAATCCGACATATCCTGTTTTTCGATCTTCTCGATCCTTCTATGTCTGTAGCCTTGGTTAGAAGAAAGACAAGGGATTGGTAAGAAGGACAGACAATGAAAAGGTGAGATTTACGAAGGATCCGAAGCCAACCCCTGTGTGGTAAGCGCGGGGTCTAGCATTGATTAATTCAGTGCAATCAATGTAACCTTGGCTATCTTCCTGGCTTATATCAGTGGAGCTATTATTACGTGCGAGTCAAAAGTCCCGTCTGTCCCGTCTGTATTATTTGCCTGTCTTAGTGCTTATCTATTATCGCCCGGCTGTCCTTCATGCGTTTGCGACAGAAGAAAGTGGATAGAGTCGAACCCTCTGGGTCAACATCCCTCAGCTTTCAATTCAAAGATCGCACTGGGAGCATTCGATACATTTAAGAACTAGAGCCTAGATTTGCGGGCTGCGAACCATGATCCACTACTCTATAGTCTTGGGCGACGGTGGATTACTAGAAGTAACATAGTATTCCTATTTGGGGAAGTATAGTTAAGGCTTAGGATTTACAGCTTCCTTTATACCCCCTCTAGCTAATGGCCAACTTGTATTGCTATTTTCCACCCTTTTACCATCCCCTAACTTATGATATTAAGGCATTTTTACTATTAGGCTACATATCCTATATTCTATACTTTACTACCTCCTTTTGCACCTATAAGTTATTACTTATTATATCCACCTAACTATCCTTACTTTCTATTAGAACAGAATTTCTGCTTGCCTGGGAGCCTAACTAATTATTAACTCTTCTTTTTATAGATAATCCAAAAATTTTTGGTTTATATATCTTTCACGCCAGAAAGACGCCTAACCGTTTGCGAAGCCTAGATTTAGAAGGCTTAATGCTGGCACGAAGTTCTCATTCCCAAGTGCTTAAATAAGAAAGTCATAGCCCCCGAGTGTATAAGGATAAATCAGAACCTTCACGATGATGAGACGATCTTTTCCATTTGATGATTTGAGGCATTGATAGTGTATCTACATGATCAGACCCCACCATATTGCGTTACTGGGTGCCAATAGGTTGCAAGAACCAAAGCCGGATAGCGTAATCGAAGAATGCCATCCCATTCTATTGCTCGAGAAGCTCCAGTCTTGTAAGTACGACAGGAGGCTTCGACTGGCATGCATAGTACTGACCGTTGATGATTTATGCACGCCCAACGCAACCAAATTCCCTCCTCAGCTCATCTGCTGCAGCAAACGAAGCTTCGAGCAGAGATTGAACCCGGACCGCGTCATCGGGCCCAAGCTGGCTTCCTTTTTCCTTGAAGTTATTGTGCTGAAGCCCCTGAAGCCAAATCTCCCTTCGAGGATGTGGCACTAGAATGGTGTCCATCCAACGCGTGATTTTCGTCTCACTAAACACTTGTATAGCACCCAACATGGCCTGTCGTGAAGAAAATTCAAAAGTCTTGACCTTCGCTCCCACGTGCTCAGTCCGTAGCCACTCCGATACAGAAGTCTGGCTGCCAAAGGAGTAGTGGAGTGCCCAATGTAAGACAAGCAAAACAAACAGGCAGATGCCATCCCAACCTTTTTGGGCTGCCACATATATTAGTCCTGTAAGTTGTAGCAGATGTGCAAATGTAAACCAACAGGCAGCAGCCTTGGCTTGCCTCCCATCAGGAAGGGTGAACATTGGCTTGTTGAGCAGGGTGTCTACTATGGCTCTGTCACCAGAGTAGAGGTGCCACTCCATGGCATTTTCATTCGCTGCCACGAGCATGCATGCGTCATGCGCTTCATTATTTCTCAGGTACCCAGGTGGACGATATATGGGCACCATCCACGCGATGAGTTGCGACAGGGCGGTATTGACGAGTATTACGGTTGTTCCATAAGCACCAACAAGGGAGCAAAGGACAGCAACCGCCAGGAGAACCAGGATAATAAGTGTTTGACCTGGTACTGACGCCGTTATGGATTCAATGCGGAATGGTGCGAAGGCTTTTTTGGCTTCATTGAATTCGAAGTAATAGACATGGAGAATCTGACTGCGGCGGGTTCGGCTGGTTTTGGTGCTATCAATTGCGTCCCGTCCCTGGAGCTGTTGCTCCCGTGTCTCGGGCATTAACAAAGGTCTTTCATAGTGACGGTTCCTGAGGTAATCCGTGATCGCAGCACTCGCAGCGCCATTTGCGCACGGGAAGACGGATCCCCACTTTACATCCCAGACTGTGCGACTGGTTCCACCAGTAGTGCTTGCATAGTCCAGGTACTCCGTTCCCCTCTTCATCAGCCGAGCTAGTCCGGAGAGTGTGCCAAGCTTCGGGAACAGACCAAGTGACAGTCGTCCCAGCAGTGCCACTTCACCTGTGGTGATGTAGTCGACCCTCTGACTCGCGAGGTGACATGCAAGAGGGACAAGGGCAGCCCATTCGGAAACAATTGTCGGAATTGGTGGGCATGGAATGAAGGATGGAGCATTTAGTGCACCAAGGGACATGGCTGGAAACGTTTTGATAAGGTTGTGAACCAAGCCCGTGAGGATGTGGATAGTGCTGTAAACGGTACGCCGTCTTTTATTTATAGCCATCGCAAGGCTCCGACGACGTGGCGGAGCTTTTCCAAGGCTTACATGCATCCTAATCCTCTCAGCCGACCACGAACGGACAGCATTTGCTGAGACGGATGATTGGATGCCTCGTGCCTAGACTTTTCTGCCTGACTAGGATTGATGCATTACCTGGGTGGTTGGGCATCTGTCCCATCGCTATCTCCAAGTCACTTAACCGGATGCCCATGTCTTCCCAATAACTTCCTCGAGGAACTCCAACTGAACTCAATTCCCGAATCCTTGATATTTGAACTCGACCACACGCTAGAGACTCCGTAGCGTCCTACCATAATGCGCTTCCTTCATACTAGATTGTACCGCATAATCGAAAACTACCAGATACCAGAAGGGGTGCGACAAGCAGTACCGTACGCCATACTCTCTCATACATGGCTTCCATCAGACCGCGACCATGGAGTCCAAGAAGTGGTGTACCAGGATATGAAAACGTCTTATGAGGAGCTTCAGAACGGTAAATTCAAACAAGCGGGATGGTCAAAACTCAAAGCGTTTTGCGACCGTGCTGCTGGGGACGGTTGGGAATATGCTTGGATGGACACATGCTGCATTGACAAGGAGAGCCCTTCTGACACTGAGGAAGCCATCAACGCCATGTTTCGGTGGTATCAAGATGCTGAGATCTGTTACGCATATCTCTTCGATGTTGACATTGACAAGACAGGGCAACCGAGCAGAGAAGTCTCCGCAACTGTGGAAAGTACGGGCCTTGCAGAGGAGGGATTGCGGTCTAGTTTCACTGCCGCAAAGTGGTTCACAAGAGGATGGACGTTGCAGGAACTCCTCGCACCAGACTATCTGATATTTGTTGATCACCAGTGGCGAGATATCGGCAGCCGAGAAATGTGGGCCGGAGACATCTACAAGGCCACCAACATCATACCCCACCACTTGTCTGAGTTCGATGCCTGCTCCTTGGCAACGAAGCTGTCCTGGGCCTCAGGACGGGAGACAACACGTGAAGAGGACAAGGCGTATTCGCTTTTGGGCCTGTTCAACATCAGCATGCCCTTAATATACGGAGAGGGACCCCGCGCGTTTCTTCGACTACAGTACGAGCTGATCAAAAATTACGATGACATGTCTATTTTCGCATGGAAGGCTCCTTTTGTAGGAGATGGTGAGACCACGATAGGTTCTATAGGCCATCCGGACTGACCTTCTCCTTCTAGGCGCGACTGCACTGGTATATGAAAGCACGCGCCCTGTATACGGGCTTCTAGCACCATCGCCGTCCTTCTTCAACAAATCGTCAGACTTCGAGAGGCCTGCTAAAGAAGATACTCCATCCTTTGATATCACAAATAGGGGTATACGTCTGGAAGGTACAGTGTGGCATGCACCCGCCAATGAAGAGTCGCCGTTGTCCCACTTCGTTCTAGAGGTGGCCCGCAGAACTCAGAAGTCTGATCAGCTTGGTGAAGCCGACAAGGCAACTCGTCTCGGGATCTACTTCAGGCCTGAGGATGCGACTGAAGCAGGTCCTGCCTATCGGATCCATCACTCGCATCTTCTTGAATTCCCTCAAAGCCCAGAGAGCCAAGGCTGGAAACGATTCTCGAGTGTCGAGACATTTGAGAGACCCGCAGACGCGGCTAGACGAGCCTCTGGCCGCGCACAGATACTCTCTCTAAACGTCCCAAGTCAAATTACCATTGACGCCGACCTTAGCCCGTGGCGACTTCATGGAGCTGCGTTCACTTTCCGTCATCAAATCCGAGATTATCCAATGCCAAAATTAGCAAATAATACATTCGGACTAGAACTCCACCTTGTCAGGGGCCTGAATGATGGTGATATCTACCTCTACCCAGAAGACAGACTAATTATCCCCATTTCGCTGAAGGTCGATGTTGACGGTTCAGAAGATCAACATGAATTCAGTCTTTTGCTACGGCACTCGCAAACAACACAACCTTCTGTCGGTATTTGGCCAGGTGAATGCTCGGATAATATTCTGGACAAGCCAACATTTCCTCTGAAGGCCAACGCACCAAACGAAAAATATGCTATTTGCGTCAAGCTACTTCCCAGACCAAAACACCCAGGGGACAAGGCTGTAGCAGTCACCATATCTCTTAATGCTTCGATTCTGCAATATTTCAAGAGTGATGATCGAGATTCCTCCCGTTTTCCGGACTCCTTGCATATAGGCGGTCCCGAGGTTAAGATAAAGCGCTATCAGCTGCAGTTAGTATTGGAGGGAGGCTCTAACGAGTCAACGCCCCAGGAAGGACTGTGAACATCTTGGGAATGCATTTCAAGAAAAACTGTACCACGGTACCCATTGTGGTATAGAGGGAGGCCTTGCTATATGAAAACAAGCTATCACTAGGACTTCGCCAGGCCTGCTACTTGTGCGGAGAGCCTCCCTACCTGACAGGTCGTCCCTAGGCAAACATAAACAAGGCCAGACTTTCCAGAGTGATGTTTCTAAAGATGTTTCAGTTGATGATCTTCCAGATTCCATTTACTACTGTGACATCAAGCTCTTTCTCCATGAAGACCTAGACAGTAGATGCAATGCCCTTTATGCCATCATCGAGTTTCATAAATCACTTCAACAGGACAAATCCAAACACAGTCCAATATATGACTGCTATGCTTTCATGGTGAAAGTACGGCTTATCGTGGTTACAGGATACCACGACATATTTTCGGCTTTATATATTAGTTAAGCCGCCGGGCGAGTTTTACCCGCTGCCCGCCTTAGGGCTTACCCGTGCTATATTATATTGGATATTGAACTCTTTATGTCTGCCTCCTTTAGATCTACGCAGGACTAGAAAGCCACTGGCATGTAGCTTATGCAATCGATGCTGCCTATCACCTGACTATGTTCACAGCGCAGATGCTGACACCTGGCTATTAATAACAATTTGGCCTAAGTGCCAATGGCCGCCAAGGATGCTGGGAGGCTTGAGCCCCTCAGCCGCGTTTCCCTTGCGACCTCATTTCGCCCATAACCAAGCTAGCCGCACACTGAGATCCAGCCATGGATGGCGTATCAGACCTGGTAAATGACTCAAAATTGAGCGTTCGGTTTTACGAAGATCACTTCTATAACGAAGTATTCGATCTTGACTCCAAAAAACCAGGAGGCCCTCTCCGTCGACGAAAGAAGGAGCAGAAATGGATCAGAGAAAGACGCCTTGGCCGAGGCACCTTTGGAGATGTTTGGCTATACAAATGTGATGAGGACGTGGGAACTAAATTTCAAGCCGTCAAAGTGATTCCCAGACTATCACACTCGACCAAGGCTATTGACTACACACGGGAGCTGGAAGCAATGTTCAAGTTCTCGCATCGAAAGGTCGGCTATTTTTTGTTGTCTACTCAGCCCTTATCCGGGAGAAGGATACTGATCGGCAATAGTATGAGGGCCTATTTGTGGAATCCTTCGGATGGTTTGACAATCCTCACTCCGTTTTTGTGACTATGGAATACATCGAACTAGGGGATCTAGAGCAGCACCTTGACCAACCGCTGAAGGAAGCCGAAGCTCAACAAATCTCATCTCAACTGCTCGAGGGACTGGAGCACATACATAGCAATGGGTTCGCGCATCGCGATCTCAAGCCCGCGGTGAGTAACCCACGACATTGTAAATGTCTGCAGACCTAATGAAGCAGAATATATTTGTCGTGCAGAAAGGCCCGCATTGGTGGGTGAAAATTGGCGATTTCGGCGTCAGCAAGCGCACGAGAGAGGGCGATTCCGCATTTCAGACGGTAGCAGGTACACCAGGATTCTGGGCTCCTGAGGTCAACATGACATTGGGGAGAGATGACATTCAGTACACCCCGATGGTGGACATCTGGTCGCTTGGAATCATGTTACACTACATACTTACTGGATGTTTGCCGTTCAGTCAGCACCTTCAGTTGCGGAAGTATATTCAGGACGGCCAACTCCCTACAGCGCTTTTGAATGCTCGTGGTGTCAGTTCCGAGTGTAGAATATTCATACAGAAATTGCTGGTGGTAGAGCCTACTGCACGTTTGTCTGCAAGAGATGGGCTACTGCATTCGTGGATCCAAAGCCTTTCTCAACATTCTGAAGTCAACAATCAAGACCTAGAGTCCGGTGAGAAATGCTTTATTTCAACCAGATCTCTGGGCTGATGGTTAGCCCAAGGCTATCTTGGAGATAGAATACGGCAAAAGAACGAGGCTCTTTCACTATCGATACCTAATCCACAGCCTCCCCCGAGCCAGGACGACATTCAGGGCACCACGGCCAAGCAATCTAATGCGAAGTCGATGAGAAAAGAAAATAGAAGGCGCCGAAAAGAACAAGACACCACTAGATTCGAACAGGAATGCGCTTACCTTCATTCTCGGGGCGAAGTCGCTTATCGCAGGCTCTGGGCTTGGAAGGCAGAGAGGATATTTCGCATTGTCCACAATAAACGCAAATCAAGATTAGGAGCTGACCACCCACTGACACTTGAGTCTCTCCATTGCCAAGGTAAGTCTCTATTCCGGTTAGGAGTGGTAGACGAAGCAGAAAAAGTGCTTGGAGAGGCGTACGAAAAACGAAAGGCTATTCTAGGCCCTTTGCACCAAGACACTCTTGAGTCTTTATATCAAATAGGATGTGGTCTGTTGTCGCAAGGGATGGAAAAGAAGGCACTGGAACCACTATGGGAGGTTTATCACGCGCAAAAAGAGTTAGTCGAATCCGGTGGTGGCGGATCTATGAAGTCTGTGGAAAGCCTTACCGAATGCCTGCAAAAGCTTGGAAAGCATACTCAGGCATTAAAGTTGCTTCTGAGGCATTACAAAAAGCTAAAGGCAAGACCAGACCCATACGACTACACATTCTTAGGAATTGCCCAATGCCTTGCACCATGTCTGAGGGAGCTTAAGAGGTACGGTGAAGCGGCAAGTGTCTATCGCGAGATAGCCGAATCTTGGAGGACGAAAACCGGGTTGCGCTTCCTTATATTCGATCGGATGATTGACGGTGGCAACTGTCTTCTTGCTGGAAGGTTATTCAAGGAGGCAGAGGTTCTGTTCACAGACCTCTACGAGCAAGAAGTGAAATACTACGGAATCGGTCATTGGAAAACATCTTACGCCGCCCATGGCCTTGGTGCATCTTTCTATGGCCAAGGGGAAATGAGAATGGCCCATAAAATGTTCCGCAAAGCCTATGAATGTCGACGAAAAGCTTTGGGAGACGACGATGCTCTGACTCGCGAGTCATTGCAACGGATGATCGAAGCAGAATCTGGTATACAGAAACTCTTGAACCGATTTTCCAGAGCTTCCAAAAGGATGGCACTTAGCATAGTCTAGTCTGTGTTGTACGTTTGTGCCGGACGAGGCAACCACTACTAAGATTGTTAGTAAGTTTGAGATAGCCGGGAGCCAATATAGCTGGATAGATCTTGTTATTGCATCATGATACATTCGGATTCATGTACCATGAACACCTTGCATATAGAATGATACAGCACTGAGAGAAATATTGAAGATTTGGAGTATACATCCTTCATACCACTATCTTTTCGATCTCGTACAAAATCTGACTAGCATTAGCACCAACCCAGTCATGCCACTAGAGATGACATACCTTTTCAATATATCGAACGCCCACCAAAATTCCATCCTCATCCTCCAACTCTGCCTTATCCCCGAAACTCCCGTCCCGATCCAAACAAGTTAGGCAAGAAACCACTACGTCTGCATAAATTTTACCCATCAAAACCGGCAAACGGCTCTCAGCCATTCCGAGTAAAGCCTGCTTGATCTGCACTGCGGATCGCCGCCCGTCTTGGTCACACAGCAATTCGCCAATGGGTAGTCCAGGTCCCAGTAAGGGCTGAGGTCCTTTATACTCGACAAATGAAGTCCACAACCCAACCTCCAATAGGCAGACGCCAAGGCTATAGATATCATGCTGCATGCTATACTCCTCTTCTGGGTGTAGACCCTGCCGACGGGGATGGCGATAGAGGTTGCGCTCCCACATGGCGTCACCGGTCATATATGTTCGGCCTTCGGCTGGGCGGAAGCGCTCGAAACCGACAAGGAACGGGATACCCAGACTCCCTGGCGTAGGGAAGAGGATGATGTTCTCGGGAGAGATATTTTTATGGACGATGGAAGAGGAATGGAGATAGACTAGGGAGCGAGCAAGAGAGATAGCCAGTTTGAATCTTTCGTCGAGATTATACTCGTTGCCGGCTGTGAGAACGGAGCGCATGCTTCTTGTCTGTCTTTGAGAGAGGTGCGGTGGAACGGCGAAGATAATGTTGAAGCCGGTGTGCGTCTCCTTTTCCGTGGTTTTGATAACACCCAAAGCCGAGAGAAGGCCGAAACGGTCTGGGCCTACGGTTGAGAGAACGCGAACGAGGCTGCGGACATCCTTGGTAGTTTGGGTCACATCCATGTACTCTTTAAGGGGGACATGGTCGACAATGATCTTCTGGTCTGCGTGATAGCCCATAAACACGGAGGATGTGATAGATTCTCGCTTGTCGATCGCATAACCCTCGCTCAGGAACATCGAGCCAGGGGGCCCGGAGTCAGTGCGGTTAGTTTTGTGAGCTTCGCGCAGATGCACGACTGTCGAGACGGCGTCACTTTGATCCGCTCTCTCTCTCGTGAGCTCCTCATCAATCAGCGGCACTGAGATCCGGGCCAAGAAGAACCACGACGGATCGAAAGCCCTTTGCCATCTTTCAAGGTCATCAATGATAGCCACCAGGGCTGTTTTGGCCCGCGCAGCATATCTGAGTCGGGCGGGATCGGCCACGCGGGCAATCACCCTGTCGAAGCTAGAGAGACGCTGTGGATCAATGAGACTATCGAGCCTCGAGACTGCGGTTTGCAGTCGGCCCTGAAGTACCTGTAGGACCAAATTCTGGTGTATCTGGAGGTCATTGCCTAATGCCGGCCAGACATCTCGGAGTGCAGACAACTGATGCTCGATCTTAATCCAGTGACCCTGGATGCAGAGGTTAGCCTCTTGCAGCTCGCGATCGGCTTGCTGATAGGCTTGGCAGCGTTTATAGAGAGCCTTCCCGAATCTGATCACGATTAATATCAATCATGGTAAAGCTTTCAAGGTCAATTGCTCACCGAATGCATATGTCTAGCATCGACACGACTCCGAATCCAAATGAAGCAGGCTCCATGTCGTTCTTTGATGCTGATGTGGATGGAATGCGGGGACTGTGTCTTTTTTTGCATGCCTTTGAGCTGGAGTCGAACCCAGCCTCCTGCAAGGCTGTATTTTGGGCGCCACCAGCGGCTTATTGGGTGATTTTCCCGGCCTGGCAAGCATCATCTTTCCCCTACGGAGTTTCTGATCTACTGTATTCTAAGCGTCCTTCGCTGTACTTCTCATGTCCATTGGCGTAACAGTTGGCACGGACTTGATTTCGCCCATTCACGCTCTCCCATCCAGCCTCTTAGATCTCTAAGGGGGTCGAATTCAACCCCTAAAGTCTGTCGAAAAACCAAGAACAAAGGGAGTGATTGGACATTTTGTATAAGAACCTCGGTGTAATTGCTTTTAGCAAAGGCGAGGCACCAGAACTAAAAATCACTACAGAAGAAGAAAGCTAAAAGGATGGGAACTTTGTTGAGTGTCAACAAGCCAAACTTGCTCTCCGCAGGGGCTCCAAGGACACGTGTGCAGTATTGAGGAGATTCAGGTGGTTCAGGTGAGCTTTAGGTGAAAGACCAGCGGCGAGGGCGCTACCGAGTAATCAAAAATTAGGTGAACTCCTCGTGGCCACGCTCCCAGCTACTAGCTGGCTGATGTGGTATAAGTACGGCTGAGCCGACATGAAGCCCTGTCTTCCACACTCTATGGTCGTCGTATGTGCTGTGGCTTTGTCAAGGTCAAATCATAACGTCGTGCCTTAATACTACATGTTATGAGTTGATTAACGGGCTCGAAGAACAGTATTAAACTATAAAGGTTCTATCGTTGCATGCAAGGGAGGAGGCGAAAGCAATAAGCTTCAAGCGCAGGATTGCCGCTGGAAATTCAAGCAAAGCGAATACCGCGACAAGTATTCACTGCTAAATAGAAATAGTCGTTGGGATTGAGTATTTCGTATGCTAGTCACTTATTCTTACCACTGCCTATTAATTCATAAGAGGATGCTGCCCTTCGCTCGCCTCACAACTCCTGGACTCACACTGTAAGCACCTATTCTGGAGGGACTTGAATATAGGCTAAGGTATTCATGCGTTTTTGGTTTCGTCCTGGAGCCATAAAGCAAGAATGACGCTTCATCTTTAATATCATTGCAGTCCACCCGGAGGCATAGACTCAGGTTTTACTGCCACGCTCATGGAGAATGCTGAACCTATGGCTCCATTTCGTGAGGTTGGTTATACAGCTCGTGAGGTTCGCTGTTGACTGGAGTTCCTTTTCCAACCATTATCTGTGTGTATGGGTCTGAGTTCATCGGCACCGTCGGAGGGGTCGAATTCATCAGCTGTTGTCGCTTTCTCCGCTCGTAGACGGCCCATATCAGTGAAACCAGAGACAAAACTCCAAGCGAAACGCCAACGCCTACACCAACGGCGACAGTCCTGGAGTCCCCTGTTCCACGGTTGGATATGCTTGTATCGGTGACACTGGCACTGTTTGTCGGACAGCTGGAACTAGACGCAGCCCCAATGGTTACCGTCGCAGTGGGTTCAGCAGAGCAGGAAGTGTTGGCAAGGGCAGCTTTGTTGAGAACTATTTTGCCAAGAGGTATCTGAAAGGGGTCGAGATTGTTGGCGCAGCCTACGCTGGTGGATGAATTGGCGACGATGGAGTTCGCGCAATACCAGGCGTTGCCCTCGACGTTGCTGTAAAGAACGATAGAGCATGCATTCATTCGAGTATTAGCTACTACAACGGTTGTTAGGTATAATGATGATGGTAGAACGTGACTCTGCCGTCTCTTGTACGAACCTCCAGAACAGACATCTCTACATGCCGTTGAGGGAGACCATTTAATGTCGGTGCAGGCCCCCCGATAAAGCGTGTATGGCGGAAAGGCCACCCCCATACAATAGCCGTTTGTCAGACAGACAGAGTCGGGCTTACAACATGGTGACCCGCTGCTTCCTGAGAAACATGGAGTATACCCATCGGCGAGGCTTCCGTCTGGAAAATAACAGCTCTGGCTTCGACAAAGCCCCACAAGCAGCAATATGGACCAGAGAGCACGCAAAGGCATCGGTTAAAGAGTCAAAATTGCTGTAGGTTCAAATATATATAGTATAGAGCAGGATGAGGTAGTGAAAACTTGTTTCAAAGAGGCCAGGAGGCTGGTATTAAGGAGCCGCCATGGCTTTCTGATAAGTTAACATCAGCATTACTAGTCTGTTCACAGTGGTTCATAAACGCTAATTTGTTAGCTGAAACCCACCATTGCTTCTGGTCCTTTCTTTTGGATGGCTACCTAACTATGCGCCTTGATGGAGTAGGCGCCATGCACACACTAAGACGTATGTGTGTTGACTGCGCCGCAAAACCATTAATCATAACTTCCAAACTTCAGGTGCGGTTGATTGGTTATTTTTTTTAGTATTCCTGACTGGCACATCAGTTGCACTGAATGTACTATCAACACTTCGCACTGATGATCCATTGCCGCCATTATCATGAATCTTATCTGGCGTCTGCTTCTCATAGACTAGTTGTCACGAGCATGGATCGGATGATCATGAGAGTCTGGCGCTCTGGCCCGGCGCTTATGTCCCCTACGCTAAGAAGGTAGGCTGCAGGGCCTGATACTAGATATAGTATATACCTTTGATTCTCTTAAAGACTATCTGTGTAAGCTGAAGGCCCTGCATAGTCTAGCATCTAACTTGCGTCTGTAGTCCCAGCACTGATAGCTTTTTTTATCTATCATTCACCGTCAGACTCTCATTGTTTGGAAAATAGTCTTCCGTGTGCCAGGCATGACAAATCCATTCATTATTACCACAGTGTGGCACTCCTGGATCACATCTCCTTCTCCCATAGTTTTCTTGGCGTCAGGTTTTACTGTCCGGCGCCGGTGTCTAGTCTAGATTCAGAGGAGCGTAGAATGAACGCACTATCAGACAGATGATGTGTGGACCCTTTGAAATGGGTGTTATGAGTTGTATCTGTGGGCTGAATTGCCTGGTATATCTGCTGAAACCGAACGTCAACAACTCATCGTTGACGATATATAAGAGGATTACAAAGTCGTCTACTGCTCTATTGCATGGTGGGTATCAATTTTATTGCCCATTTCCCTCAGCCCCATGGTGCCTTGAGTGACGGTTTCATGAGTATGACTCACTCCGCCGCGACGGCCGTAATAATCTCCGAGCGAGGAGCCAACAAAGCCAAACTCCGAAGACCGCCATGCCTCACAATGACAGGACTGCAAATACTAGAGAGATAAATTAAACGCTCTCACTCCCTCAGTGACCCTAAGCAGGAAGATAGTTTACTAGTAAAGCCGGAGAATCCCCTCCTATCATCATAACCCACCCAACATGCATTTCGCCATGCTCCTCTTCCCCGGCTTTGAAGCCCTCGACGTCTTTGGCTCCCTGGAAGTCCTCAACGTCCTCTCTGAAAGAAAACAGATCTACCTCTCCCTCCTCGCGTCAAGCCTCACTCCCGTCTCAACTCAATCCCCAGACCCAGCCGCACATCGGGTAGGCTCGATCTGCGCCCAGGAAGTACTTCCAACAGGTACTTTCGCCGACTTTTTGAAAGACGCACCCGCCCTGGATAGCGTCAAGGGCAAGATAGACGTGCTCATTGTGCCCGGCGGCGCGGGAACCCGCTTCCCCCACGCCATTAATCCCGTCATAGAGTTCGTGCGGGGAATCGCCCCATCAGTGAAGTACATCATGTCCGTGTGTAACGGCGCGGGCGTGTTAGCGCGGGCGGGCGTGCTGGATGGTCGTCGAGCGACGACTAATAAGATGCTTTGGGGGCAGACAACGGCGCTGAGAGGGGAGGTGCGCTGGGTCAGAGAAGCCAGGTGGGTGGCTGATGGAAATGCGTGGACTTCTTCTGGGGTGAGTGCGGGGATCGATATGATGTTGGCTTTTGTGAGGGAGATATATGGGAAGGATCTGGCTGGTGGGATAGCTCAAGAGATTGAGTATGTTTGGGATGTGGAGGATGATGGGACAAGGGATCCTTTTGCTATTGCTGCTCTGTGAGGACCTTCCAGGCTGCATTACTAGTATAGCCTCACTAGTCCTAATTGATTTCACATAGAACCAAGCCGCTGGAGTTGGCTGGCAAGAACCATATATCTATATATGCCTTATTATTAGGTCCTTTACAGCCACCTTCTTCTAGGTGGAACTATATTGATCCAAAGGTCCTATCCTACTCCTGGCAGCTTTTAACTCAGACATTACCTTTGTACTAGGCTGCACTGCCTATGGCTGGGTGACCTTTAGGATTTAGGTATACTATACTGCCATCTTTATCATAGAGCTGGATAATATTAGCCTATTACTCCTCACAGCGTGGTATAGCCCAGTTATTCCCTTAGGACTCACCGTAGCACTAGCAGTGGGGAAGCTGCTTAGTTACGTCTCAGCTATATAGGTTATAGTCATCAGCATGCTGGCGTACCTAATTAGGTTGGTTCTCATCACTATAATGCTAACACATCGGATCTACTAGGGGAATTTCTTCTGGAGCATGCTTATCATCTATATTACTATAGACTCATCTTTCCTTGCTATAATAATTATCTTCTCTAATGCTGTGCTACTAAAGTATCAGGGTATTAGTGCTAGTGTGGTCATGACTATTATAAACTATAGTATTTCACTGAGCTGGGCTTTACTGGGATGGTAGAGCGCGAGGTTAATCATAACAGCCATATCTATGATGATAAGAAGAGGGGTATCGTGGTGCATTCTACTTTGAGGTTGGGTTGGCCGGGTTGGGCTTGGTGATGAGTCTGGTCTTTTTGGTCAAGGATCACCTGCGTAAGAAGGGTGCCGTGTATGAGGAGAGTGCTTAAGAAGAGTGCAAGTCAGGGGAGAGAAGGGGGAAGTGCGGTCTAATGTTCATACATGTCAGATGCTAGATGGACTAATAGTAAGTCTCACACTAAAACTGTCAACCATGGATGACCCAGTATAGACAACCAAATATAGTCGATTGTTGTCTTTTAGTTCGAGTACAAACCCACCTAGCGGGGACTCTTCTTGCTTAAGGTTAGCGGTATTTTATTTTCCTTAAAAGGAGCATCCACCCCTGGACAGGAAACAATCAGCACACAACACATAGAGAGACATGATCAGCATGGTTGAGCCATTCGACGATATCGAAGCATGGGCCTCTTTGGAGAGTCTTTATGACAAAGCAATTCAATCACCGTCGGAGATAACTCTGGAAGAGAAACATACTATACTGGAATGGCCATCTTTGGAACATATGGAGGAGACCACTCAAAAATACGTCGGCAAGTCTTTGCGAGATCTCATTCATACAGCGGCCAACGATCCTCTCGCTCTTACGTATCCGGATTGCTGCTTGATTAAGGATGGTTTCCATATATTTAGAACCCTCGATGCTGTTAAATACAGTAATGACCGAAGGAAACGCATGATCGGACGTCCGGACTTATGGAACAAGTGGCAGCAGGCGAGGGATGCTGTTTTACCACCGGACGAACTCAAGGCTCTTGAAAACGTCCGTGAGGTCTTTCTTGCCAACATAAAAGCTTACTCAAAGCCTATTATTGAAGCTGCAGAGAGATCCAGGACTCATCCCCCAGATTGGGTGCAGAGTATTCTTGACCGTGACGGCAAAGGCTGGGGGTATGTGATCTACCGTCCTTCAGTCGTTCATGAAAGAGAAGGTAACAAGGAGGCATGGAGAGCGTGTTGGGATAATTTTAATGAACTTCTGAGTTTCCACCCGGTCATGGTTATCGGCGGCGAAGAGATTCAAGATTCCAAGGTCGTCGATTTTGTCGATTATGAACCTGAAATGGGCGGAGTGGATCAGCTTCGACTGTATGTATTCGCACGGATGACTGTTGGTGCTTGCTAATTTGGGCTGTCAGGGACTTTCGCGACCGTCGGGATAAAGGCTGTATCAAACCAGGTGTTCTTTCAAATGTATTCATCATTGTGCCTACCGAATGTCGGGATACCTATCTGCGAGAAGATAGATATGCTTGGGCTTGGGCTATTGATCCTGACTGGTCATTACCGGGCCCAGATGCAGATGGCTACGATGGACGTGTCAAGATTACCTGGGCTCAGCTGTTCAACAAATTCTATGGTCTGATGTCGATCAAAAAAGTCAACCTAAAGGAAATCTGGGAAGAGTTCCATGAGGTCAATAAGAAGCTCCCTGAGCCATTGCCTGGCTGGCTCTCCACAAAACTACCCAGAGTTGTTTGGCCAGATAACTGAACATTTTTATCATCTTCCTCCTTGCCTGCATTTATAGGATTTGATAGCTGGTATAGACATAACTTGATGCAAGACACGCCGGTCTAGGTGTATCCGTATACCTTCTAATCAGTTGATTATTACATGTGTCTCTCAGTTGAGGATAAAAAACACGGATGGTGAGATGAACCACTAGTGGTTTTTCTTGCGGGAGTAGATCTGATATCTTTCAGTCACTCACATCTGCCTTGATGATACTGAGAGGGTGGTATTCGGGAAGAGCCAGAGTTTGAATGGTTGTTGCTTAAGATGCCCAGAACGATTTGAGCATTATGCACAGGATAACTTACTTGGACATGGAGCAGTATAGATGGCTGGATGTTTATGGCAAATTAGGGTTATCTTATCCGTCTCAACGTGACATCATCCCTTGATCTCTTCTTGATAACTCCATCACTCCAGAATTCGGACGACAATGGCTAAACGGACGCTCGAATCATTCTACAAACCCATCAGTAAACCGAAGAAACCGCGTGTGGAGGACACTCCATCATCCTACTCGCATCATCCAAGCTATCCCTTCCCCATCGCGGATCTTCCCCCATCCATCGCCAACGCGCTCCCAGATCTCCCAGCCACCACCCCTCGCAGCATCACCAACCAGCCGCACCTGGATCTACTCTACTACCAACCTTTTATCCCGTCAACCACCGCCCGGGAGCTCTTCCACTTCCTCCGTCGCGAACTCCCCTTCTACCGCGTCCAGTACACCATCCGCCGCGGACCGACTACCACCCAGATCACCACCCCGCGCCTCACCACCGTCTTTGGCGTCGACGACACCTCCCTCTTCACCCATTTACCCAATGACTCTGACTCTACCTCCCATCTAGTCGACAGCAAATCCCGCAGCCCCATCCCGCCCAACAAATACAAATCCAACCCCCGCCCCATCCCCCCCTGCCTCGACGCCCTCCGCCAACGCATCGAGGCCGCTACCGACGGCGCAGTCTACAACTTCTGCCTGGTAAACTACTACGCATCAGGCGACGACAGTATCGCCTATCACTCAGATGACGAGCTGTTCCTCGGCCCCAACCCATGCATTGCGTCGTTGTCGCTCGGCGCGAAGCGGGATTTCCTCATGAAGCATAAGGCCGTGGAGGGTGTTGAGGCGACGCCAGTCAAGATGGCCCTGGCGGACGGGGATATGGTGGTCATGCGGGGGGAGACGCAGGCGAATTGGTTGCATTCGATTCCGAAGAGGAGGGGTAGCAGGGGCGAGGCGCGCCAGGGGAGGATTAATATTACGTTTCGGAGGGCGGTGGTGCCTGCTGGGACGGAGAATTATTATAGGTATAATGTGGGGGAGGGAAAAGTATACAGATGGAGTGAGGAGGAGGGGAGGATGGTAGAAATTTCCTAATATGGGATATGTAGTAGCAGTTGCTGTATGCCAGCAGGGATGTTTGCAAGGGCCAACCAGGATGTTGCAACTGCATTGTCAGCTTTGTCCGGGCAGTTCCCCGAGGCAAGGATACGTGGTCAGCGTGAATGCCCCGCTCGGGCTGACTATTTATGTCAGGACCTTTCCGGCCATGATAGAGCAGTCAGCATGGCTTCTTCGCTTCCTATCTATTCGCTGCAGGATGTCTCGCGGCATAATACCGCAAAGGACCTCTGGATAGTAATCGACAAGGAAGTTTACGATGTCACCCAATTTCAGGCAGAGCATCCCGGTGGCGAGAGGAGTGAGTTGTCTACTAATAGACCAAGAAAGCAGTCTGACAAGACAGTCCTGCGAAAGGTCGCCGGAAAAGATGCAACGGACAAATTCCTCGAGTATCATGACGCCTCAATCCTCGCCCGTTATCGGGAGCGCTTACAAGTTGGAGTGTTGGTTGAGGGACCGGAGCCAAAGAAGGGATTCCTCAGTAGATTCTTTCGCTCATGATCTATGTGTCACCTGTATTTAACCACAGTCTACAACTTCGGCCTCAATCCAGCCTCGATGTCCGTCTTACTATTCTCCCTCAGCACCCGCTTCAGAATCTTCCCACTAGCAGTCTTCGCAATGGCATCCACAAACTTGACACCCCCAGTCAGCGCCTTGTACCTCGCCAGCCGTTCTCCAAGATACTTCCTCACATCCTCCTCCGTCAGATTCTCGCCTTCGCGACCAGGCCGTCTAACCACATACGCCCGGGGATACTCCGTGTCTGCCCCAGGAAACACCACCCCAATCACCGCCGCATCAACAATCAGCGGATGACCCAGCAGAACAGCCTCCAGCTCCGCCGGCGCAACCTGGAACCCACGGACCTTGATGAGCTCTTTTCTCCGGTCGACAATGTACCACTTGCGCGTGCGCCCGTCGCAATACGCGATATCGCCAGTTTTGAACCAGCCTTCTGCATCGAAGGACTCGGCGTTGGCGGAGTCGTTGCGGAAGTACCCCGGTGTAACGATGGGGCCGCGCACGCACAGCTCGCCGCGGACGTCAAATGCGGAGATGTTGTCTCCGTTTTCGTCGATTAGTCTGGAGAGTTAGTGCATGGCTCAAGAGGGTAGAGGGGCGACGTACTTGGCTTCGAGATTCGGGACTAGCCGGCCCACGGACCCCGTGTCGTCGTCTTCCGGGTACGTGAACATCGTCGCGATGGCGGAGGTTTCCGTCATTCCCCAGACCTGGGTAAAGGGCGTGCCCTCTTTGAGGAGCGTGCGGAACCGCGTCTGCACTTCTTTGTCGAGCGGGGCGGCACCGCAGTTGACGTTCTTGATGGAGTGCAGGAACGGTCGGGTGCGGGAGAACGGAGACGTCAGGATGGCGATGGCCATGGGCGGGACGACGGCCAGGTCGGTTGTCTGGTATTTCTCGTTGCACACCAGGTACGTCTCGAGGTCGAAGCGGCGCATCATGTAGATGGTGTGCCCGGCTTTGATGGCGCTGAAGTGTGCTACGACCGCGGCTGCGACGTGGAAGACGGGGATTGCGACGATGCGGGAAACCTGGTATGGTCGGGGATGCACCTCGAAGACCAACTCGTGCTGCGCGATGAGGTTGTGATGCGTGATGGTCACGGCTTTGGGGAGGCCTGTCGTCCCGCTGCTGAATAGTCGTACGGCGGTGGTTTCCTTGGCTCGTTGCAGGTCGTTAAATGCTACCCAGTCCTCTTCGCCGTGGTTGAAGAGATCCTTCCATGATCGTCGACCGGCGGGTACTTCCTGTCCCAGGACATTGAAGATGAGCAGGTTTCCTTCGGGGATGCCTCTCTCCTTGACGGCTGCATGAACAGACGTCAGAATCTCCGGCTCGGAGATTACGAACTTTGCGTCGGCCGCCTGGAAATGATGCACCAGCTCCATCGTCGTGTAGGATGGATTGGTACCGGTGTAGACACCGCCTGCGCCAACGATGGCCACAACCAGCATGCAATAGTAGATCTATTATGCATTAGCCTTGCAGGGGATATCGGAGAGGGTGTGTACATCATTGAAAGAGTGAATCGCGACGCAATCGCCCGGTTTGACTCCCCAGGCGCGTAGGCCGGCAATCAACTGGCGGACGGTCTTCCGAGCCTGAGCGCAGCTGATTGATCGGGAGGGATTATTGACATCAACGTAGATCTGTCAGCGTCAGTAATATGCTTCAGCATTGCTGAGGTCGTCTACCGGTCGGTTGGCATCATATGTATTGTCGAAAATGTACGAGATGACATCCACAGAAGGGAGGAGGACGCGTTCCGCCGGTTCGAAGATCATCTTGACGTGTTGGCAGTGGAATTGAGGAGGTTAGCTAATATGGTGTGGTGTGTTTGGAGATGAAGTTATTCAAGTCGATCTGTTATTCGGCGCACGGTTGTTACCCCGCTCCGCCAGCCCTCAACTTGCAGTGAATAGGTGCCTGATCGACGGCGTCATGTGCGACATGCAGTTTGTGCTCATGCATATTATTCCAATGTAGTAAGCTTGTATTTTATACAGATGAACCCGCAGCGGAATCGTCATCTCCAGATTATGTGTACGAAACAGGTCCACTAAGTACCTGGATTACCGTCCCATTGAGGAACGTAACCGAACGTTCAGCGCCATCCCCATGATAATCCCACCAATGAGACCCGCATACGGCAGCTCAGATCCCCCAAGGAAGATCTTCGCCAGTTGCTTCCAATTAATACTCTTCAGGTCCATATTCACCAGCGCAGCACCGTGATCGCAGCGCCGAGTTCCATGCTGTACCCGGGGTGGGAGAGTGCTTGGTAATTGGGTTGCCGAGACTGCGCATGATGTGGTAGCCGAAGGTCCAGAAGCCTAGGTCGTTAGTACACATACTCAATAGGGAGGAAGAGAGACTTACCAGCTCCCAGGCGTAAACCGCCAACGGCCTTGATCCAGGTTGGGGTATCGGTTTTGGCAGAGGCCACGCCGGTGTGCCAGGTCATGTACTCGGTGGTGAATGGGTCGATGGCACTCGAGATATCGTTTGCGCCGTGGGAGATGGACATGATCTGCGTTGTTAGAATAGATATCCAATGTGTGAGGATCGAACGTACCATAGCAGAGCAAACCTGGGCCGTTGTCCAAAGATGTTCAACCTTGTTAGCAAACTGAGGAGCCCTGCGGTGAATATGGTCCAGCCCCTTGGACTGGTGGTGGTGACGTCGCGAGTAATGCCGTATGTGAAAACAAGCTTGAGGGTCGCGTAGATGCGCGTGGGATGAGCCCAGGGTAGCGATTACAGAGCCTGGAGCTCCTTCTGGTGCTGTTCTGCGAGTTTCGCGTCGGCACGCTGGGCTTCGCTCTCGGGGGTGTTGCCGCCACCCTTGAGGGGCTCGATTTCCGGGCTGGCGAGGGTGGACTGCTGACCCTCGGTGACGGAGCCAAGGGTATCGGTGTCATCTTTTTCGTCGGTCCCTTTCAGGTCGCTCTCGTAGTAGTTGGGGACAATGCCTTGTCGGGGTTGCCGGGGAAGTAGAGGGTGTAGCCATCGCGCCAGAGGAGAGGGCCCATGGGAATTGTGCCAGAATCGGAGGCGACGGTCTTCCTTGACCAGGCTATATCAATTAGCGACAGCTGTAGCAAACGAAGGAAGGTGACATACCTGCGCCAGTAGTAAGGCACAAAAAAGACAGCGCTGACCCGGACACCAGCAAAGACACCAAGGATAATACCGCAGGCCTTGCCGGCACCTAGGTCCTCTAGTTTGGGAACGCCGTGTCCACCACTGATGACAATGAACAAGGCCAGAATTCCAGCGGTAAGAGCATAGTAGAATGGAAGAACACGCAGAGCTCACTTCATCGGATCCTGGCGCGAGTGCACCAACAACCGGATACTCATGAAGATGATGGCACCGAATCCAGCCGGATGACGGGCGCAATACCCCACGAGGCAGCAGTCTGAGACACACTCTGGGACTTCCATCCCCAGTGAAAAGGGAGATCCGAGGCGAGGGCAACGCCGATGAGAGCGCCGACAATGGACTAGGTGGCGGAGACGGGGAACCGAAGTAGGTGCAGACGGTAAGCTAGATCGAGGAGCCTATAACATGTCAGTAACGAAGATGTATTCAAGTCCGGCAATGAGATGCACCAACTTCAGCCACCGCCATGGCCATGATCAGACTCCAGGCGAGTCGAGGAAGCGGTCGATGGAGATGACACCGCCGCGGATGGTGGAGGTGACCTGTTGTCCAAGGGCAATGGCACCGATAAATTCTGTGATGGTTGCAAGGATACCAGCTTGGATCAAGGTCAGAGACCTCGAACTGACCCACGTCGCGTAAGAGTCGGCCACATCCTATCGAAACCAGGTGTCAGTCTTGCTCAGGGAGACGAGCCCCAAGGAAAGGAGCATACATTAGCTCCGTTACCCCACACGGAGATCAAGAAGAAGATGGTACCGATGGCAAAGAGTCAGTCAAGGTCGTGATAGATAGCCATATTTGATGGTCTTTACCAACGGCGCTCGAGCCACGACTTTGGATGGATGCAGGCGATCGACCGGCAAGCAAAATGTGCGAAAGGGAGAGTCCTTTATACATTCTAGGGCTAATACCATTCTCACATTCTAGATAAAGACCACGCGAAATCCTAATCCTGGCCATCTGGGAGCACCAACCAGCGGCAGAGCTTTGCATTAGATAATCCGACCATCAGATCACAGCGCCGCAGTTCAAAGTGTGCATTCACACGCAGTTCCAATTCCTCGATGAACCAAGAAGGTCACAATGACTTGCACCACAGGTATACGTCACTGTCCAAGACACCAAGCGGAGTCTTCGCCAGGAGAAGCTTCCTTGTCAAGGCCCCAACGCCCGCCAAGTCCGTGTGCCGCGCTTGGCGCATTTCCCTTTGGTTGAGCATATCAGGTTGTCCGCAACGGAACCGATGTGGGTACAAAAAGTGGACTGCTTGTGTCTAGCACCGAACGAGATCCAACCATGCAAGCACGAGTTGTGTGTCCCTGTCATTGCTTGTAAGCTTCCATAAGAAATGACAAGTTCAAGCAATGCCAACCACGCCTGGTTCGAGAGATTGCTAGAAACCGAGGTTGTGGACGGTCAATGCAGCAAGAGCGCACGTGCGGTGGCGCTTACACAAGGAAATATGTTGATCATAGGTCTATGACTCTTGTTCTAGTGGATCGCAGGGTACTATTGTAGGTGCTCCTGGGATTGACTATCACATAGGCCACTTGGTCAGACCAGTTACATATCTGCCACTTATATCACAGTTTCACGCCATGGCTTGAGATTATCTTGGGATGATCGGTCTATGATTCTTGCCTACATGGTGGGCTTGCTAGTTGAATAATGGGGAAGATATCTGAGTCTTACAGTCGCAGGAGATTACGGCATGCTTATCAGATCTTTCATAGCAGTACTCCAGAGAACTCTGTTTCCTTAATGACAAAGGCCGGAAAACTCGTCCACGATTTATAGTACCCTAGACCAAGCGCCGTAGTCATAACCCTGGTATAAGCACCAGTTCAACCTCGCGCCGTAACTACACAGTATAACAGATAATCAGGCTTGTAGCCAGTGAACATTCACCATAGCCCTGTTTAACTCAAAGCCAACACTCGGTCGCATATGTATACAATATCCGATCTGACTAACAGAAACTTCGTAGCACGAATGCAACCCAAGGTCAGGCAGCACGCCTTCTGTCAGAAACATCGGCGACACCGAATGAACTTGCCCTCGAACCGTGACACATGTTCTAAGTAGCAAGGGACTAGTGAATATATAAAGCAAACTGGACTACGAGGGCAGGTTACGCCAGTATGTATCTAGACCTAGCCCAACCTTCAGACCAAGCTAGAAGCCCCCTGAGATGGATCCTATTGCTCTGCTCAAGGTTCGTTCTCAGAACCCTATACTGCACTTTTTGATTAGGAACTGTAAAGCGATCTCTTATTTGTTATGAGTGCCATGTCTTACCTCAGTTCGACAATATATTAGCGCCCATAATGTACCCTTATATTATCTAAAAGCCTTCCCTCTAATCAGCTACAGACCTGCAGCAGTCCCTCGGCGGTAGCAACGTGCTACTGCGAGCTGAAAGACTATTAATCCGTTCAGCCGAAGGTGGTAGTGCCACGCAACGAGTCAGCTCGACAGAAGGAATCTACTCCAATGGATGATGGGTACGGGATTTGCCCGGGCTCTCCTTTCGGTTGCCGCGCACGCCACGTGGATGCATTATTCATCGAGGTCTGACCATGTGAAGATGGGTTTGGGACCGGTGATTGGGTCTATAAGCTCTATCAAGCGTTGGCAATCTTACTAGTGCAATACAGTCTAGATGACAGTATGTGGCTGGCCCTCGGTTTGAGGGCGAGACTATTGAAATTGAAATGGTGGATAGTAGACAAGCTAACAATGTGCCGCTGAGTTGCTACATTATTATAGTGGATGTTTGACAGACAACTGCATCCTTGTGTTGAATTCTATTCCGATGTTAGACGGTACGTGAACATCATATGTTGAATCAAAGTCAATAATGTGCGCCGTTGCAATATCAGGCCCCATAAAAGTCAACTAACAGACGCCTACTCTAACCTGAACATCTAAATTCTGTCGTGATGCATAAGTCCGCCTACGTGATCATATGAAGCAAATGTATCAAGCATTGCATCAAATTCCATCGAGCCCATCCCTGCCAGTTCTGGTCTATACGCAAATCCTGTAGTGGGGGTACTTCCAGCAAGAAGTCCATATTGCTCGTAAGACTTTGCCTGCGTTTCGTGCATCTTCATGTTGAGGTTTCCGTCAGTGGCAAAGGAGGATAATTCCCAAGAGGGATCCCCTATGATTGAGGTGGGAATTCCCACCGTCGATGAAGAGCTCTCGAGTATCTCAGGTCCAAAGGTCGACGCAGCAGAGATGGTCGTGAGACCCGGAGAGTCCGGTGCAGAATTTGGCCTCGAAAGGGCCAATTGGTGCGGGAAACCATCGTCTTGCATCTGGATGCCGAGAGCAATGTTGGTACAAAGACTAGTCATGTAGGCAGCTTTGGACGCTTGAGATGTAGGGGAGGATTTGGTGGAGAAGAAGTTCATGTGGGCAGCGAAGGACGAAAGGAGCTCGGTCTCGATGCGGTGGTCTTGCTGGTACTCTTTCATGACGGCAATGAAGAGCTCAAGGTACAACGTCATGGAATAATTCAGGCAGAAACTGGGACTATTAAGACCAAGACGTCCACTGTTCCCGCGAAAGACATACCTTTGATACAGTGCAAGTTCAACGACGCTATCGCCACGGGTATCACATGTCTCTTGCAATAGGCGAAGGCCGGCCCGCGCATACTCTAAGCGTGAGCATCGGTTGTTGGATGAATGTTCCAACCTTCGAGTCAGGACCCGGAGTGTACACAGTGTGTATCGCAGCTCGGTGAGACGAAATGCTTCCTGCGCTGTCATAGTGCTTGCAGGAGAGAGGATGTGTTTGTGCTGGATTTCCCACTCATCTAATGTTCGGTTGATCTGCTGAGCTTGACGAAGGATGTAGTCTCGCCCCTTGTGAGCTGTTTGCGCGGAGTAGAGATGTTGGTATACGTCTTCTTGAATACGTGCCAGAGAGATGTGTGCAGAACGTTGATCCCGTGGGATATGCTCCGAGTTTGCCGCTGGGAACGGCAGCCCACAGTCATACGATGGAAGAAGGCAAGGTTTGCCGGCCATGAAAGACGCGTGCTTCTATTCCGTAGTTAGCAGGGGTAAGGGACAAAACAATTGCTAGGCCTACATCGATGATGAACAATGACCACCACAGATCTATCTGTTCTGCGTTCTCCGAATCCGAACTGCTTTGATGGAGACCAATGGATTTGGCTAGCTGGCACGCCTGTGCAAAGACTGTCTCGAAGGTCGCGAGAGAGAAGTACTTTAAGGCGATCAATGCCTGAGCAAGTTAGACAATGAATACCATGAATAAAAAAGGGCTAGCCTACCATGCTCAACAGTGCTTGCACGTTAGCCAACTGCGGTCTTAAAAGTCTCTCGAAATTGTTGTACCCTCGTCGATAGTTCAATAACAAACTTTTGATAAGCTCCTCTTCCAGTATGTTGTGAGTAATCGAACCAGCTCTAGTCGCTGCACTATATCTTGCATCCAGTGTCTGTAGAAGGATATTATTGAACGAGATCACCCAGGCAGGGTCCGGTCTGTTGATACTGGGTCCATATTGCTCTTCGATTGCTGAAATGACACTTTGCCGGTCGTAGATGGGCAGAAAGGGACTCAGGCATGCAAAATATGTTTCTAGACAGGTCTCCAGAAGTGCTCGTGGTGGTAATGAAGGCAGCAGTCCATCTGACTCTGGTATCGACAGGACTGGACTTTCTCTGGTCAATTTCTCAAACAATTCGCTGACTTCTTGAAGCCGTGACTGCAATGAACAAGCCTGGTCTGGTATGAAATCTAGTGAAGCCGGACTATATTGGCTTTCTGGACTCGAGAACGGTAACAACGATCTCAGCCTATCGCACACAGCCTGAGCCTCTGTATATAAAGAAGCAATAGGGGTTGATCCAGGGAAGGTATGGTCATTGCATTGTTCGGGATTCGTTTCTAAAGACGCATCTGTAACCGTGTTTCCGTCCGTAGGTGGACTATCATTCAGGTCGGTATGACTGTCGTCAGACGGGATAACCGAGCTTTGCCGTGTAGCAGCGTTTGACGGAGTCTGCGAACGCTCTACGGCTGACAAACAGCGAATGAGCGCCTCTTCAATCTTCCCGAGACGGTTTCCGAGGATTTCGACATCGTTCACCCTATACAGGCACAGGAGATTAGAATCATTCAGGTCCATTAGAAGACACAGAAGACGGACAGTTTCTTGGTATGATTGACTCGCTTCCCCTTGTTAGAGAACCCACAGGCGAGGTTGGATTTGCGGCAGCTTGAGCACTTGGGATATTCCTTGTTGCAACGGACCTTGCGGATACGGCACTCATCGCATGCCTCCCTGGACCCTGTTAATGGCGGCACGTTCATAACTGCCGTGCCGTGAGATCCTGGTTGACTGGGAACAGGCTTCCCCCTGATCCGTTTCGCTCCTGTCTGGTCCTGTGTACCCATTGTGTAGTACAGAAACAAATACGGAATGGACGACTTCGCATGCAAGGTAGAAAGGAGAAGAACAAGATGGTGGTAGACGGGGCCTAGAGTCGAAATGTATATAGGCGGACCACGGTATAAATGATCTGGCGGGAGAAATCCACCAGAGATACGATAGAACTCAGCAGACACGAAATCAAGGCTGCGGCTCGTCTCGAATCCTCTGTCAGCACGGGTGATAAGACCCTGATCTTCGTTTAGAAGATGATGGTCGGTATATATTCCGTACGGGCCATCCTTGTCCGACTGGATGGATATCAGTAACAGTGCAGGGGTCTCGCTTCGTAAACCCTGAAAGAGGAATAATCAGCAGAACATCGAGGGATACCCCTCCCACTTTTCGTGGAGTAGAGGACCCCAATCCTTGTGAAGGGGGAAAGCCAGATGTAGTAAAAGTGGTCGTTTTGTAAAGAAGAACGCGGTCTACTATGCCGTTTCAAGGAAATGTGTGGACACCTCTGAGCGGATGAAGCACTCAAACCAAAAAGGCATAATCCCTGTCGACCAGGGATATTGTAAGAATCATCCAGAGCCACTCCCTTTTGCACCGGCCCATCATCACTGGCTGCAGTGCTGCATAAACGAAGGTGGATATTACAGCGGATGAGCGGCATCAACCTCCACATCCACATGTATTCGTTGCACGACCTCGTGGCTGCAGAAGGATCCGAACCCTTCACTCTCCAGCCAGTGCTTAGACCGCAAAAGGCGAGCGAACGGGTGCCATCGAGTTCTGTAGAGTTCCGTTTCTTCATCGTCTGACTGATGGTTACGCTCGACCTCGAACAAGCTTCAGATTCAAGAGTTGTGGCTGGAACTCACTATTCTTCTCCGATAAGGGAGGTTCGTTGTTTCTACACACCAGCAATTTTTGAAAAGATCCTTCTGAAGCGACTGGACATTGCAGGATTTCCCATTAGCTACTAGTCGAAGAGCAACCAGCTGTGCATGAGATCCTTGCTGTCTTGCCAGGGTTTACAAATCTTTCAGAAAATACGCAACCCAGAGACCTTCGGATAAACTGCGCCAGACTGGAATGGATCTTACTCGGGGGCTGGAAGGAGGAGGGGCGGCGGGAAGAGTCCGGGTCCCGCCAAGTCGAGGAGAGCCATCTACAATCTAGCAAGGGCGTTAGGGGCGCAGGGATTCTGATTACGGTGTGATTGTGGACATTTCCTTCGGACTTTGGCATTCTCCAGGATAGAGAGTCTCCTCTGCAGACTCGCAGGCTGCGCAGCTCAGTAGCTCAAATTTTAGCACCTTCTAGCCCGGAGTGGGTAATGCTGGAATTACAAAAGTGTCGAGATTGCTTGCCCAAGCGCAGCTATCACAGCGAGTGCTCAATTAGCCTCTACTACTTGCCAATGATCCTCCGCCGTCTCTGGCGCGCTTTCGTATTTCGCTTAGCTCTCAGCGTGGGAGATTGACATGCCGAACGATCGATGTAACCTTGTAAGATCATACTCTAAGATGAATAGTGTTTCAGTGTTTCGAGATGTCAATCCTGATGAGTGAAGATGACGATAGCTCGGCGAGGGTCAGTGCCATAAGCCGAGGAAAAATGCACGATTTATTCCTCATGTGGACAAGAGGTAATATAGATGGATGCGTCCTGTCTTGATGGCGTGCAGAAAAAGGACCGGATAATATCGACAGCAATTGCTGGGATAGTGTACAACCTGGGCTAGCTAATCGGTCTGCTCCCACTTAACCAGCTCAGCACCCTGCATCAACAAGGGAAGTAATACTTATTGCCACGTTTTACCTCGGTTGATGCCAGAAGACAACGATGTACTCCCAGGATGACCAGATGGAGCCTCACCACTATCGCTCACCATCATCAGAAACGCGAGAGCAGATAAAAGCCACCTGTTCTGGGTCGTATGTTGGTTGGACAACAGGCCTATTGGCCGCAATGACCTTCGCATCGTGATGCTTATCTGGCGGTACATTGCTCATACATTCTCAACCATTGTCAGTGTGCAACCATTGTCTTTTCCGGTCGACACTGACGAATCTAAGTGGACCGGTATATCTCAACCGGGGCTTCATTTTATGCCAGCTGCGTAAGATCTCGTAATATCAGTGATTAATCTCACTATCGGTCGGTCGTGATTTGTGGGAAGCTCCCTATCAATATATTGCTTACTCCATCAGAAGACCGAAGGGTGCTCACTATCAAGGATTCTTCGGCATTCCCCGTCCTTCGTTGGGCTCTGATAACGAGCCCTGCAGGATTAATGACGAGTGCGGAATCACCTTGTGGACAGACAAATGCAGCATGCCCATGCTGGACTTTCCCACAGCCGCGATGGCTGAGACAAGGCAGGGATCTATCTCGTGTTGGCCTATGGTGTATATTCTGCTCAACACGCGGGCTTGTGGGAGGATCAGCGCTGCACTCTCCGTGGGGGAATCTGCTTTTCTGCAACGCTCTACAGCCGTCTCCACTTTGAAGGGCATTCTGCAGCTCGAATTCTCCGATGTTTCACCTAGAAGATCATCAGGAAAAACGGAAGGGATGCCGTGGCTGGAGGGGGATCTTGGCAAGTCCAGGCGCGTTCAAGCGGAGGGAATCTCCAAGGAGCAAATCCGCGGACTAATCTGGCTCTACTCTGTACGATGAATGCCAAGGTCGCGCAGAGTCCGAGAGAAAAATGCCCAAAAGGGCAATAAAGCGCACAGAAACAGCTTGGCATCACCGCGAATGCGAACGTCAGAGTCGGAGAGATGTGGACGAGCAGGTTGCACCAAACGCCAAGTCGCCGTTAGCCCAATAGTGCCCAGTCGGTGGCGTTGCCGAGCCCGAGCATCGCCATGATCTGGTTCAGGACCAATTACGTTGACAGACTGATCGTCTAGATAAAGCCTGGGCATTCTCACATCACTATGGTTCCTTAGGTGGTGGATTGCCAAGGGAGGGGATGACCCACTGCAATTATACGACAGTCAGCTGCGCTCGTTCGAATGGGCAGGTTCTCCGGAGCGCCAATTGAACCATGCAAGACGAACAATGTTATGAAATGTCAACATATATTAAAGCAGTCTGTCGTGAGGCGATTTCCGCGCGTCCTTCCCGCATCACACGACGTTCTTCCAAGATGGATCCAAGAAAGATCGACCGGGTAATCACTCATTAGCCTGTTACTCTCCAATATCCGCATTGTGAGATTCGCGTCTAGCAGATGAAGGGAACTCAGCACTGTACTTGCCGCTAGATATCGGGAGAGAACCTTACTGACCACCATACTCCAGTGGAGGCCACGTCGCTTTCTGACGCTTGCGACCACAGTCCTTCCGCTGCAAACATGATCAGCCCGTATAATGACGCACCGTGATTGCCAAGGGTCACTGGGACACAGTGTATTATGGCGCTAAAGCTCTCTATTCCGGTCAATGCGCCAGGAGAGTGTTCCCAAAAGCAGGATTTCTACCAATGCGACACCGTGCATGCGACCCGACAACACATTGCTCCTACTGAAGATACGACATCTGGGTATGATTTGTACTCACATACGTCTCTAGTGGGTTGCATTACCATCAACATAACACTAATACACGTCTCATTAACAGTCATATGACAGTACCGATTTGTCTATTCGTCAACCCCAGGCCGAACAGCTGCTTGTGCTTCTCAGCAGCGCCGCGTTTGCCCTCGTCTGCCACTCCAAGGCTATGGGTGATCCTAGACGGTTACTATGGCAAATCCGAGGAACATAGGCGAGAACATACTCCTTCAATCCAGCCTGAACTCTGTTTTGGGTCTTTCTTGTCGTCACCTCGTCTCTGGTAAAAAGGTCATGAACGTGATATCCGCCTAATTTGTCGGCAAGGAGATTCTGAGGGGATTCTGAGCGTACTGCTTGGCCTCTGAAACCCAGGGATTGCGCGGGGCACTACCTTCTTGCCAGGGCTTTTTTGGAGGATCGAAACGGATAGACCTGCGGCTCGCAGTCACTGAGAGCGCAGATGGTCTTCAGCGCTAGCGCTACACATTGTGCCTTGAGAAGACATTGTGATTGGAGAAGAATTTCTCATTGTATAGTGTGTGATTTCGATTGACATGGCTACTTCGAACTGCTAGATAGTTTCTGTGCATACCTTCCTTTTGGCTAGTAGACACACTCCCTCGGTACGGCTCAAGTTATCAAACAATTAAACTCGGGGTTTATCCGTTCGCGCAGCTGGTGTTTATGGACAAGAAGTGGAGGATAAACTTGGTGATGACATCAATACCCCACAAATCCCTTATCATAACGTTAATTAGTTGCCATCGGTCTATCGACGGGACAAGTTCTTCAGGGTTTCTAACCGGACTTTGAGAGGCCTATTTGAAGAACTAGGATCCCTAGTGTAATAATAATATGACCTAACCTAAGTGAATAGACTCTCGGTATGCCGAGTAGGACCTAGTTTAGGAACACACGGCATGAAGCAACTTTATCTTCACCCGGGACTATGTACTATTCTTCAAATGGCGCCTCAAGCTAATCTATTCTAACCTACTAGCGTATATGTGCAGCCTCGAACCAGTCTAGAGACTATGATTCTCCCATCCTCAGTGCGCCACGTACGAATTCAAACACCGACATCCCGAGTCTAAGTTGAGATAAAAGTACGAGTGGGGTTAACCGTCAGACCTTTAGAATGCGGATCGACTTCTTCCCAATATTATTTCAGGTTTTAAAGAGGCATTGCCTGATCTACTTTGAGTAGGCTATTATTCCATGTTGCCGTAGGACGGGATTGGTGGAGTGGACTATTGTGGCTGGACCACTGGAGTCAGTTAACGTCATGATGAGGTTATTCCAGCCGATCATCTGTGATCCAATAATCATGAGGGGAATGACTTCTCCACGGTCAACACTCTACTATTATTGAACAATGATCATATCGAGGGGTAGATCAAGGGATAGATATATACAATCCAAGGGACAATCCATTGCCGCTTAAGGAAACGTTGGAAGCTTGGGGTACCTGTACTTTATCTGATTCGAGCACCATCCAGGCGATCCCTCAGCCTTACAGGTTTCAATTTTGCTTTCATACCTTATGACAGGAATCTTCTACCTCTCTAGGGTTGGCAGAATATAACCCGATCAGTGAATGACTACAGTTGACATAGATTACGTCATTTACTGCGGGAGTGCTGCTCACCACCAAGACTCCAGGTCCACGACCCTGCTTGGCTGACGATTCATCCTGACGACAGGGTTTTATATTTTCAGTGAATATAGACTTTCTTGCACTTATACCTACGGCACTACTTGAGTAAATAGTCTGGCGCAGGTAAACTCAACCAAGCACCAAGCCATCACCAACACAACAACACAACATAGTCATGGCGTCTGAAGAACAGAAAAAGCGCGGCTTGATCATAGTCTCCAACCGTCTGCCGCTGTCGCTCAGGAAGGTCGATGGAGGTTTCGAGTCCAGCCTCTCCAGTGGTGGACTGGTGACTGCCCTGTCCGGCTTGACCAACTCGACGACATTCAAATGGTTCGGCTGGCCAGGAGTCAACATCCCCGATCCCGAAGAGCAGAAGAGGGCAGCAGAATCGCTGGAAGAAAAGGGTGCGAAGGGTATCTTTCTGGAGGAGGAGCTGGGACATGCTCATTACAATGGATTCTCGAGTATGTTACCCAACCGAAGTTGGCAGAACCGAGCTGATGTGATCTAGATTCTATTCTCTGGCCCATCCTCCATTATCAGTCTGGTGTCGACTTCAACGAGGATTACTGGAAGGCCTACCAGCGCGTCAACGAGATCTTCGCTGATACGGTCGCCAACGAAGCGCAAGACGGCGATCTGATCTGGGTGCACGACTACCATCTCCTGCTTCTACCTGCGCTCCTTCGTGAGCGCCTCAAGAGCCAGGGGAAGAAGTGTCCGATTGGGTTTACTCTGCACACTCCCTTCCCGGCAGGAGACTTCTGGCGCTCCCTGCCGGTCGAGAAGGAACTGCTCAAGGGTGTTCTTGCGTGCGACGTGATCGGATTCCATACTGAAGAGTACAAGCGGAATTTTACCGAGGCTTGCGAACAGAGTTTGTATGTACCTACTCTTGCAATCTGGACTGGGTCGCGCTGACAGTGAACAGGGGCGCTCAAGCTACAGACAGCAATGGGATCAAATTCGAAGATCACTGTGCTCAGGTCGGTGTATTTGTCGTGGGCATCGATCCCCAGAAGTTTGACAATGCGTTGAAAGACGACGCGGTCATCAAACGTATCCAGGAATTGGACGAGGAGTACAAGGACAAGATCGTCATTGTCGGCGTGGACCGACTGGACTACACCAAGGGTCTCGTGCAGAAGCTGCAGGGATTCGAGGAGTTCCTCAAGGAGAACCCGGAGCTTGCCAAGAAGGTTGTCTTGATCCAGGTTGCGGTTCCCAGTCGCGAGGACGTCAAGGAGTACCAGGAACTCGAAACTGAGATTTCCACCCTCGTCGGGAAGATCTGTGGGACTTATGGTAAGTTTTGTCAGTCTGTTTGCAGTTTCTTTGCTGACCATCCAGCCACCCCGGAGGGCGTACCACTGATCTACATCCACCGCTCCGTCTCCTTCCCCGAGCTGACAGCGCTGTACTGCGTCGCCAAAGCCTGTCTCATCACCTCTCGACGGGACGGCATGAACCTTGTGGCCTCCGAGTACGTCGCCTGTCAGGAAGATCGATATGGCGTGCTGGTTCTTTCGGAACTGGCGGGCGCAGCGTCTTTCATGGGCCATGGCAGTGTCACCTTCCATCCCTCCAGCACTCGCGAGCTCGCCGATGCCATCCACCAGGCGGTCACGATGGACGACGAGGAGAAGAAGCGGCGTTACAAAGAGCTAAGCGAGTTTGTCACGACTCATACGAGGTACGTCGATCTGCTGGCTGTAGAGGTACATGACTGACAAAAGCAGTGCCAAATGGGGCCAGACCTTTGTGGATACTCTGGCGAAGCATTCGTCTTGAACAGGTCTCCGGGCTTGTTCTAATGTCTTACGAGTTATGATTGACGTGGTATCTCGTTATGTCATTCGACGTCAACTGGTTCATGCAGGGCGCCTGTTATTTCCTTCCACTGATAATTCAAATATTACTTTAATGGAACGATACACGACGGCAGCGTATCACCAATCCTTGTAAGGTGTAGGACTGTATATTACATGAACATAGTCTACACTACATCACCTCAATCATTAAATACGTTGACTAGCAATCAATTAAGAAAGTTATTGGTACGCAGACCTGAAAGACGTCCATATAGAGAAGTTGTATAGTATTCAGTAAGTTTGAGATGTCATACGATGCCATACCATCCATGCAGCTATACAGCAACCAATAAATCGACCACGGGCAAGAAACAAGCAATATCCACCGTTATCTCATTCTGCAGAATAGACCAGTTACTGTCCTATATGAGACAATGTCATTGTATGAAATCCTGCTACAGCGACATCTGATCTTGGCGGTGCTCTGATATCATCGTGACGATCATCTAGTCTAACAATAATATAACAAGCACTCACCACTCACTCACCAGCTAGTGTAGCAAGAGCATACCAATTCCATCAACCAAACCAATCTACCTACCTAGTAATAATAATCTAATCTACAAAATGCAATCCGTCCTCCAACCCGTAATCGGTCCCAAAAAGGAGATCCACGATCTCACCGGCCGAGTCGCCCTAGTGACCGGCGGAGCCCTGGGTATCGGGTAAGTCAATCATCCTTCTTTTGCAGTATATCCCACTAAAGCAACGCAGATATGAAATCTCCCGTGCGTTTGTCCTCAACGGCGCGCGCGTCATCATGGTCAACCGCAAAGAAGAACAAGGCCAGTCCGCCATCGACAAAATCAAAGAGGAGGCTGGCGCAGACGCAAAAATCGAGTGGATCCCCTGCGACATGGGCAATCTGAATGAAATTAAGGAGGTATTTTCTGGGATCCGGGAGAGGGAGAGTAGACTCGACTTGGTACGAGCACGTTAGCCACGAGGATAAATTGCGCCAATGCTGACGCGAACAGCTCATCCTCTCCGCGGGCATCAATGTCAACCAGTACGGCGAGACAACCGACGCGCTAGACCGACACTTCGAGGTGAATTTCCTCGGCCAGTTCTACGTCGTTAACCAGCTTTGGCCTCTGCTGCGCAAAACGGCGAAGATGCCGGGTACGCCGCCGCCGCGGGTAGTCTTCGAGTCGTCTGAGCAGCACCGCAATGCGCCCAAGGTGGTGCATTTCGGGTCTGTGGACGAGATCAACAATCCCGAGATCGGCAGCACGGAGGTCTACGGCCGGACGAAGCTGGCGATTATCCTGGGGGTCAAGTATGGACTGCTTGAGAAGGTGATTAAGCCGAATAAGGATAACATTTATGCGCTTTCGGTGCATCCTGGCGCGGTGCGTACTTTCCTTTTATCCTACTGTCGGGTGAATAGCTAATTGTAGACAGGTCAACACGGCGATGCAACAGCAGTGGAAAGACGCGTACCCCGGTTTGCTCGGCAAGCTGCTCACGACTGCGATGCTGGCTGTGGGCCGGAACGTCGAGCAGGGTTCGTACAGTGCCTTGTATGCGGCGACGAGTCCAGAGATTGAAGAGAGGGGGTGGAATGGGTACTACTTTAGCGATGTGGCACAGCCGGGGAAGGAGTCGGCGCAAGCGTCGGATCCGATGCTGGGGGCTGCGCTGTGGGATTTGAGTCATCGGCTCATTAAGGAGAAGGTTGGGGAGGATGGACTGGTGGATTGGAATGCTTAATCGCCATATAGTAACGGTCATCCAATAAACTTGCCTAGAGGTAATCCACTAGGTACGCTGTATCCTCTCCCCCCGTATCCGCTCTCTCGCAAGCTTCTCCCTCTTTCTCCTCTCCCGCCGACACTGAGAGATAGCCGCAAACATATTAAACACATAAATCCCACTGAACAACATCCCCAACACGCCCAGAAAGACGGCGACCACCACAATCGACAGAATCACAAACCCATACGTCGTATCCTGGAAGGCCGCGTTGCCATTCAACCGCGGCACATCCGCGGCCACCTGCATAGCGGACAACACCAGCGAGAAAACCGCGAAAATCATCAACATCCAGGCAAAGTTGCGCTCGTAGAACACCACGTACCGGTTATACCCGTACAGATAGCCGCGGATGAAATGCGACAGGAAGAACCGCACGCGATAGATGGTGTTGATGCGGCCGAGGCGCAGCTCGCCGAACTGGTAGCGCTTGTTGACTGTGTCAAGGGCGTTGACGTCAACGTGCGCGTAGAACTCGGTGATGAAGGCCTTCCACCAGGGCCAGGTGAGATCTTTGGGGATGAGGCTGTGGTCGTGTGCGAGCTGCAGGTCCAGCGGGGTGCAGATCAGCCACATGTACGAGAGGAGGAGGCCGGTTGCGGATTCGTGCAGTGTCCGTGATGAGCAGAGATGGCGTGTCCAGAAGTCGTGGTCCAGGATGTACTCTGGCAGAGGTTTGACGAGCAGCTGGGTGGAGAATCTTAGGAGGTGCAGGTCTGCGCGCTCGGTTGGGATGATCTCGAAGCCCATCATTTTCTGGCGCAGGAGGGGCCGCGCGTTCATCGGTCGGCCGGCCATCCAGAGCAGATTGTGGATGATGTTGACTCGTGAGAGATCCAGATCCATGCTGAGGAAGGTTTGGATGTCGTCTTGCACGAGGAAGACAAGGTGGTCTGCTGTGCGAGAGATGGTTGGTAGCGTCAGCAGCACATCTTGACTGCGGTCGGTGGTTTCAGTGACGCTGCCATCTTTCGGTGGAGGACTATTTCCTCCGGTCTCTTGCTTTCTGGAATCGTGCAGAGACCGCGAGAAGGGAGGTTGTAGTTGAGTCTGTCCATGTTATTAGTGGCCGTAATAGAGTGAGGCCACGTACCTTTTCAGCTTCAGCCACTTCAGCCATCGAGCTTGTTCTTTGCCAAAGGAGACAAGTGACACGTTAAGTTAGGAGGATGCTAAGCATTTATGTCTAATGTTGTGTAGTACAGATGATGTGATGACGGAACGAGCATTGATCGCTGGGATGCATCATGCGGCTGAGACGAGGCTGGGTGGCTGGGCATTGTTAACTCAGCTGGACAATCACATTGTACAACCCCTGATAATTGATTCGACAGGAATAAACTAGAATTAATGTTTGACTTGACATGTTTCACATGTTTAAATGTTATGCCAGTCTAATGTACAAATTATAAACGCAGTGCTATCAGAAAACCACCCAAGTATATATGCGAAACATCAATAGCGAGACGGATGACTATTGTCACTCCCGCTACGACTACGATTCCCATCCAATACCTCAACTGTCTGCGACACATCGACCGTCTTATGAATACCAAGCGCTGCATCGCGCGACTCGCCGTCGACAGCGCCCGCGTACGAGATCAAATGGCTCTGATCGCAGCCAAACTCGGTCGGATCCACGTAGGTCTCGGACTTCGAAAGCCCCTTGGAGAGACGCTTCTTGGTTGCCGGTTTCACATGACCCAGTTGCACGGACGACTCCTGCTCGGGGTATCGGGTGGAGCTGTAGCCGGTCTTGCGCGCTCGATTGATGAGGAGGTTGATGCTCGGTAGACAGGCGCAGATGAGGCCGACGCCTCCTTCGGCGTTTCTGCTAGAGTCAGAGAAGACCATAAAACGGGAGAGGGGCGACATACCCTGACATAATGATGCAGGTGAAGAAGATGGTCATATCCGTTGTGTTACCGTCGCGCAGCACGAGAATCAGCCGGTAGATACTAAACGCCGTGGCCAGGCCACCCGCAGACAGAATCCCTATCACCCGGAGTTTCTTGTTGCGCGACATCTGCAGCGACCAGGTCAAAGGTAGCGGAAGGATGAGGATAATCAGATCGCTGACGACACTGATGACCGAGTCGGCTAGCAGAGCGGCGCTCTGGTCGAGACAGCGCCGTCCTGCTGTGCCCTCCCAATAGGATGGAATGGGATCGCACATGCGGATCTTAACGATCTCGGCGATGATGTAGTAGATGCACAGGCACCCGAGGAGGACGTAGATGAAGATGATCTTGCTTCGGTACGGGGCGAAAATGCGGATGATGATGGAGAGGAGGGCGATTTTGACGAAGAGCGCCATGGGACAGTAGAGGACGGTGGCGATGTAGCAGAATTTATAGTACGCGACAATCATTGCCGAGTCATGAATGTCGGATTGATGGTATCCGCCGCCATGCTGCCCGACTATCACGGTTAGATGGGTCGAGACGATACAGAAAGGGTGGCCTACTAATGATGGCGATGGCGCAGTATCCCATGAAGAGGGCCTACATGATGTTAGAAGATCGCAATGGCAGAGAGTCAAGCAACTTGCCCATGCGATGAGACATGACCCTACTGAGGTTAGCATTCTTCTGTTGAGTGCAATCGGCCAGCACGTACCGTCTTCAAGTACCGAAAAGTGGCGGAACCATAAGCGGACGGACAGCCGCATGGCCACGAAGATGGTGACGATGGGTATACACAGACATTGTGTCACCAGATTGACCGTGTGCAGGACATCCACAGGCTGTTGGGTGGCGTCTGCACTCATTATGTCCGTCAAGTGGGCATGACGCAGAGGGCAGGAGGACGAAATAAGAATCCCGAATCGAAATCCAACAGATCGGAAAGGGACTGAGGTAAAGGAGGCTTATCCGGGCGGTCCCAGATATGTATATTAGTGTATATTAGCCCGAATGTTCCGCTCAATCTAGTCAATGCTGTTTAATTGTAGTGTAGCCTGTTTCCTTCTGCTGCCGATCCCACCGGAGTCCACTATGCAGCCGACCCGCCGTTCAAGATTTTCATAGAAAGTTTTCCTATGAGGGAGACATGTGATAGGCTGAACTCCGGCCATTATGAAGAGAATTGCCATCATGCATTTTTATTCTCGCGCATCCTTCTTGTTTCAGCATACTTCGTAGTGGGAACTGGATGGGGAAATGGCATGGCGGCGTCACGTTCGTTCGAGCCAGATCGATCGTGCGAGGGGAATGGGCAATAGACCAGAACTATTTTGGCGCCATTAAGCGTACCTGCAGAGTATGGCACAGACAGGGAAATGATGAACACCTGGCCAAGCGCTATCCCGCGTGCATCACCGCATCTCTCTACATAGTACAGAGTACGGCATATCTGAGACAGTCGTTCGATCTCTCCATGTCTCACTTCTACTATACTGCCGCAGATCGCCCTCAACGATCCTATTGTAGATTCTAATAGTAATAGACAACAGGAACTTTAATCAATCGAGATGAAAGCATCAAGTTGACTAGCAACGCCCCAAGCCGTAGTGCGGAAAATTTGCCATGATCTGCAGGCTTGTCGCCATCTCGTATTAAAACCTTGGGCATGAAGGATTCGAGCCGTCTTGAGTCGTAGCTCTAGACTGAGCAACGGAGCGAATTGGATAATTGACATGTGAGGGAAGAATAAAAGATAGGCGCGATGGTCTTGGGTGGACTGGACTATTTCCTTAGTCGAGGCTAGTTAGCAGAGAAATACGAGATGGCGCCGAGGCCGCGGCAAGAAGAGATGGACAACCGAAGCTTTTCCGGGTGAGATCATTGGTTCATATCACAATAGCCCCGTTCCTAAGACGAATGGGTCTTCCGATTGGGATATTCGGCCGCCAACAATTGGGAACAAAGTTTGACGGCTGCTGTAGTCTGACGTCCTCGCTTCCAGTTTAAGTGACGAACTGGAAAGGAATTGATTTCCTTCTCTTGTCAAGCACACTAGTCGAATAGCCCGTATTGATCATCGTTTGAATCGTGCTCGTATGTTGGGTATCAAACCGGACGCAGACGACACGTATGCCGAACTTGATGATCTCCGTCCATTGACTTAGTAAAGTCTACTCCGTACGGAGTATTGCAAATCCAATTCCAGTTGACTGATCTGAAACTTTTATTTATCAAACTATTTGTCTCCTTGTGGTGTTGGCAGAGGATTTAAAAATGGCTGCGGAGCCCATGGGTGGAGAGACCGAGACAAGCCCACCTGGTGCTCCATCCGTTCCATCCCCAGCGCGAAATGGTTGGACAATCCGCTATTTCCTGGCCTCCTGTCAATTGGCGTTATTTCCAGCCTAAAACTTATCTAGAAATCCATTAGTTCATCAAAATGGTCTGCCGTTTCAAGGGAACCGAGGAGGGGCAGAGACTCCATGCTGCTCCCGAGTTATGGCCACTATGTCCTTCGTTTCATCTCCACCATAAATCCTATTATCAATCCTGCAACCAATTCTTCAAACTTCCCTTTTTGATCAGTCCATGGTTCGTCTTCCTTGGTAAAGCTACACATCATTCAGCGGTCGATCCACCGCCGCAGAGTCACTGTTTGTCATCCGTAGTTACGGTTTAGGTTGCCCGACCAGAGCAGCACGGCCAAAATGACCATCCGCAAGCTCAACGGCGAAGAGTCGATGCTCTTCCAGCCCCTGGAGATTGCAAACGGCAGGATTCGCCTCTCGCATCGGGTGGTCCATGCTCCCATGACGCGCAACCGGGGCGTTCCGCTCAATCCCACCAGCACCGCGGAGCAGCCCAATCGTATCTGGTATCCGGGCGATCTCATGGTCAAGTACTATCGCCAGCGCGCCACCCCGGGCGGATTGATCATCTCCGAGGGTGTTCCGCCGTCGTTGGAGGTTTGTACCTTTCAGTCTGTCAGAACACGGCTAACCCTGACCACAGAGCAATGGCATGCCCGGTGTCCCCGGTCTTTGGACCCCCGAACAGGTCGCCGGCTGGAAGAGGGTCGTCGACGCCGTGCACGAACAAGGCGGCTACATCTACTGCCAGCTGTGGCACGCAGGTCGTGCCACCATCCCGCAGATGACAGGCTCGCCGGCTGTCTCAGCCTCCGCCACGGTCTGGGACTCACCGACTGAATGCTACTCTCACCCTCCTGTGGGATCCACCGAGCCGGTGCGGTACGCGGACCATCCGCCCATCGAGCTCACCATCCCGCATCTGAAGCAGACCATCCGCGATTACTGCAATGCGGCCAAGACAGCCATGGAGATTGGCTTCGACGGTGTCGAGCTGCACGCGGGCAATGGGTATCTACCCGAGCAGTTTCTGAGCTCCAACGTCAACAAGCGCACGGATGAGTACGGTGGCTCGCCGGAGAAGCGCTGTCGGTTTGTCCTTGAGCTTATGGATGAGTTGGCGGCCACGGTGGGCGAGGACAATCTGGCTATCCGTCTCTCGCCATTCGGACTGTTCAACCAGGCGCGCGGCGAGCAGCGCGTGGAAACCTGGACTTTCCTCTGCGAATCGCTGAAAAAGGCGCATCCAAATCTGTCGTATGTCAGTTTCATTGAACCGGTGAGTTTCCTACAATACAACCCTGATTGGCCACAGCTCTAACCTGTCCAGCGCTATGAGCAAATCTTCAGCTACGAGGAAAAGGACAACTTCCTCCGCAGTTGGGGGCTGTCCGACGTTGATCTGAGCAGCTTCCGCAAGATTTTTGGAACAACTCCCTTCTTCTCGGCCGGAGGCTGGGACCAGAGCAATTCCTGGGGCGTACTGGAAGACGGCCGGTACGATGCGCTGCTGTACGGACGCTACTTCACTAGTAACCCCGATCTTGTCGAGCGGTTGAGGAAGGGCATCCCCTTCACGCCGTACGATCGTTCGCGGTTCTACGGTCCGTTTGAGGATAATGCTAAATGCTACGTGGATTATCCGCCGGCTACTCTTTCTTAACATGTTCATAGATGTATATAGCGATTGAAAAGACTTTACTGCCGACGAACATATTATGCTGCCAACCCTCCATCTACCACCATTGCTTCTCCACACATGTAGCTGCTCATGGGCGAAGCGAGAAATAGAATCGCATTGGCAATCTCGTCTGCCACTGCAGGACGTCCCAGAGGAATCATCGCGAATTGCGAGTCGAGAGCGCCGCATTCGATCGATCGACTTATCATAGGCGTTTCCACCCATCTGAACCGTTAGTAGAGTACTAATACCTATAGAGACTGCATACCCAGGACATATGGCGTTGATACGAATGCCATCTCCGGCATACGATTTAGCGTCCTACTTCGTCAGCTCGTCTCATCACACATTGGTTGGCTTACCATCTTGGTCATCCCCACAACAGCTATCCGACTCGTTAGCATAATCCAGACCACCAGGGTCTAACGGAACGCACCATGCTTCGCAGCCACATAAGGCGCAATCGCAATTCCCCCCGGAGGCGCCCTAACCCCATACATCGACGCGACATTGACAATCGTGCCGCGTCCTTCGCGCGCTCCTCGAGAACTACATCCTCAGCGCAAGCAGACCAAAATCACAGCAACACATACTCCTGCTTCAACATCTGCCGGATCAACGCCCGCTGACACATCCACACCCCCGTCTGATTGATATCAATCACCCTCTGCCACTCCGACAGCTCCGTCTCATGCGACGGACCCGGCTTGCCACTGATCCCCGCTGCATTCACCCCGATATCAATCTGTCCGAATTCCTCCGCCGTCTTGCGGACAGCATCCTCGACGGAGGCTTCGTCTGTGACGTCCACTTGCAAGAGCGCAACGCGGAGCTGCGCATGCTCAGAGAGTAGTTCACTTTTCGTCTCCTCGAGGAGTGCGAGGTTGACGTCTAGCAGTGCGAGCGCGCTAATCCCGTTGCTTGCGAGGACGTGCGCGGTGGCTTTGCCGATGCCTGATGCGGCGCCAGTGATGAATGCGGTTCCTTGGACTTGGGACGCCATAATTCTGTGCATTTGTTGAGTGGTGAGGATGATGAGGATAGGGACGGGATGGGGATCTGGCGCTATTTAAACGCGGGGTAAGCACAGCATGAAATGTTGACTCCGATTGCCTTATGAGCTTTGTGTTACGCTTTCGCTGGTTTTGTTCAGCTGATGTCTATCTTGGGCTCAGTGAATGAATTTGATCACTATTGCTTGTTGCTTGTTGCTTATTACTTATCTGGTTGAGGTGGTTTGTTCTCAGGTTATAACTGAGGTAGCATTGTCTGGGTGTCATCTTAAGTGTACAGCAGCAGCAGCAGCAGCATCACTCTTAAAGCTGTAATAGATGATACCAAGGCTTATAATGTAGTCTTGTAGACATTATATTAATGTAAATGATTGTCTGTTATAAAAGCAATGGTTGTAAGCATAACCTGAGATTGGTGTTGTACTCATCTAATATATATTTACCCTCCACGGACTCTCTGAAGCTTGCACACCTGAGTTCACAAGACAGGAGTATGATACTGCACAACCGATTAAATTTCTGAATGCATATCTGCGTATCAGGCGAGATCCAGTTTCAATATAATTCTTAAATTCACAAATTTCTATGGTTCCACTGCAACGCAGAAGATGAACCGTGGTCGCCGCGTTCGCCGCGGTCTCCGCGGGGCCCGTGGTGACCGGGCCGTTGTGGATGAAGTCCTGGTTTGATAGCAATAGTATCTAGGGGTCGCGTTCTTGCAAGAGGATATAAGTGAAGTCTTGCTTCTTGGAGCATTTGATACAGAGTTCAATTGTTGCGAATGAACTATGGTATGTGCTCGTCACTCCGTACTTGGTGAACAGGCAATTGACTTCGGAGTACAATAGACCATTGAAAGCAAAATGGCAGCAAAAGATCAGAAAAGCCGCGATAATGCCTCCCGATCTGATACCAAAGTTGAATTCGAGTTCGGCGGTGCCCCCGGCGTAACCCTAGCCATGATCGGCTTCCCGCTGCTGATGTACTACATGTACATCGGTGCAGTCCTCTACGATGGCCACCTTCCCACCCCTGAAGAAGGACAATCATGGACAGACTTCCTCTCGCACCTCGTCAGCCTCGCATACACCCATGCCTATCCTACCCGAAAAGCGTGGACGATCTACTGGACCTTTCTCATCCTCGAAGGCGCCGGGTACCTGTACCTCCCGGGCGTATACGGCAAGGGAAAACGGCTACCCCATCTTGGTGGGAAACAGCTGCCGTACTACTGCTCCGCCGTGTCGTCGTGGTATGTCACTATTGCCGCCGCATTGGCACTGCACTTCACCGGTGTATTCAAGCTGTACACCCTCATCGACGAGTTCGGACCCCTCATGTCCGTCGCAATCTGCTCGGGATTCCTCGTGTCGATCGTGGCGTACATTTCTGCTCTGGTGCGGGGAGCGGAGCACCGCATGACAGGATCGCATGTATATGACTTTTTCATGGGCGCGGAGCTGAACCCCCGGCTGTTCGGCTGGTTGGATTTCAAGATGTTCTTCGAAGTCCGCATTCCGTGGTTCATCCTGTTCCTGTTGACGCTGGGAACGGCCCTGAAGCAGTTCGAGGAGTATGGCTTTGTCGCTGGGGAGGTGCTCTTTTTGCTCATGGCCCATTTCCTGTATGCCAACGCCTGCGCCAAGGGCGAGGAGTTGATCATCACCAGCTGGTTCGTTTGCTTTCCTCGTGAAGCCACAGAGTGCTGACTTTGGACAGGGATATGTACTATGAAAAGTGGGGATTCATGCTCATCTTCTGGAATTTGGCCGGCGTCCCCATGAGCTACTGCCACTGCACGCTTTATTTGGCATCCCATGACCCATCCACTTACCACTGGAACCCCTGGGTTCTGGCCGTGTGGGCCGTTGCATACTTGTTCATGTATTGGGTCTGGGATACCTGCAACAGCCAAAAGAACTTTTTCCGCGCGCAGGAACGCGGCGTCACCGTCGACCGCAAGTCTTTCCCCCAGTTGCCCTGGAAGTACGTCGAGAATCCTCAGTCCATCCCGACAAAGACCGGCGATTCAATCCTATGCAGCGGATGGTGTAAGTGATCTCTCCGGGCGCAAATTACACAGCTGACAAAGGTAGATGGCATGGCGCGCAAGGTGCATTATACATGTGACCTGTTCTTCGCTATTTCCTGGGGCCTCATTACCGGGTTCGATTCGCCGTTCCCCTGGTTCTATTCTTGCTTCTTCACCGTTATGATTATCCATCGCGCGAGGCGGGATATCAACCGCTGCCGGGAGCGATACGGGGAGGCTTGGATGGAGTATGAGCGCCGGGTCCCTTATCTCTTTATCCCAGTAAGTTTCGCTGATATGCTTCACAAGGATAAGCTGACAGTTTAGTACGTCATTTGAGGCACCCTGTAGACTAGAAGGAGCAACGTTGAGTTATACGATAGACAGATAGCTGCAGTCAAGTCTCATTCATGTAGTCAGAGTTTAATATATCCATCACTGAACGATGTGTCCCGATGAAATCATTGAGGAACATGGAGATGTCAGTGCTGTTCATATGCGAGTCAAACACATTTTCCGGCCATTCAACGTTGGGTAGAGCGATGTTGCTATCTAGAGCCGGCATGACAAGCGATCCGTCCCGGTGTTGTGTGAGGCCTTCTAGCGTTTCTTCCGAGTCTACGAGAATCTGAGCCGTCCTAGAGAAAGCCGCGCAGATTGTGTAAAGACGGTCCGAGCCACGGGAGAGTCCCTTGAATAGTTCCAAGGATTGAACTGTGTCCTGCAACAAAGCCAGATCGAACGTGCTCGCCGTCGTGATGGCATGTATGAAGACGATGACGAATGGTGTGAATGATGGATACAATAGAATCCTATTCCATTAGTGCGATGTTAGGTGAGGGTGGGAATGGCATACCAATTGACATATTCAGTTTGCTTATGGGTCTTCCGGTTGCGAAAATACGTAAAGCACTCCAGGTGACTCTGCAGGGCCCGCATCGCCGCCTCGTAGCATTGAGAGGTGATGGCCATGGCATTACTGGCCCGCGTCTGCGCCCGAAGTATTACGGTCATGACGGAGTGCGTGATGAAATCCGCGCAGGCAGCCATTCCGTGAAGCGACTCCGCGTAGAGTCCTTGGCTCACATCGATCTGGCCAAGGTTGGTAAAAGTACATCGTCAACGATCGAGACACTTACCCCCAGAAGGCGTTCGCGAACCAGCATCAAGTCATTCGATAGCTCTTCTATTGACTTCAACCTTTCCGATTCAGTAGCCTGAGTCGCCGAGGTCGAGTAAAGCCGATCGTAGATGCGCCCTTGTAGAGTTGCAAAATCAATCGTAGTGAGAGTCATCAGGTCCCAGGGGCGGTACTGCGGGTTGTCTGATGGTGCAAAGAACTCTGCATCAATGTCATGGTTCTGGAAATGCGAAGCTAATCCGAGATTCAATGACAGATTCTTGTCAATGGTATACAACGACCAGAAGGCATGGCGTTTGGCGTCAGCGACCGGGACAGGATCGTGTTTGAGGGCGGCACTTCGGTGGAGACCCATGCTTTGACACATATTAAACGCCAAAGCGAGGTAGGTCCAGCACAGCTGGAGATCAGACTCTTCTTGAGCTTTGATGATCTGAACATGAATTAGTTGCGTCCGGTAGAAGTCCGAAGTACATACCCCGATCAGCAGAGCCTGGACTTTCTGAAGTGTCGGATCACACATCATCTCGTAGCTTTTCAGCCCGGCCAAGAAGTGACGCTCGCAGAACCCTGCGTACGCTGCGAGGTCAAACCGTGCAAGATCCGAACACTCCTCATGGAGATAGTCGCGAATAATGTAGTATAACAAGCCATGCAGAAGAGTCAGAGAGCCCGCCGGGATAGGATCTACTGGAAAGTAGATCGCATGACACAATGACTCAATTTGGCGAACGTCTCTCCATGAATGGACGGTCAAAAAGAAGGGCGGTTGCACTTTAGCTGGGTCAACACAGACCAGAAACCGAGCGAGAAGTCTGAATACCTTTGACTTTTTTAATCAGAGTAATGAGAAACTCTTGAGGTAGAAGTTCAACCTTCGCCTGCGAAAGCGGCTCGATAACTGTGGACGATCCCTGCTGCCGGTCGAGACTGTTCCTAAGGGAAGACAAGACTGCTGAAACATGGGCATCCACTCTTCCTGGCTGCGATGTTGCAACAGCGGAGAAAGCTGCATCTCTAGCAATGATAACCTCGTTGTTGAAGGATGATTGACCTTCAAAAAGAGGCGCAGAGGGAGTAGACGGGATGTCCACAGCTGCAGGATGAGTGGATTGAGGTATTGGGAGGGAAGAGGGAGACTGGGTAATCTGCTGCAGAGTGTTTTGAATGGCTGCTAGTTGCTCTTGTAGCGCATCGATTTTCTTTTCACTGAATAAAATATCAATACGTCACTTGGCCAGGGGCTTTGGTATTTCATACTATTGTCCCGAGGCAGTCCTTTGCGGCGGGTCTGGAGTGCTCGCAGTGACACCATTCGCCCGACATGGGATCCCAAGTGCGCCACAACTGGAGCATGGAATGGCTTTATTGCATTTGATCTATGTTGATCAGCCCTGCTCGGCCAAATGAAGGAATTTCGATTACCTTTCTCTGTCGGCAATTGTCGCACTGTGCCCGTCCAGATCAGTGCTATCCTAGTCTGCCTGTGGGGTCGAAACGTACCGCGCGGGCTCGAAATGAGTTGCGAACTCCCGGGTTGGTCCTGTCTGTCATGAGGACAATCTTACTCTTGATGATTTCGCATCGATTCTCGCTCGCAGGATGGTCCTATTCGATGCGACGAAATGATGGCGCGAGACACGTGAGGAAATTCGGGGTTCTGTTGTGGCTGCTGACTCATCCTTCAGGATCCCCCAGCTTCTCTTCTCTCCTTTTGTCCTTTGATCCCTTCTCGACGACTCAAGAATAAAGATGATCACTTACTGTACGGAGCAAATTAGCTTGTATCTGTGGATCCAAGCCAATGCGTCAATGGA